TGTACTTAGTAAAAAGGCTGACTCAGCACACCAAATGGTAGGGTTTGTAAGCACATTCTTACCAATCCATGTGATGAATCATGCTTAGTAATCTGGCCTCCAAAAAGGTATAAAAGGAGCCCATTTTACACCCATGCAAATATAACTTCCCACTTTAAACCTATTCACTAATCTGAGAGTGATCAGGCAAGACATAGTCAAAGTGCAGGCAAACCAAGTGCCTTGTAGTAAGACTAAGACAAACTTACACTCTAAACCTATCCCACTAACTGGGAGTGAGATTAAGGCAAGACATAGTGAGGGTGCAAGTACTATCATTTCAACAAAGTAACTTCAGGTTAAAGAGCCCACAGGGAGGCTATCCAGATAACTAAGTTACTCACTACTTTACTGAGCCAAGCTCTACATATACTTAACAAAGACATCTCTCTTTCATAGAAAGAGAGATATGAAACAGGAGAACACGACAAAGTTGAGACAGACTTTCATAGGTTGAAACACGACCAACTAGGGTGAAACATACCTATCATTTTTCATACATAACAAAACCACAGACACAGTCAAAATAGTTTCTTCAAACAAGAAGGTAACTTATTTACTCTTTGACCACCCACGAACAACATGTTATCAACCGAGAAGTAGAAAATCTGTTGACCGTGAACTTGAGGAGCTGGCAACTTATAGTCTTATCAAAGCACAGCTGCGATTGTCACTACATTTTACACTGATTTTATATAAGACCCTCAAGTAAGAAGACACCGCAGAACATCAGAGTTGGAAATACCTGAGCCATGTCGAGACAAAATTGCTGCAGGGACTTGCACCAACCTACACCTAGAAAAAGCCGGTGTCAAAGTCGAAACCCCTTTCCCCCCAACTGGCAAAAGTGGTATCCACACTTTAGCACAAAGCACCGAGCCACAGGTGTCACGCGCACAAAATAATAGATTATGCAAGATGATTCATTATCTATTATTTTATGTGCAAATTACTCTCTAGCTAACAAAGTACCTTGTAAGCCCTTTCCATTATAGTAAGCCGGTACCAAAGACATTTTCTCACCCATAGATTAAGCTAAAAAGCATGATTTGTGTGGACCAGTGGACCAGACCAGCAAATTAAGGTAACTTAATCTCACTCATTATGTGAATGCAATCTGTGTTACAGTGACCCCATCATTTTCCCATCATCACGCTTCCTCGATCTATTCTTGCTATCTCTGACTGCTTATCAACATGCTCTGCATGAACGTTCTAGATACTTCCGTCTATTCTTATTATCTCTGACTGCTTATCAACATGCATCACATGAACATTCCAGATAGTTCTTTGACGTTCTTCTTGACTCCTTCACTTCCATAGTCGGCTTGGTCTGTGCCCTTCTTGTTCACTATAAATACCGCAATAGCTACACTTGTATTTCTCTAACTTGAATCTACTTGGTTCTATCCGATACTTGATTATCTTCTGAGGAAGATACTTGATTTCGATCTAGCTCTTGTAGAAGAGACTAGCCTATACTCAAACTTCATCTAGAGGAAGAACCTCAGACATCTGAACTGAACATTGTAACATTCAAACTCCTTTATTGGATCAGTTGCGCAAGAACTATCCAAGTCGTAACAACCTGCTGTTTGAAATCCACACTAGGTGAAATTTTGCTACCCATGGTAGGTACAACGAAACAGACTTGTGTCAATCTGCTCTATTGTGAGGGTAATATATTCAACCTCTAGGGGAAGCTGAGTCAAGTAGAAGTCGGGCGACTAAGTGCGCTCAAAGCATGTGAATGCACATGGTAAGTGGCTGATAAGTGTGATATGTGCACAAAGCACAGGAACACAGTGCTTGTAGTGTGCAAATGCTTAGTGATGTCCTGAATCGTGTGAGGGGCGAGGAATAGATATCAAGTGAATGTATTGGGGATATAGACTTGTAAGTGAAGGGGAGTATGACTCCTGGCTATAGATAGGTGCACTCTAAGGTATAGTACAAACTAGAGATCTGTACTTTGGTCAGGAACTTTCTCTCAAAAGACCCAGTAGAAATAGAGGATAGCTAGTGAAGAGTGAGAGAAAAGCATCCTAAAGTGGCTGATGAGTGCAGGAGAGCAGCCAAAGAACGTCACAGGCATATGCTTGGTATGACAGAATAATGGAGTGGAATAGTGGAGTCAGTGGAGTCAGTGGTAATAAGTAGCTGTATACTATGATATCATAATCCATCAGATCCCCCAAGGTGAGTAGCCATTACTACTTCTATGAAATCATCTTGATTATCCATTCAAAGGTCTAGACTAGTGATCTGCACAGTGTAGAGAGTCATCTCTCTACAGGCTTGTATCATGACATTTCTACATCAACCTCATCCCTATCCAGAGGTTGGTGTGACCCTATTGAGACATGTGCTGCATGTGCAACCATCGGCGCTTACACACATCACACGTGCCGCTTGCGCAAATAGCCACATATTGGTGCTCTACTTGGTATATCCTTCCATGTCCTGTCCTGTCTGTCTGGCTCTGTTGGTGCATACTCCCACTGTTATTACTGTCGCTGACCACATCCAGGGTCTCTTACACATAGGTTTACATACATATCCACTTCCTTTACACTTCCGCGCTGTACCAAACATTCTGACGCTAGCCTCACAATCCACCATTATACATGATTCGGAGCTCACCTGGTTAGGTATAACACATCCGTCGTCATCCGTCCCTTTCCATTGACATCTGTCCTACCGGACACCTAACGGATGCACAACCCATAGTGAATATCGTCATCCTCCCTTGGTCCCTGTCCATCCATGTCCATCCATCCCCATTGGTGCATTATTTTTCCTTTCTTGTCACTCTGATCATCCACAGTCCGTTTTACATGTATGTTCCCATGCACGAGGCCGCTTGATATATTTTACATATAACCACACTATGGACTCGCCTGTACTTACCGCTGCCGCTTAGAAGATTCTGAGTTCTTACAGATCATGATAAATGGTCGCTATTGGTGCGAGTGCACGTGCCGATGCGATAGCACACTAGCAGAGTACGAGCAGGAATACAAACCACTATATATACCTATATCCCCTTGTACCTTCTCTTCCCTCAGTCCATTCCACCGAGACTGAGGGTATGCCCGTTTCCTTATCTCACTCATTATCTAGACACTGACTCATACTTGTATTAGTTGATCCGTGTCTAGGTAATTAATATAGTCCGTTCCACCGAGACTGAGGTTGATCCGTGTCTAGACTCAACAGTCACGCTGTCCTCTGACAATATCACTTCCTTCTACTCCCTTGGATTTTGTGTCTAAGTCCATGTGATCAAATCCCCTTAGCTTTTCACACTGCGACAGATCTTAGTACGGACACTTGCGCTTCTGTTCTCCCGTACTTAGTCAACTCTCTTCTGTTCTACAGATCACTTCCGGTAGCTCGTAACCTCAAAACCTTGCCAGTCACTGTCGCACCGCTAGACATCTGTTCCATCAGGTCCGCTTCCGTCCGGACATCCATTTTTACACCGGACTTTCTTTTCCGCCTTTGCATCAGCAGCATAGATCTTAAGCCTGTAGGGTTGATTCCTTCACACTTATATCATGAAGATTTCCTTCAGTAGCAATCCCCTTGGGATGAGCAATTATACTCACACTCATACAGATTGGTAGTCTACACCAACAGGCTACACGGAATCACTTTTGCTCAGTGCAGCCTATCCACTTCCCTCACGCTTCCACATCCTGAGAGCGTGAGTAGCTACATACATATCTAGAGGACTTAGGATGATGTGATTTACTTACTTTCCCTTACTTGGACTCAGTATCTGTCTTCTGCCGAGTTTGCATGCAGAGCACTAATATCATCACTGCTTGTGTCTATCATCTTTCTAGTCTCATTAAGACTTGTCTGTCATATTCCTAAGGATCCCTATCATTTGCCACCACTGACTTTCTACTTCATGCATATCACACGTTAGCCGCTTCTTATTGCATATCATGTGCATCACACGTGCATGTCATGTATACATCTGTGCATCTTCATGCACCTTCACATAGCCTCGGCTTGTCACCAGTCCTTGATCCTCTTATTATTTAGAGAGATTTGCCTCAGTAGCATCCCTTTGGGACGATTCTACTTAGCTCGCCTCTCGAGGTTATTTCCTTGTGACTCCCAGAGTTCACAGTCTTATTTCCTCACCCACAACTGGAGCCCACCATATGAGGGGATCAATCTGAGAAGACTGACTGAAAAGTCTGACAGAGTGCTTAGGCCCACCAGATTGTGTGCTGAAAATGTGGCTGTACTCAAAGCCTTCCAAAACTTCTCTCTCCAAGAATCATTCATTGTTCCTGTCACTCAGTCAAGCACACACAACTGTTCTGCTTCTGCACCATTATCCGTCTCCATTGCATCACCTACAAAAAGCATTGCACCATCAGAAGGCTCCTCTGAAGCTTCCCTTCACCTCATGCCTACTTCACCCATCATGCCTTCCATGAAAGCTGACTCAGTGAAAGAAGAATCATGAGATGACTTCAAATCAGTAGACCAACCTCGGCACACCATCCCTGACACATATTTCGACTCTCCACATCACCCAAGACTCCAAGGAACCAATTCGCCTTCAACCACTAGCCAAAACCCGACCTGCCAGCCTACACCTATTATCATGCCGCTGTGTCAATTACCGAATGCAAGAGACTTCAATATTGTCAACAAAGAAGCATGCTATTGCAGTCTAGATGTGCTAGTCCCCAAGAAGGAGAAGATAACATCTCAAAAAGAAGCACTGAAGACTGCCAAAGAAAACCCCCCACTACCCATCATCACTCCCAAAGCACCTGTTATAACCAAGGTATATAAACCTTACACCACCATCCCCCTGCCAATATCCACTACGATTACTAACCCCCCCCAGTGCACCTCATACACTTCTTTGAAGACATTGAGCAGCTCACCAACACCACGGGACTGAATGACTCACAACACATTGTAGCGGCAATGCACTATGTCTCCCTAGAGGAGTCAGAAGTATGGGAAGTCCTACCTGAAGTGACAGGGTCAGACTTCGGCTTGTTCGCTGCCATAGTCAAGGCAATATACCCTGGATGTGAAGAAGGAGACCATCATATTCTGTTCCTGAACCTTATCATCCGGTCCGATGTGGGTGAGGAAAATAGGAATGCGAACTCTGGGGAGTCACAAGGATATCTACCTCGAGAGGCGAGCTAGTAGAATCATCCCTTAGGGGATGCTACTGAGGCAATCTCTCTAAATAATGAGAGGGATCAAGAGAATAGCTGAAGCTGAAGATATGCAGAGGTGCGGAAAGATGCGCGATGGATGTGCAGAACGCATGTGATATGCGGAAGAGTTGGAAGAGCGCGGAAGATACGTGAAGTAGATAATCAACAGTGGAAGATAATTGGAACCTTTCCGAGGAAATAAAGACAGGTCTTAATGAGACTCGAGATGATAGACAAGGGCAGTGATGATATTAGCGCTCTATGCGCAACTAGACAGGAAAACAGATACTAAGTCCAAGTAAGGGAAAGTAAGTAAGTCCGGAATCCTCTGAGTCTTCTAGATATGTAGGTTGCTACGTGCACTCTCAGGGTATTGAGACATAAGGGAAGCGGATAGGCTGTGCGGAAGTGTATAAGGAAGCGGACAAGTATGTAACACTATGTAAGAGACCCTGGATGTGGTCAGTGACGGAGATGACAGTGAGAATACGCACCAACGGTACCGGACAGACAGGACAGGACATGGGAGGATATGCCGAGTAAAGCACCGGGATGCGGAAGAGTGCGGAAGGTCGCACATGTAACGTGCATCTCTATAGTACTGCATATACCTGTGGATAGGGATGAGGTTGATGTAGAAATCAGGGGATACGAGCCTGTAGAGAGATCACTCTCTACACTGCCCAACTCTAAAGCTAGTCTACCCAAAACCAATGAATCTAATAAATCTCATTTGCCATCATGTTTTGCGAGTCGACACTTGACAGCTCTACTCTGACCAAGTCTGACTTGAGAAGCTCATGAGCCATTGAGACCTACAATGATGTGCCCATGTTTAACCTATCTGATCCAACTGAAGTGCCTACCAGTGGCACTATCCCTTATCATGGTTTTTCTCATGCCTATGGGAAGACAACTATCTCATTTGAAGGACTGTCAAAGTTTGAAGCTGTTAAGACCGTGCTCAAGGGGCGGATCCGAAGGGCTTGGCTTCAGCTCGTGCGCTGCATCCCTTACCCGAGTATGTGCCCTTAATTTCCGAAGGCTAGAAACAAGGCCTGGTGGAATATGATAAATCCCAGTGGGCTTCAAAGGGAAAGTCTAATGGGAAATGAAGGGTTGGTCTAACAGAAAATGGGGGATTAGTCGGGGGTAAATAGGGGATGGATCCGACAGCACTACAGAGGGAAAGGCTGGCGGAAAACTGAGGATTAGTCCGCCGGAAAATAGGGGATTAGTCCGACAGAACTACAGAGGGAAAAGTCGATGGAAAACAGGGGATTAGTCTGCCGGACAGGAGGGGATTTTCCTTGTTAGCATCCGGAGAGCCGAAGCATGAGGCCGTGGGATGCGGGGTTTCAGGCAAAGCTGTTGGGGCCCATTTCCTCCTGTTTGTAGTTTGTGTCCTGCCTTATGCCACAATGTTTAGCTCGTTGATTTAGCTGTAGTCTTCACTCACCTTAGTTTCTTTGTCGCTGCTCCCTCCGGCTGCTTCAATGGCTGGTAAAAAAACACTTTGCTCAGCCTTCTCTCAAGCCTCCTCCGGTTCCCAGTGGTTCTGGGCTCGCCCCTCTGGACTCTCGGCTCTCATCGCCAGATTCAGACAGGGAGGGCTCTGGCAGGGCCAGCAATAGGGCCGACGGTTCCCTTTCCCCGGGGCCTGAAGGCAGCGAGTTCGACTTTGGTCAGGCTGAGATGTTGACTTCAGCTCTTCCCCAATTTGGGCTGCAACACCCTTCAGACGACACACCTCTCCGTGGGGGGGGCAGTGTGCTGCTCTCCCCTGAAGGAGGGCCTTGTGGCCATATTTGTGAGTGTTCTGGAGGATCGGCAGTCTCCCCTTCCATTCCTCCCCTCAAGAAGTGGAAAGGCAAGCAGCGGGCCACACTTCCCTCTAGGGATTCACCAGATCCGCCAATTGCTTCTCCCTTGCCTTCGCCATCTCGGGCCACCACCCCCCTTCCCCCAGGGAGGTTGCGCATTCCAGGGGGGCGTTCGCGCGGCTCTAGCAGAGTTTCTTCCGCCCCTCCCCCTGTGTCACATCGGGCCATGATCTGGGAGACCCTGCGGTTCAAGAGCAGGTCAGACTGGCATTTTGCGACAACACTCAATGGTTTGACGTGAAAGCTCACCTCCCTAAACTTCCTCGGGTGGTCCCTGGGCCTTTCCCCCCTCTGCCATCTGTCTTACCTGGTAGGTCCTTTTCCTTTTTCTTCGGGCTCGCCTTCCTTCGCCCCTTCCTTCCTCCCCGGGAGGGTAATTTTTTGTCACCTCCTGTTTCCGTGGGTGGGAGGGCTTCGGCCTTTCTGGTGCTTGTGTCCTTGGGGGCTGCATATATGCACCCTCTTTCTATTCGAGGCCTTTTCGCCTCCTCGCTTCCCTCGTTGCGCTGGCTCCACCAGTCGCCTCCTTGCCTTGTGGGGGTTTCCCCCCCCTCCCCATCCTTCCTGGTGGGGGGATTCATTTTTTCCGGCCTCCCTTATTTCGGCCTTCATTTCCATTGGGGCTGACACTGTCTACCCTTCAGGCATTTCCAGGCCTCAGGCTCAGTTCAACTTCCCAGAGCAGGCAACTCGCACCCTTCTTCCAGGGGCAAAGCTCGGCTCTCTCTCCTTTGGCATTTCAACCGCCGCCTCTGTTGCCCCACACTCATTGCCCGTGGCACCATCACAACTCCTGGGCAACACTCTGCCAGAGTCCAAGGCGGTGGCCATGGCCTTGCGTAACAATTGGCTCGTGCACATTCCCTTGTCAGCCTTGTCCACCAAGTCCTTGCTGCACTTGGGTGCTTCCATTCGCTCCCAGCTGGATTCCGACCAGTCACTTTTGGTGAAAGAAGGAGTCTTAACAGTGTCCGCACCGCACCTTGATACAAAGGTGGAAGGCCTGATGACAGCGGAGGATTGGCAGCATGCTTGGCCACGGCTGGTCAATATGATCAGATGCTACCTGCCTGGTGAGGAGGCTGGCGTCATAGCCGATGATTGGTGCTCCCATTTTGAAGCTATCTATGAACGCTACGACTTCTTCCGTAATTTCCACTTGTATCTGAAATATGACATTTGAGTCCGCCAGGCCTTCATCCACAACCACTCTTTCAACCCTGTGCATTGGCAGGAAGAGGTGTGGAAGGCTATAGTTCGTGACCACGAATCTCTGGCTGCTAGCTCCCAGCCCTTTCCATCTGGGGGACGAGGAGGGGGCAGCTCCTCGTCCTTTCGCTCTGCCTCTACGTCTACGGCCGTTTCCAAACCCCCGTCCACTCCCGCGTCACGCGATTCCTCGCAGCCTGTGTCAGCTCACCGCTGCATCTTCTGTGGTAAGGCTGGTTGTCATTCCTGAGCCTGTGGCACTACTCACACCAATTTCATGTCCCTTGACCCCACCTCCAATATCTGGACGTCTTCTTCGGGTGAGCAACATTGCTTCAAATTTAATGGACGAGGATGTGCTTGTTCAAGTCTGAATGTGGCCGTCAACACCTCTGCACTCGCTGCGGAAGCGCGCACTCGGCTCAAAGCTGCACACTCTAACGGCTTCCTTCCAATTGTCACACTGTTCCTCTGGCAGGCCTGGCACTCCCACCTTCTTCTCACTGGTGCTCTTGATGATTTCTCAGATGTTCCTAATGGTATCCATTTTGGCTGGCGCTTGGGCGTCCCAGACTCCTTTCCTTTGTCTTGTTCTTATATTCCTGCTAATCACCAATCCGCCGGTGACCATCCCGATTTCATTGCCTCATATATTCAATCAGAGCTGGCCAAGGGCCGCTACACTGGACCGTTTTCTCCTGACCGCTTGGAGCAGATCATAGGTTTCTTTTGCACCGGTCCTCTGGGGGTCATCCCCAAGCCGGGTTCCTCTAAATTTCACCTCGTTCAAGACCATTCTTTCCCTCGCAATCATCCTTTCATCCCTTCCGTTAACTCCTCAATTGATTCCTCCCAGTTCCAGTGTGACTGGGGAACTTTCGAGGATTGTGAATGTCTCGTAACGCTCGCTCCTCCTGGCACTCAGGTGGCTGTCTTTGATGTCGAGGCAGCTCACTGTCGCTCACCAATTGCTCCCGAGGATCAATGTTTCGTTTGCGTCATGTTCTCGCGCGACGGGCGGATTCAAATTTTCATCGACCACACAGCTTCTTTCGGCTGTTCAAGTTCCAACAGCATTTTCGGGCGGCCAGGGGATGCGATTGTGGTTATCTACAAGTTTCATGGGGTTAATGACCTTCTCAAATGGGTAGATGATTTCATCTTCTTTCATTACCCCGTCGTGAGCTTGCTTGGTGTCCCTTATCGCGCTCTTCGTCTCGTTCCTAACTCGCTCCTTTTCAGAATCCTTCCACCTCAGGCCCTTGGCTTTACTCATATGATGAGGCCTTGATCTTGCATATTGCAGAAGAGTTAGGTTGGCCCTGGTCCCCCTCCAAAATCAAGCTCTTCGCATTCCTTTTCATTTATCTCGGCTTTGAATGGGACTTGGTCTTGAAGTCCGTCAGCATCCCCTTGGCAAAATGTCTCAAATACCTCTCTTGCATTGAAGGCTGGGTACCGGGCGCTCACGTGTCGCGTGCAGACTGCGAAGCCGTGCTCGGCTGCCTTCATCATTGCTGCTTAGTTCTACACGATGGAAGGGCTCACTTGCCTTCCTTCTACCGTCTTCTATCCTCGTTCAATTCAACCACCTCCCCCCATCTCCTTCACAAGATCCCCTCCGCTGTTCTGGAGGATATCGCCTGGTGGTGTTCTAAGTTAGGCTCAGACACTTGTGTAAGGCTCTTACACTGCATCCCAGATCCCCTCCCCTTGATGGTTTTCGTCGACACTTCAATGTCCTTCGGTATCGGGTTTTTAGCTGACAACCGTTGGTGGGCGTGGCGACTCCTCCCAGGGTGGAAGGATGAAGGAAGGGATATCAGTTGGGCGGAGATCGTTGCTTTAGATCTCGGTTTGTGGGCTCTCGTCCATTCCGGTCTTCGCAGTGTGGGTACAACAATCCTGCTGAGCTGCAGGGAAATGTTGGGTCTTGCTGGCCTATGGCTAGTTCAACCCTAAAGGGTCTCTGCTCCAGGCTCAGTGCTCACAGAGAGAAACAGATGAAGAATAAAGACTGGACACTCAGGCAGACTCAGACTTAGACTGGTACTGGTGAAAGATCGACTGGATTATGTAAGCAATAAGAGTGCTAACATAAAGTAAGGAAAGTATCAAATACAGGGCCAGAAAATGGAGGTTTCCTACAGCGGGGTCCATATTCATTTCCATTCCGATAATCAAGGAGTCGTTGGTGCCCTCCAGGTGGGGAAATCAAGGAGCATCGCCCAAAACAATATCCTGCGCCGTCTCTCTTCTTTTGCATTAGATCATGACGTGTGGTTCTCTGTTACTTGGGTGAAGTTGGCAGACAACCTTTCTGACTCCATCTCGAGAGGATTTTTCCCTTCCACACACTCCCGCTTCGCTCAACCGCCTCCCATGCCTCTCTACCTTAAGCCGTTTGTGGCATTGGTCTAATCGTCTATTGTCTTTTCTTTCAGTTCAAGTTCTTACACATGCTTTTTCGCAGTCTGCTTGTCTTTCTTGGGCAGTGTTCTTGATCCCTTACGTGTTTCCTTTATCAGCATCATTCATTTGCACGGTCCTATAGAGTTTTCTTAGCATTGTTCATTTTCACAAGTATAGTTAATCAAGCTTTTGGGTTTGATTCCATTTTCGTGCGCGTACTCGTGTGATCTCTTGCCCTGGGATTTCTCATGCCTGGGTTTGTTCAATTTGGTCTCAGTCTGCTAGTCTGCGTGTGTATATTCAACTTTCTCTGTTCAAACGGGTTGCTTTCCTACCACTCTCTCCCTTATGGCTGCCTCTCAAAGCTCAGACATGTATAATCTCTTATCAGCTGCACTTCTAGATATTCCTGTACCCACTCCTTCTCGCTCACAGAGCACATTTCATTTATCGGCAGATGCAAACACTCGCATCGACAGGGTTCTCTCTGCGGCTTGGGCCGATTCTACCTTAGCTCAGTTTCGCCATTCAATCTCTCTGTTCATCAATTTCTGCGACGCAGAGCAGGTTCCATTTGATTCAAGGTGTCCTGCTAGCGAAGACCTACTTTGTGTGTTTGCAGCTTCGAGGGCTGGTGGGTTATCCGGCAATACAGTTCATAACCAACTTATGGCGTTGAAAGCCTGGCATGCATTCAATAACGCAAAGTGGCAGGGTGGTTCACGTCTTCATTATTTGCTTAACGGTGTGGCCGATCTCACCCCAAATTCATCTAAACTCCCTCTGCGTCCACCTGTGTCGCATTCTATGCTCAGCTATCTCGCAAGTTCCCTCAATTCTTCAAACCATCTCGATGTTTGCTGCTTAGCGGCAGCAACCATCACATTCTGGGGCCAGTTACGTCTGGGCGAGATTCTCTCCCCTTGGGAAAATTTGTTTATCGCCTCACGCGTGTCTTGCCGTTCTGATTTGGGCACTGCATTTAATGATAACGGTTCACGTCGCCTCCATTTGCCTTTCACAAAGGTCAAAAAGACCCGGGGGGAGGACATCATCTTGTGCCGTCAAGCAGATTCTACAGACAGCATTTCCGCTCTTGCCCATCATTTAGCATTCAACTCTTTTCCTCCAGAGTACCCTCTCTTTTCCTACATCACCATTACAGGTCCTCGTTGTCTAACCAAGCGGAAATTCCTGTCCCGTTGCAACGCCTGTTGGTCCTCAGCAGGTTATCCAACTCTAACAGGGCACTCCTTTCGTATCGATGGAACAACAGAGATGCTTCTCGCAGGAGTCGACCCTAATGTCGTCAAAGTGTTGGGCAGATGGTCTTCAGATTCCTTCCCTCATTATTGGAGATCACTTGAACTTCTCGCGCCGCGACATGTTGAGTTCCTACCTAATTAGCTTGGTTTCGCCTTCTCATGGCTGGGTTCGTGCCTCGTCTCTCGGCCCTGGCGGCTTCGCCTTGCCATTCCGGCTTTGGGTTGGTTCCTCCTCCATCCTCGGGCACACACCGCAGTCGCTTTCAGATTGTCAAGTCACACGTTGATTGCTTAAGTCAGCGCGTTTCCTCGACACTCTGTTGGTAGCTCCTCCCCATCACTGGGAGGGCCTGCCTGTAGCTCATTCCCCTTTCAGTTCCACTTGTTCCCTTAGCCACACGCCCTAGCCCGAAATGCGGAAAATAGAGGATTAGTCCGCCGGAAAATAGGGGCTTGGTCAGCTGGAAAATAGGGGCTTTAGTCCGGCGGAAACAGTGGACAGAACAGACAGATGGAAAGACCGAAAGGCAAGAAGGCAGAAGCTAGAGGTAAGACTACACTAGACAATGTCTAGAGTAGAAACTGACGGAGGTAGACTACCCTAAGGTAGAGGCAGAGATATAGCACAAGGAATCAATCTGAGGACTCAGAGTTTGGACAGGGAAGTGGACCCAGGCCCGTGGAAATGGATCCGGATCCCAGGAAACAGCAATGACGATAATCTAAGGTGATATTCGAACTGAAGAAACTACTATGAGTTTACAAGGTATTATATACTATGGACATGTGTGACAGGGACAGAGTCAGCAGAGATCCAGGTCAACAAGAGGAACATACAGAAAGGTTAAACTGACAGGTGCAAGGAAAATAATATAGGAACGATTGGGAATGGAGATGGAGATGAAGTATTGAATGGATCCGGGCATAGGAGATATGATTGAGAATGAAGTCGGATATTAACTGTCGAGCAGATCCAGGAATATAGGGGTTAGGACAAGGGGACTATACAAATGGGGTAACAGAATAGAAGTAGGACCAGAAATGAACTATCAGGTGGATCACAGGAGGTGGAGCTGAAATGTGAAGTGGATCTGGTGTTTGGGGGTTGAGTGGATCCGATGTTTTAGGGGTTGAGTGGACCCGAGTGGATCCATCATATAGGGGTTGAGTGGGATCCAATGTTTTAGGGGTTGAGTGAATCCGACACATAGCGGTCAAGTGGGTCCAACACTTAGGGGTCACATGGATCCGATGTTTTTAAAGGTTGAGTGGACCCGAGTGGATCCAACATTTGGGGGTCGAGTGGATGCAGGATGAGCAGGTGAGCAGAGGAGCAGATGACATCTAGACAAGAAGGGTCGATGATGTATGACATGGTAGGGCAGACTAGCTGCAGGGATCCAGACTTTGTATTGACAGGTTAGGGGCAGCAGGGTGGATTCTGCTGAGGGGTATGTCCAGTGGAAACTGGGATGCGGGGTTATCCTGCTGAGGGGTAGGGATAGGGTGAAGTTATAGCTTGGCTACGTTTTGGAGGTCTGGACATTGTTTGTCAGGAGATATGAGATATGATTCAGGGGCTCAGTGTACAGTATATGACAGAAGCCCAGGGCTATCTATTAACTGAGCACTTGAAGTACAATGATTACCACTCAGTTTACATGCCTGATGTGGTTCATGCTATTGAATCTTACTGTTTCTGCCAGGACAAGCTCATCACGAATGACTGGAACATCCATCTCTTCTATGATGGTTCATATCTGGGACATCCTGTTATATCTTGGGGAATCAAACTCCCTACCAGTGGTCCTTGTTCAAACCACTTGTCACCAAGTCTTGATACCAACAATACCAACGACCCTCTGATCCATTAACATTTCTCACAAGACTTAGCTCAGAGTTCCTACCTGAGTCTACACTTTCAGTGTAACATGGGGTTGTAACATGGGGTAAAAAGTGGAATCGAGATAAGGAACAGATCCAAGGGAACAGCTGTAGATCAGATCGGGGATAAGATTCAGGAAACGCAGGATATGACATCCCTGTTGAGCAGAAATAATAAGTATATTCACTATTTCAATACCATGCATTAGCCTATTTTGAGCTAATTCTGATTATCAAAAGCAAGTGTATATGCTATGCCAGTGATATATGTTGAATAGACTGGATTATTTATGCAAGAATAAAGCAGTTAGAAATATGAAAAATGTGAAAAATGTTATTTGTCAAGTTTTATTTCTAGAGAAAGATCCTATCAGTGTCCTGGGCTAGCTATATGATATATCTACTATAAATATACATAGAAATAGACATCATATTTTCCTTGAGGTCTAGTCCTACAAATCATGTTTCACAGGAAGTGTGCCATTAGGAAAGGGAGACATAGTCTTTTCCTATAATCCTAGACTTCTGATACATTGTTCCTGCTGCTCAATAGATACTAGGGATTATGTCTACTAAGAAATAAACACATGGAAGCATATTTGGTATTTTCTGTTGTCCAAATAGTGACTGAGATGATATTAGTACATGCAAGATACTACAAATACTGAATACAGATTGTTGATATTAATATGTCTAGTAGCCATAGTTATTAGACTGCATAAAAAGTGTAGTGAGCTTCTGCAACAGAGGTCATAAAAGGGTTTCACTATCAATAGTTAAAGCAAAAGATCGCTCATGGGGCCCTACACGTTCATGCATATTTTGAGGACACCTAGGAGTTGGCCATTCTGTTGGGAAAAATGTTCCGGGTATCATTTCCAGCATTCTATGCCAAGTATGAAGCTGCCTTTCTCACTGGCCGTTGGACAGTAACTGATCCAGGGCCCCTCCTTGGAAGAGTCTTGATGTGGAAACTACAAGTCATGCCCCATCAGGACTTGTTGCACATGACGGAACAAAGCTCAGGCAACTCACCTCGGGCATTCAAGGTGCGACACATTCCCCCATCTTCAGCCTCTTCCTCTTGATTGACATATCATGACAGTCAGCATGGTGAGTACAAATCTATTCACCACTTATCTAATTATAACTCACCCAACCGACAGGCCTTATCTGGTGGAAGATTATGATCCATGGATTCATAGATGGCTACTCCCAATATATTACCGGCCTTCGCGCACATAATAATAATCATGCACAAACTGTCTTGGAACTTTTTCAAGATATAAGTGGTAAGACTCAAAGATATGCAGTCTAGGAAAAACAGAGTATCAACTTGAGGATAGTGATCTAATAGAAATTCAGAACATACAGTCTCCTATGTTTTCATGTTGAAGAAGCTTGTCCTTGTTTAGAATAGAGATCTGCCCCCAAGCCACATTGCCAAGAGCTGATGCAGTCAGTAGGTGGGACCTAGTGGCAGGGAAGAGATCATGCTGTACCTTCAAAAACCTGATTGACAGTTTGCAATTTGGCCAGAACTTCATAACTATGACATATCTTGCCAGCTATTATTTTATATAAATATAACAGTATAGCCTGACCCACTTTTCCCCTCCAATTGATTCATAACAACAAAGACAAATCATTTTCTTACTACTAGTGTCTACTACCAACAGAAAAATCATGCTACTCTAGTGTCTGCAATCTGGTATTTATTTTGCAATCTGAATATTAATGTCCTTGTTCAATAAAAAGGTCAAGACACTTCCCAAAGATGTCAGTGATAGAGAAATAACAAAGGTACTTGAGAATATGATGTAGTAAGTGAAGTGTTATACAAGCTAAACACTATCTTTATCACTAGTTGGTTTCCTCATTTCTATTATTAACACCACTTATGAATTATCCTTCTGTGAAATCTAGGCTAGTCTCTTAGGTCTGTTTTTCAAAGAGTCCTCAGATTACTTAGTAATTTCATGATGTGCCCTTTTACTACTTCTTAGAGAAAGGCATGGCTATATGGCTGACTTTATAATCATTACACATAATAACTTGAAAGTGCCCATATTATTCCTACGACAAATTTGAAACTAAGGTTGCTATCCTTCCCTATGTTCCTGCCCTTGAGTATAGGCTATCAAAGATATCAGCTTTTCACGATAAGCATGACCCAGAGCTCCCTCCTATAATATATCACTGATTTGCTCATTTCCATCTGGTTCCTTAACCACCTCTGTATGATTGAGATTATTAGCCTCTTGACAGACCCAATCCATTGAGCCCTTGTTTTCTTTAAAACCACAATGTTTCTTAAACCGGATAATCATGTTGTGAAGTATAAGACAACACTAGATCCAATGAACAGCAGCTTGCAGGACATCTGCTGAATTGATATTCTAGTAAAGGTCTTGAAGAGATTGAAACCACTCTTTTGATGCAGTAAATATATGTTTAACATGGACACAGACCTGTATCAATATGGATAAGAAAAAAATAGGCAATAAAAAACATACAGAAGACAGGTAAAAATTGAAGGTCCTTTATTTGCTATCAGCCATCCATTGCGGGATTTCTTGAAAGGAGAAATATACTGGGTGTTCCGTGGATAGGCACTGTACCCAGATCCAGTGATTGGCTAGAAGAAGTGTGTCATGTTCTTGATAGATACAAGTGGATCTAAAGGCATATGCATTGTAGACACTTCCATAGTGACCAAGAGAATAGTTAATGATTAGAAGGTTGTGGAGCATAATTACTGCCTTGAATTTATTTCAATTTTTAACCATAGGAAAATAAAGTAAAGTGAACTTACTTGACAGGTAAGGAATTATTTTGATTTCCTACCATAAAAACCTAGTGGTAAAAACCAAGTGTTGCATACAGATCAATCAATGTCTCATCAACAGCTAGAATACTATTCTGCCACTTAAGGTAGATGGTTAGACATGTAGTATACCTCTGAGCATGCTTAAAGTCCTGTGAGTCATGTGGAGGGAAGCTCATGAACATGTCATGTTGATTGAGCAGTACAACAATTACACAATTAGTGTAATTAATAATTCAACCAACACTAATACCCGCCCATTGAGCTACATTATTGAGAGTGATGACATTATCATAGTGGCTAGCACAGTATGTTCTTATTTGAGGGTCTTATATAAATTATATGTAAAACACAGTTTCAATCACAACTATACTTTAATAAGACAAAAGTTGCCAGCCCCTCAAGTTCATGGTCAATAGATTTTCTACTTCTCAGTTGATAACATGTTGTTTATGGGTGGTCAAAGAGTAAATAAGTTACTTTTTTATTTGAAGAAACCATGCTGAATGTGTCTTTGATTTCTCTTTATAAATAAATATCACTTAGGTATATTTTACCCTAGTGTGTTGTGTCTCAAACTACAAAAGTTTGTTTCAACTTTGTTGTGTTCTTCTGTTTTGTATCACTCTTCCTGTAAAAGAGAGAGGGTTTTGTTATGTACACATAAAGCTTAGCTCAATAAATTAGTAAGCAATTTGTTATATAGACAACCACTCTAGAGCTCTACTATAACTTGAAAATTGGTGTGATATAATCTTACTTCAAGGCAACTTGTTAGCCCGCACTCTTACTATGTCTTGCCTGATCTCACTTTTATTTTAGTGCAATATGTGGAAATATAATCATTGTAAGGTTAGCACCAGAATATTTACCACATTGCAAAGAAAAAGCTTCAAGGGCTTATTGTAACTATAAACACTGATACTGACAGTGCTCCTGATAATATGAAGTACAACATGATGATAAAAACTGCACTGCAAACAGCATGAATTGAACTCTACAGGCACAGTATTTTTAAACTGCAAACTGCTAGAAATTATGTAGACACATATAGCGGCAGGGTTCAATTGTGCCCCTAACAAACTCTGACACACTCCAAGTTATGTTGTGCAGATTGTGTAAAATCTAAAGTTCAAGACATAATAAGTTAGAAGACAAACAAAAATAATGGAATAGGTGCCCCTCAGCCTGGTGATCCTGTGAATATCAGACTTAGCTGGTTAACATGTTGTGAATACAATTCCAATTATTTTCACAATTCACTGTCCCTGATCAATGTCTGGCTGTGTTAGTATTCATGTCAGTAGGTGGGATATCATATGAGGTGTACAATGAGGGTGTCACAGGCCCAAGAAGCAACACCACTAAGTATGCAGAGCAGTTGTGCACCATACTCAAATATGCAAGACACACTGCCATGGGCATCCTCATCGTTTGTTGCCTCCCTAGGTCGGGAGTCCATGACTCAGTTGTGAAATGGGACACAACTGCCTACATTATTTTGGCTAATTGTCAAATCTTGGAAGCGATAGGTCAGTGTCTAAATATAGTGCTTACTAAAATTTACATTAATATTGATACTCCACAGCAATTAACACCACTGGACATGTGTTTAAGTAGTGTGAAGGGAAGAGAGCTCAAGGTGATTAGCTGTATCTATACCACATTGGTATTCCTTTGACTTTACCATCATCTGTGCCAGGCTATCAGCCATATGGCGCAAACACAAATGTTCTCAACGTTTCAGCGCGACAATTTGGAAGACCCACCAATCCCCGATACGCAACCTTGGGTGCCATTTCGAACTCGCCTGGACTTCGAGGTAGCTGAACTTGCTCATGAAGCTGCCCTTAGCCAGCCTCAAATTGACCGGCTGATCAACCTTTTGCATCGCTCGAAGCAGGATTCAGAGTCTTTCACCCTCCGCAACTACAAAGATGTTCGGAACACGTGGAGTGCTATCTCCCATCGTCTAACTCCAGTAAGGTCCTCTCGGTGTTTTGATTTAATTCATTTAACAAGCGTGTTTTGATAGTTTACAAAGCAAATAATCCAAGTGCCTTACGATGGGGTTGATCAAGAATTCACCCTTTACTACTGGGACTTATGGGACTGGGTGTGCGACCTCCTTCGAGACCCTTATATTGGCCCCCAATTTACCTTTGACAATCAATGCCTGTCGAAGTTTGATGGGAATACATTTGTGAGATTTATCGATGAGCCTTGGACTGCAGATAGGTTTTGGGAGGCTCAGGTGAGTGTCGAGTAGCACAACATTAGTTTCAGCAACTCACTCAAGTTTAATACATCCAATCATCTATGCCCAGCCATGCGAAGCCACTTGCATTTATCCTCTATGCAGATAAGGCAAAGTTGTCTTCCTTCGGTCGCGAAAAAGGCTACCCCGTGATTGCCCGTATCGCAAACCTCCCAGCATCCATCCGAAATGGCGAAGTGGTTGGTGGCGGTCGAGTTGTCGCATGGCTCCCCATTGTATTGTGACTCCATACTGCTTGACTATTGTTTAACTAACACTGATTTTTCAAGGTCAAAGATGATCCCTCGAAGTCAGGAAAACCGAAATTCACGGATTTCAAAGCGGCGGTTTGGCATGAGTCCTTTAAGCTCATACTCAAGTGTCTTAGATTGAAGAGGAAGCATGGTGGATGGGTTGAGTGTTGGGATAAACTTCAATGCCTTTTCTTTCCTTTTGTCCCGATCTTGTCTGCAGACTACGAGGAGCAGTGCATATAGTCCAGAGCATTATCTATCGTGCTGCTAAGGTGTATTATGTGCAGATGTGTTATGTCCCTGATCTGTGGAGTCATGGGAAAATTTCCGTGTCCCATTTGCTTGGTTCCCCATGACGAGTTACATAGTCTGTTGGACACCTGGCCACTTCGCACATGTCGCGATTCTGTTCGCCTGCTCAGGAAGGCAAGAAGGAAGACCACTAAGGCAAAGCAAGAGAAGAAGTTGAAGTCTCAGTCGCTGAGAGATGTCGAAGTAAGTATTTGAATCTTATTATATTGCTGGAATCAAGTTTACAGTGTAACTCAACAGAACTCTCTCAATCTATCAAAGCTTCTGGACGTCTTTCGTGCCCTTTGTTTCGACCGCCTACATACCCACCATGAAGGACTGTGGGGGAAACACTTGTGGATCGAGCTGCAAAAATGGATTAATGAAACCGGTAGACAAGCTGCGACTATGATAGATGAAGGGTCTGTTTTTCGTTTCATCACAGACATCTGAATCCATTATAAGTGTTTCTCAGGTTCGCAGCAGCACCAAGGTGGCGGAATCTCAACCACTTCAAGAGAGTCATGGGAATTAGCTTTGCTGACGGGACAAAGTACGAAGACATATTAAAGGTGATTGACTTGGACACTCTCGAAATTTCAATTATAATTGATGTTCACCCTTTACATGCAGTTGATTGTGTTTGTTGCTCATGACGTACTCGATCCTGAAGTACACGAGCAAGGATATCTCCTCCTTCAATGTATTCGAGCCCATTTAGATGTAGACATGTTCGCGGCTCTTGAAGTGCACACCATGGACACCCTTGCTGCTGGTCGAGCCGCTCTTGGCGAGTTTTCTAGACTCATGGATGTAAGTTGTGCTTTACACTAGCCCTGTCGAGTAGCTGACAGATCATTAATAGAAATATATGTCTGAATCTGGATCTGAACTGAAAAATTGGAATTTTCCAAAGCATCACTTAGCTGTTCACCTTTTTGACGATATCGAGGCCAAAGGCGTTACTCGGAATTTCAACACCAAACCAAATGAGAAAGCACATAGACCCCTGAAAAAATCTTACCAGCTCCAAACAAATTTCAAACAAGTTGCAGACCAGGTCGGGCATCTGCTACCACTTCTGAACTTACATTGATTACCGAGAATACTAGATCTTACGCGCAGACCATTGGAGCCTTGTATCGGCATGGATTCGCTATCGCCTCAATGATCTCGATGACTACAATGCAAGAAAGGAAGCGAGTGCTCTTGGCGGTTCAGATTTGGATTCACATGCAGATGACACAGCCCCGGACGAGAGAGTTACGCCTAGATTGGAGTCCACTGGCAGCTTTCATATCAAGCTTGGTTCACGTCAGCGTATATCCTCAATAAATGCCATTCAGCAAGCACACCTCAAAGACCCAGCATTTCATCAGTTTCATATCAAAATTAACCACTTTCTCAACACGATACCCATCATTACACGGAATGGACATGTTGCACTTGAATTGGGTGCTGATACAGTGAGATTTTCGTTCTTCTTGATGAGTCGGCCACAACTTTAATACTTTGATTTGCGCTGTACTGACAGGTGACAGAATTCCGTTACTTGCAAGCAAACTTTGAGTCGATGGTTGATTTTCAGACATCAAAAGACTACCTCCGCTGCTCCCCGATGTTCCACAATGCGCCGAGATATGACTCCGTCATTATCAGGACCCAAGATGGGATCATCTTTGGTCACTTGATCTTCATATTCATGTGCTTGGTTGGAGATGCAAGTTACCCCATGGCTCTCATTCATCCTTGCGACGTCCCTATTCCAAATGGGCCTTTGAAGGACAAGCACCTAGGGTTATGGCGAGTTAGAGCTCAACCTCGGCGTAAGAGTGAGTTTGTCTTCGCTGAATCGATTATCAGGGGGGCACTGTTGCTTGAGGATCGCTCTCAGCCTGGTGACTTCTTTGTTGTCGATTCCGTCGACACTGATATGTTCCTTCACACGAAACTTCACAAAGACTCTCATATGTACTGATTGCGCCAGTGTAGCGTTTAATAGTCCGGTCTCATGCATCTGCCTCTAGATCTCCCACAGCCAGTGTATTATGTACTACATACATTTGATGTTGGCATATTATGAGCTACCAACAAACATTTTCAAATCCATACTAATACAGTTGGTCTTTCCCGCAAAAACAACCTCACTGCTCATGTATGAAGATCGCCACCTTGCAAGCTATTGGTTATATCTGCGAAACCATAGTACATTTACCTTCTGTACTTGATCAACCATTGCTCATCTAACACTGAAACCCAGAAGCCTTGACCTTGAGTCTGCATTCAACTTGTAATGACGTCGTAGTCAGAGTCTAGCGGTATGTGAGAATTATTATTACATTTGTCGTAATCACTTCAAAATTGATTTAAATAACATGTTCTGAATCAGATTCAGCTTTCTCAAGACATCTTAATCTCCCTAAACCACCATGGTCCTCAGAACGAGAGACACGTTGTTGCAACATGGGGTTTCTGAATCGTCCCAACCTCATGTCAATGGTGAATTTCAAATGATTCACTGTCAATTTTATTACTATTAACCACTGAACAGTTCAGGCAGCCGTATTAGCTGCTGCTATCATTCAACAAGTCCCTAATGATGTTAGTTCTGACTCGACTCTGAATTCTGCATGCAATTCCATCAATTCAATCGGCACTTCTGAATCCCCCATACACTCTCTGACAGTACCGCCTTTCTACTATCAACGACACCTGTCATCAAGTTGCCAGGACCAGCCATATTCTGGGAACATTCGTGTTGAAGTAGACACTTCGTCCGAATCAGATTCCGAAAAGCTTGTCAGACCTAACATTAGTCGACAGACTGCAAGTGGGCAGCAGGTATTGTAGTCATACTTGATGTCGATCAGTCCTGAGAGCTTATTTTCGTCATTGATAACAGCGCGCCCCTGCCCGCATTGACAATAGGCTTCAGCATGGCCACATTGTCAGTAGCACGACAAACCAACAGCAACAGCGTGCGGACCCTTTACCTTGCCGTATCAATGTCGATCATATTAGGCTTCAACATGCCCAAACAAACAAACCATGTATCGACCCTGGACCCTCTGATGTCGCTAATAATGTGACAAATCGACACCGTCAACATGTCCCAACCATCAATCAGCATCGTGAACGTGCCCCGGTTGTCGATCTTGCAAACCAACCACACCAAAATGCAAGGCTGCCCGCACTACAACGACAACCGTCCTCAGAAACAATCGCCTCAGTTACTACCACAGGCTCTGGTGTTGTTGAGAAGTTCTACTCAGTCCGACGCGGCTGGTGCACTGGTGTATTTACCTCAAGGTATTTAAAATTAACTCCTTCAAATGGTTTCCTGATGTATTGTTAATTTTGACAAATTATAGATTAGCGGCTGTTATGTTTGCGTGTGGTGCCACAGGGGGAAACTACAAGTCATTTCGAAGCAAGCGAGCAGCTGTGGATGATTATCGTCTCAACAAGGGGCGAGCATAATACTATGTTGCAGATGTGTTGTTGATGTACTGACAGCAGCGACAATTTAGTCTTTCACGATAGTCACTCTATTATCTCATATACTCACCAATTCATATGCATGATCTCACATTTATTGCTATTAGTTGTCTGAAGTGACTGTTAGTTACAACGTCATGGTGAACTGGACCCTGGACCCAACTCTGTTGTTGGATTCAGAATCAATGGATCCTCCTGCTTCCTCATATGCAAGGTGCGCTGGAGATTCAGAAGCTCATGGGCAATCATCAGGTGAGTGCTCCATTCATAGTTATGACTGGGAAGCTTACCTGCTTCTTATTATTGTTAATATGCCTGGTCTAGGACCCGGTGCGCCGGAGAAGCTCACAAGTGCTCCATTCATGGTTATGGCCTATTAGGTATGTCAACGATCTATTACTTGAATGTTATTTGAAGCCTCAACCGAATCCTCATTCGTGCTTGGCATCATAGGGAACACCTTCTCCACGATGTGTCGTCAACCGACCTTGGAGCATAATACACACCTCAGTGGTGTGTTTTGATCGATTCTGAATCAGATTTGGAACGCTCAAGGTTCCTCGCAATGGAAATTCTGATCCGATGATTGTATTTCTAGTCGCCATCATTGATATTACTCCTCTGAATCTGCCTAGACTTACACTGATTATTCCATCCTGACAGCCACAAATCGGATCGCAACAGCAAGTCAATGCAGACTCAGAAAGGTGACGGAATCTGGCAGTGTTGATGTAACACGTCTCATGTTATATTACATAGGGGAATTAAATCCACGTCAAGTCAAGTGCTGGTAGCTACGAGGCGATTAGTCAAGTGCCTCACTTTGTCTGATTCAGATCCTCATGCATTGTCACCATCACGTTCCCGTCATGACCCACGTAAACGAGCACTCAAGCAAGTAAGTCCTTGCTGCGCATCATCAGGACACATTTTTTGATCGCTTGTTAGCCCACTTTGAATGACAATATATTAACCCCCAGCATTATTTCAATCCCCCGTCGACCACTCATCTGCGTCTTCCCTCAGATTGATCTGCATCGACATTACGGTCGAAATTCCATCGTGTCCCGCTATTCAAGATGATTCAGAATGGACCATACAGTCATATTAGGTCTGATGATTCAGACTCTGAGGCTGCAGGCTCGCAACGTCATGCTCCTGAACCTTCTATCTCCAATCCTCATCCTGCGGCAGGTGCAACAAGTCATCGCACATCTGCTCATGAAGAATCTCGTATTAGTACAGTGAGTTAGATATATCGAAACAGTTGTCATACTCAAGTGACTCACTCAGATCTCTTTGAATAGACTTTGAAGGAGGCTCAGCTCCAGTTAAAAGCTGTCAAGCAGCGCAATCGACTTTTGGAAGAAAAGAATGCCATTTTAGAGGCCAACAAACCCTCTCACAAAACCTCCAAGGCGCCCTCCCAGCTTGTAGCATTTGACGAGGAAGTGAAGATGTTTGCTAAGAAGTATGGCGTCATGTATGAGATGTACCCACCCAGCGCCGAGCTACTAAAGAAGACTCTGCCTTTGATTGGCTCGTCATTTGACCAGCCAGCTCGCTATGCAAACTCGGCTGCAGAAGCAGACACATTATTGTCTGAACTACGTAGTGTGCTCCCGGATCACCTGCACCATCTCATATCCTCAAATCATTTCCATAAGACTGTATGTGTGTACATTATTAGTTGACTTCTATGTACTAATCCTTGTCCAGCTGCAACAAGCACTTGAAGCTGGTCGGTCTTCCGAACTCATCAAGTTGCGACGAGTTGGCGGCCGCATTTTTGGGTTAAGTTCCAATTACTTTGTCACATCCTCAAAACGAGACACCATCAATGAGCTTTGTAGGCTGCTAGGTACTATACCCGGAAGCCGTACCTACCCACTATTTCCTCCCATTCTCTTTCCAAACGCAGTTGTTGACGCTAGTAATTCAACTGTCTTCAGTAACTGGAAGCCCTTGGCTCAGGTACGTTGCCATTTCCTCTCATACAGCTTACCGACAATGACGATGTCCCCGAAACAGATCTTGAAAGCGGTTTTGATGGGCGAAGCATCCCTTACATCTGTCAAGAAGCGTGGGCCACCTAGAAACTACAAGATTTGGGGTGTATCTACCATAATGCCCGGAGCAATTGCATGGAGCGCCACAATTGTAAGTTGTTCATTTATTGCTCCCATCGTCGCTGAGCATTCTTCGTTGCAGGCCATCTTTCTTCTATCGCCAGATACAGTATTCTCTCAAGACGGCCACGGCAAAAGCTCGGGGATTCAATACAAGAATCTATTCTACAGTTTCAAGAAAATCTTGGTGTGTTGCTGGGATGCTCCATATCTCACAAAGATCCGACGCCACATTGAGGGACATGTCTTTGGAGCTGCGAAGCTACCAGTTGATGCGCCTGATGGAGAAGACTTTACTGCACAGATTGCACTTGCAATGGCTGGCTTGCAATCCAACGACACCGACGAGGATTTGGATTCTACCCCGGGTGACTCTGCTCAGGGTATTGAAATCACTCAGTCTGTACTGAATTCTCCGCTATCGACTCCAAGACCTTCCAGTGAGAACTTGCCTGTTTTCGATGACACAGGTGATGTGGAGCTCAATGAAGAGGTGATTCAGACTGGAACTATAGATGCAGAGGATCATGCAGAGCCTTTCAATGAGGGTCATACTCGAGGACAGAAGAAGAAGAAGTCTAGTCGAGTAGTTTCTCGTAAGTCTGTCCGTCAGAAAAATTAGCAGTAATATTACGACTCCAGTTCATTGCAGTCATGATAATTAGTTGGTCGTCGTGTCTCAAAGCGTTTTTTCGGTAGCTCTCGCGTCGGTTTATTGCCTTCGTATTTCTTTGTAGCAATTGGATCTGGGCTCCTTGTTCACCTCAAGGAGCCGTTAACTGCTATTTTTCCTCTGCGTGCGCTTAGCGTCGAAGAGATTCAGAATTCTTCAGAATCTGTAGTGGAAATTGAGCAGGAAACTCGCTTAAAATCTAAACACTACAAATTGATTTTGACTGTAACTGTAACAACCTTTAAATTCTATTCTCACCTTCTTCAATGGCGTCGATTCTGAATCAGACACCTGGACCTGGACCTCCCATCTGAATCAACTCCTCGAGTCCCCCTGCAGACAACTCCAGCATCTGCAAAATGCACTATGGTATACTCGGTGCACAAGACCTGGACCTCGCAGATGATTGAAGCTGCAGCTGTCAATGTGCGTTAATGTTTATTCATACCCATGGACAGCACATTGACATATTAACACAGTAGTATTAACAGCTGTTTCCGAGCTAATATGTGATCTAGTGCGCGTGTTCAAATGATACCAGTCTGGATCAGGGTCCGTATTAATTTTGTCTCACCTTTTGATAATTGTTCTCAGTTTGACGCTTTGATATTAGGGCGCGTCGTTGCACGCTACACCAGCGTGTTTTAATGTGGTCTCGTTTTTTCCTCTTTGCGGTCCGAACTTCCCCTCATACCACATCTCGAGACTAACCCTTGCACGCTCAGAAGGTTTGGTTTTCCCTCCACGCCCGGCTTTTTCTGAATCGCGTCCTCAGCCGCGGTCTGGCAAGCCAGACCTTCCCCACCGACTACGAAGGCTTTGCCTTCGTAGTCCAAACCCAACATTCCTCTAACGTCATCTCCAATCCCGCTCTTTTGACCTCATCTCCCACACTCCAATACCTACAGTGGCTCAAAAAAGTGTCCGGATGTTTGTGTGATTTTGAGTAATTGGATCATAGCAAGCCAGCACCTAAATATAACATATTGGTATAGGGACATGTCTGAAAGCCCTACATCGTGGCTCGAATCTGAGCTATGTAGCGTGGGAACAAACCCTTATATGGGCGAGATATGGTAATTCTATTCTTATGACTCATTCGGACACTTTTTTGACTTTGTGTTAAACCAATCTTATTGTATGATTCTAGTACTTTGTGTTGCCTCCCTTGGCTTTAATTACTGCTGAAACCCTTCTAGGCATACTTTCTATCAATTTCTGACACTCCTCCTTGGCAATTTTTGCCCATTCTACTGCAACTCTCTCCCATAGTTCAAATAGCCCCTTTGGAGGATCTTGATAGGCAGCAAGTAGTCTCTTGAGTAATTTCCAGAGATGTTCAATGGGATTGAGGTCTGGGGACTGTGCTGGCCATAATAAAACATTGATGTCATGGTCTTCAAACCATTTTGTGGCCAGCTTTGAGGTATGCTTGGGGTCATTATCTTGTTGAAAGATAATGTCTTCTTCATTAATTCCTGACTCTTGCATGCTTTTGAGTAAACACTCCTCTAGGATGGAGGTGTACTGCTCTGCATTCATCCTTTCCTCCACCTCACAGAGAATCCCAACACCATTCCACCCCATGCAGCCCCATACCATCATACTTCCTCCTCCAAACTTCAGTGTACCCTTAACTTCTCTTTCTCCTAGAGGTTCTCCTGCCTTTTTCCACACATATTCCTGACCATCTGACCCCATTCTATTGATTTTTTGTTTCATCTGACCAAATAACCTTCTTCCAGTCTTCCACAGTCCAATGTCGGTGCTTTAAAGCAAAGGCCAATCTTCTTTTCCTATGAGCTGCTAAGAGAAGAGGTTTTTTCTTCTTGGTTACAGCCTTGAGATTGGCTGCCTTGAGGGTGTTTCTGATTGTTTGGGTGGAGACAGGAGTAGAGATAATGGAATTGATGAACTTGGTGGCTTGTACAGCATTTGAAGCCTTGCCAGACAGAATTTGATGAACAACAGCTCTTTTGTTCTGTGGGGTAAGCTTAGGAGGACATCCCATTTTGACATTTTCCTTATCTGGTATGTTCTGTTTTATAACTGTAGCAATAGTAGACTTGCCAAGACCAGTTTTGGAAGCAATGTTCCTGATAGATAAACCAGAGGTAGAGAGAACAAGGATATTATCCTTTTGAGCAGAGGAGATGGGCTTCATGATGAGTATGTTAAATTTCATGATCTTATGTGGGTTTATATATTCAAATAATATTAAAATCATACCATATTATTATTATGGTACCACTTTCATTAAGATTATTATGTATGAATGGTCTCATTTTGTGATTTTAATATAAAGTCAAAAAAGTGTCTGAATGAGTCATAAGAATAGAATTACCATATCTTGCCCATAAAAGGGTTTGTTCCCACGCTACATAGCTCAGATTCGAGCCACGATGTAGGGCTTTCAGACATGTCCCTATACCAATATGTTATATTTAGGTGCTGGCTTGCTATGATCCAATTACTCAAAATCACACAAACATCCGGACACTTTTTTGAGCCACTGTATCTCGTTAGCACTCACTCTCGCGCAAGTCTTGGGTAGAATGCACATCCAAATCTACGACGCAAATAATCTCCCACAACAACACCCACACTCAATGCAATGGTGCTCTTGATTGGAATTCGCACATCCTTTGTGACCGTATGGCGAACCATCCGTGTACGCGGTGCGCGAGCTCCGTTCCTTGTGTTCAGTTCATACATAATCACTTATCAATATGTCCCGCTCCGTTTCACTTCTTCGGGCGGTCTCACAGCCACCTGCAACACATTCCAGTGGATGTATTTTATATACTGTAGTGTATTCACTAGAAATTTAAATAGCAAACAAATCATATATTCATTGCACCCCAATTGTTACAACATGGATTGTAATGTTTATTGCAAGGAACATGGTGACAGATGTTCGCCAAGTTGCGAGAAGTTGAAACGCATGTCTAAATGGAGAATATAATGAGGATTATGGACACGCTCGCTTCATTAGAGCTTCTATTGCCAGCACCATTATGAAATTCATTGCAATTGCAGTTGCCACATGACTCCTTTATGGCATTGACATTATAAGATAACTCTTGGATATGTCTATTTCAATCCATTATGATACCTTAAAATAGGTTTTGGGAATTTCTGACATAGTATTTAACCTTGTAGATGCAGACTAAATTCCATTATGAATATTATGTAATGTGGTGTAACTGTGCATTCTGATCTTTTCTTTGAATATAGCTAGTGTTTCCAAAAATCCTCACTTTGTTCTAGTCATTGTCTGGTGCTGCCGGTAGTGCCATGGTACAAAGTAATACATACAGTCCAAAAAGGCTGAGCACTTGGTGTGTGGCTAAAATTCTAAAGAGACTTATGCTCAAGTTGATCTCAGAATCCAGATAGATATTTAACACTGGGTGCAGGAGCTGAGACCTAGATGAAGGCAATATAGTGCACTTGCAGATTGCATTTGTGCCTAGTCTTCTCTACTACTAGATAGATCAACCAGATCAAAACAATTGTTCCTTCAACAATTATGATGTTGATGAAGTCCTTGAGGATCCAGCCAGTGCATATAGAGCTAGGGCTGGCCACTCCTCCTAAATGACCAGTTCATATAGAGATATGGCTGGCCATCATTATATTATTAAGGCTTGATACCCTGTAGAGCTAAATCAGTATATGTAGACCTAGGGCTGGCCAGTGCTCTAAAATCATCTTATTATTAAGGCAAAATACTATGTAAAGCTAAGTCTGTGTAAGTGGAACCAGAGCTGGCCAATGTTATAGAATCTGATTAGTATCAAGGTTGATACCACATACAGCTAAAGCCAGTTTATGTAGAAATAGAGCTAGCTGGTGTTATATAATTATATAATTATTAAGGTACCAAAGCTAGTTCATGTGGAACTAGGGCCAGCTGGTGCTATAGAATCTGACATTATATACCTAGGCTAGCTGTTTATGTATATAGTTATACTATCTTAGCCAACCCTATACTGATCTACTATTTACAATAGCATAGGCCTGGCCAGCTTGCCCTTAGATGATGTGAAATGGTGTCAGCCAGACTAGGGCATAATTATATATTAGCTCGGCCAGCCTAGCCTCTACATAGGGTACAAGTGGACTGGTCATTTGTCATAATAATATAGTATCACTGTGAGGCTTTCTCATATGTGGCGTAGAAGGGTGGTGGCCAGTGTCTGATGTATTTAATCCTTGCTTGGCTAGCTTGTCTAGTAGTGGATATTGTTTAAATGATTTAATTGACAATGAAGACAACTGAGATAAATTTGGCTATATGATACAACATCATCTCTGTAGAAGATTAGATCCACATCACCTTCTAGGAGAATTGCCTAGTTCTGGTAGACCTACACATAGGTTCATCTTTAGTCCTTGCCTTCTTGGCTTTACTTGAGGATGTCTAAGCCCTGGTCCTTTTCTTCCCTTTCTGCTTGCCCTTCTGTTCCTGTCCATTATTCTTCTATACCTCCTCTATCTGTACATCCAAGTCTCCCCTGCATTCCTCTACTCATCCTCCTGACTGCCCTTTCAATCATCATTCTTGTCATTCTCTCTCTCTTTTTTGTCTCCCTCCTCCCCCCCATCCTCAACCTCTCTATTGTCTCTCTCCTCCTCAGCCACCCCATTATCTCTCTCCTCCTCAGCCTGCTGCTCATCAACCAGACTGACATTTGTTGTCATCTTAATAAGACCCACAACTGTGCTTATCACATCAGCACGAGCATGATCTACTTTAATCATGCATGCTAGATTAAAAAATGAATTGACCAAGTAGGAAGGGGTATTAGGTAGGGCCTTGTCTTCTTCATACTCAATGACATGCTTACAATCCCTTAAAATTAATTCAAGGCCTAAGACCACCAGTCTAGTGGAGTATGCAGTCACCACAGGGGCTGTACACAGCATCTTCAAGCTGCCCATCAGTACGTCTTGAGACTCATGCACATTCTCAAGAAGATAAGAGTTTTTCCAAGACCAACTTGCCCAAGGGGGCAATTCAAGCTCCTCAGGCAACATTGGCTAGTAGTGAATGATGTTAGGATCAATTAGAAACTCAAGACTAGCTGATGTAGAGAGTCATTTCTCTAACAGAACAATACATTTATGAGCCCACATGGGCTGGCTTATGTAGAATAGGAATATTTTAATCTTAGCTGTATGTATTAATCAAGGGTAAAGTGACTGCAATATGTGCTTTCACATTTGTGAAGAAGGGACCTACAGAACACCAGTATGAGATCCTTTTTGACATGCTTGGAAGTCTACTTGTCTTGTATCATGGTCAAACAACATGCCAGGATAACACTCTGCAAATTTCTGTAAGAAAAGGCACAAAATGGGATGTGGAATAACTCACTAATTTTGTTATTTTAAAAGCAACTTTCTTCGCTTCACTCAAAGCAGCAAGTTCTTGCTTTTTGCCCTGCTCCTTAATGATATTGATTATATTCTCCTCATCGCACAATACAGTACACCAACACCATGGAAAAAAAGCAAAGGAGCTTGATTGGATTGTATTTAAGTTATTGGTTTCTCTTTTGGACATTGTGTCACTGTGTGGGATATGCAGCCACATTATAACAGACTTGATCAAATGTAGCCATTCATCATACTTAACTTTGGGCTTGTCTTGGTGTACAAAGTTTTCAGGAATCCACACCTCATTTTCATTCCACAGAACTGAAAGAAATAGTGGAGATGACTTGTGGTGCATGGAACTGAGTAAATTTGTTGATTGTTCAATGGAGCTATGTTTATATGGCATCCATGAGCTGAATTGTCATGAGTTCCAAATACAAACCATTATTCTTTCCTTTCAACTGTCAACATTAAGTGCCCATTCCCAGCGCTAACTCCTAAACACCCGATATATGTTCCAACCCTTAACCCTAACCCTATCGCTACCATTACCGAAATCCCAACTCCAGACTTAGACGCTCTCACATCACATGACTCTCCTAGAACCTTCCAGAACTTCACAGAAGCAGCATCGCTTCTCATGACGTCATAGTTCCTTTTCACATTATCACATCGTACAATTCCGTTTCTTATTTTATGATTGGCTAAGTAGTTAGAACTTAGTTTGTATCTCCTCTTGAATAGTTGTATATAGTTAGGACGTTCTAGTCAGTAGCTCTTTAGTTCAAACCTTTCATCTCTACATTGTGTAGCAGCCCAAACGTACCTGCTCAATCTCATCTCTTTTATCGTGATATCCTTTGTTTGAGTCCTAGTCTCTGCCCTAGCATTAAGTTGTTTAAGGGGTTGTAACATGAATGCTCCAGTAGTATCCATGAAGAAATAATTGACCTACAAACCAGGGATGTGGTGGGGCAGGATGAGGAGTTGTCTCTGAAGAAGACAATAAAGTCAAACATGACAGCTGACACTGAACAGGCAGGTGGTTGACTTTATAATCTTGAACAATACAGAGTTTCAATATGTAACTGAGACTGGAATACTAGGCTTAGTTGTGATCAGGAATTTGGTATGTGGAGTCTAAGTACTCATTTGCCTTGTCAGAACATTGGTAGATATAACTCTACTGCAGTAACGACCAAAAACCACTGGCATGAATTAAGCACCATCATGTCAGATTTCAATGTATTAGGTCTTTGAACTTTCCCATACTCAATTCTTGTTGGGTTGTTTTGTACCTTTAAACCTATGATACTGAATATATTTAAAATCTACTCCAGATGTCTCCTTACTATAAACTTGTAAGCTGAAGACACAATGTGAGATGTGTTCAAGGACGACTATATTCAAGACTCCTGAAGGCAAAAAACACACTCAATGGAGGGATCATGATCTGACTAAGCAGATCAAGATCAAACATCGCTAGGGATGTAAATGTGTGTGAGGTGAATACATCACTTCACTGGAGGCTGGATCCTAGTAACATAAGTTGGGGAAGGGGTTTTGTGTGCTTGGTGTTGGTGTTAGTCGACACCGTTTCTGAAAGGATTGTGAGTATGAGTCTGTTGAAAAGACCTAGCACAAGCAAAAGTGAAATGCCTGTGCTAAGTAACTCATGGTGTTTGTGTGGGTGTTATGATCTGCTTGTGCATGTCACATGACCCAAACAAAAACACATCTGATGACAACTGGACTGTACACATGGAAACGAAGATCAGAGATAAACATTAATGAGAGCATCTGAAACCCTCGAGTGTGAGGTAGTAAGGAGAGACAAAGGTGGAAGCACGACACAACCCAAAACGAGTGTAGCTCACAAACACTCGTGCTTCACACACAACCCCCCTGGATACGAACAAGCGAGTTTGAATTTAAAAGACCTGGAATGAAATATACATCATTTGTGACGACGAGAGAACATGTCCATTGAGAACTGCATAAGTGCTACTTGTGAGTCCGACAATGAAGAGGAAATGAACATTGGAAGAATGGAATTGATCTTGCACCAGTATTCTAAAAAGGCTTGTGATTTCCAGCGCCCTTGTTTGGCTACAATCTAGTGGAGTACCTTGCACTAGCAGTAACAGCTCAGTTGTACGTCCAATCCTAAAGTAGTGACCAGAGAGCTCTAGAAGGTTAGACTCTCTCCAGATCTCGTTGCACTGGTTGACGAACCATGAACAGCATAAGGGAGCCCAGCCACCAGCTGCAGTTTCGAAGGCAAAGAATGGGGCATCCAGAGGAACAGAACGATTCACTGTGAGGTGGTGGTTAAGGGCCACGACTGGGCTAGAAGGGTCATCAATGTGGGTGATGATGATATTGGCGCCTTTGCCATAGGTGGTTTTTGTCCACAGAATGGTGAAGACCAGGTATGCCACTCCTGAAGGAAGAGTGCAATGGTGCAAGAGTGCAGAACATGTAATGTGGTGAGAAGGGTTGAAGGTGTTGGAGGAATCTACAAGAAGTTCACTGAGTCTAAAGTGAAGGTGTTAGAGCACAGAGAAATGTGAACGTGGTGAAAGGATGTACCTGCAACATGACTAGAAGGCCACGGGGGTTTTGGTCTTGATGGAGGCCAGCATGATGTCAAGAAGTTGGACAACATCCTTGAACAGAAGTTCTTCAAGAAGGGAAAGATGGAATGAGTTGGGGTGTGGTGAAGACCACAGGCGTAAACGATTGCGTGCAAGAATGTGCGGGCAAAGAGACGAGAAAGAAAGTCTGTTTTGTGGTTTTGGTTTTCTGAGTTTGGCACAAATGTGAACAGGAATGGGTGGTGGGGGGCCCTTGTTCTCGTACCACTACCATGGACGAAATTTCCCACCCTTAAAAATATGGGCAAGGTCGAGCTGTCGTGGCTCACAGCATCATCTGTCCATCCCATACCATTATCACCCGTCGAGTCTGCAGTTCCCACGCATCAGACCTGCACTTTCCTGTGGTGCATCAGACTACCTGATTTCCTTAGGACCTGATGTTTCAACCTTTGGGTTATCTTTTCTTATCCTAAAGACACTAACTATCATTCTTATATCAGACAGCAGGCCCCTTTAGGGACGAACTAGCCTAGGCTAAGCAAGACCCACATAGGTATTTGGTAGGCTTACCTTCTTGGTAGTCATTTTCCATATACCATTGTAAGATTTACAATTCACACACTGCATGTCACCAATCCTCACTGTGATGGCCAATGCAAGTAATCATTATATTAGTAAGTTTCAACTCAGTCATGTTGTTTGTGGGCCTGGGTTAATTTCTTGGTATAGTGTACCCAAACAATTTGTTTGATCTACAGTTGGGGACAAGAAAAATCAACAAGTATGGTTAATCTTTCCACAGCCTTCTGAAACATCTGGATAACAACACACTAAGCATAATTAGACTATTTACAGATGTACAAAGTACAATTCAAGCTGCCAATCACGATGTTGTGGTCACTCAGACCCCAAAATTTAGCTGGTACCTCAAACTAGTGTCTAAAATCTCAAGAAATAGTGCAATCAACTCCTTTTTTAAGCCTGAGTCTGACCCTGGGGTCAAAAATAAGGAATATCTAGAGTTTGGTCCCCAAAAAAATTAATAAAGTTGCACTACTCACCCATCTGAGTCTGCTCATGGCACACTCAAAAAGATCTAGGTGAAATACTCAGTTGTCAAACCAAGACAATTCTGAACACAAAGTCCGAGTCAATGCCTTGAAGCCCAGGTTCTGTGCACCAAGTCCCGAAGAATATGTTAATGAAGAGCCCCCTCTGCACTTATTCTTTGATAGTTTTAAAACAGATTTTGCTGAGCTTGACACATCAGACTTGGAGACAGGATCAGATGTGGATGACCAGGACGAGTGGGAAGAACTCAATGATGAACAGTTGTTGGCTGTAATGTCAGAGATGGACAACAAGCTTCAAGACCCAGACTGGCTCCCAAAATGTCTCCGAAAGAAGGCGGAAATTTGTGCAAAATCAAAAACAGGTGAGTTAATTAGTTACAATTCAAAGAAAGTCTTGCTTACCTTTCCAGCAGCGAGACCCAGGACTTATGTCAAATCTTTTACAAGTCAATCAGAGAGAACTGTTTGAAGGCACCAACCCTGGCACCTGACCGAGCTGCAATAGCAGGACCAGCAAATATAGCCAGACACATATTGTCCACCATGGTGGCTGCGCTAGTATGCCAAACAACATTATCCATGCTGCAATCAGAATGACAGCAGTATCGAAGTTCATTGACAATCCCACGTGCCCGCTCGGCATCCATTCTATCGGATTAGGCATCATCAAATGATGAACCGGAGCCCACAGAGATCATGGACTCAGATGAGTCAACCAAGGAGGTGGAAGATGTTGACAATGAGACTTGGAAGGATGAGCTGATGCTTTCAGTGGGAGGGGACATAATGAGATTTCATGATTGGAGCGAGATGCACGAGAACATCAAATCAGACCTAAAGAAGAACAGCAATAGTTTATTGCTGGCGCAAATCAATAAACTCACCATACTCTCAAATTTTGCAACTCTATACATCAAGGGATGCTCGCGGATACAGGCTAGTGTTGAGATTGCTCGGCAATGGCATGAAGGCAAAGAAATTCACTTTGCACGGAAAGTGCAAGCACTTGTTCGGCATTATTAGATATTTGCACAGCTACCCATGGAGAAGTGAGGTGGCAAGGCTAATGCCCACTCTTGGCTTCACGACGAAGCTGTACAGGCATGCACCCGATCTTGGCTGACTACACAGAAGGTTGGCAGTGTCACTCTGAAGAAGTTGTAGCATGTCCTACACATGTCCTCCACCTGCCAATGATCCTTTAATGACACAAGAACCAGTGAACAAATGACAAACAAACTGATCTCTCACCGACTCATCACCAACACCATTGTCCAATGTATGAGCTATAGCAATATCTGCAGTCATAGACTCTGAACAATCCTCATCTGACAACACCACAAAAAGATCATTTAGTATGGGCTGACGAACTATATCCTGAGCAACAACAGAATCTGCCGACAAACAACCCGCTTGGGCAGCTTCATTAACAAGAGCATCACTACAAGCCACACCATGACGGCCTAACAATAATCAGAATTAATCAACCAAAAGAATCAAGAACAAACCTCAATTTTCCATCAGTGTCCATTCAACACCCTCAAGCATAAATAGCATGATGGACAAATAATCTGAAATCCTTCAAATTTTCACCTGACCCCAAAACAAACATAAGACATGAGAAAATGAAACCATATATATCAATTTTGCACCGCCACTCAGAATCCTGTGTTATTTTGAAGTTTCCACATCCACAAATACCCAGCTACCTATGATGCTCCAAACCCCACTCAAATAAACTGTGTGATACACAACATCCAGTGCACAATACAACAAAGTGTGATACGACAGAGTGCACAATACAACAGAGAGTGCACAATATACAACTCGAGTGCACGACACAGGATACCAAAGTGCTGCAGCCTACAAGTGTTGTATTTATGGTATCACCTTATTTATGAGATACTAACAAATGGGTGTAAGATGAAGGTATTATATCATAGCGGGAAGAGTTTAGGGTCAGGTAGCAGGTCAGGATAGCATGGTATAGATTGACAATGGAAGCTTCATGATGAAAAGGATACTACATAGATAGCAGTAGGGCACAGAATGTTAGACAGCAATATTCACGTCACCTATAAAATAGTCCTCAGACCAAGGATTAATACGAGGAGGGGCAGATGGACTATCAGGGTCGAGGATACCCCACAAGAAGATATTGGATGGTCAGGGCTCTACAAAGTCAAGTGGCTTGGAGATATGATGAAGAAGGAACTGTCTAGATAGTAAATCAGCAGTGCCGAAATGTAATGCCTGATGGCGTTGTAGGAACAAGTTCCTGGTTAGGCTTACTTTACCCCTATTTACCTTGCTTGTGTTGGCACTTGGATAGCTTACATAATCATGTTGGTCTTTACCCTTACTTTCACCTGGAGTGACTTAGAATGCAGTTTTTTTTATCCTCTACCTCTCCCTGAGCTCTGAGCCTGGTCCAGAAACCCTGGGTCTTACACTGTCAACACTCTGACATAGCAGCTAGGCAGCAAGACCCAACATACAGATTCACACCAATCTGAATTGTTGTACCCACAGCGTGACCCAGCCTGTGCACAGAAAAAAAAGCCAGAGGGGACATTGTCCTTTTGCACTGGGGTCTCTGGCACTAGTGACAACTGTCGAATAACATTGGGAAGTTCATCGATGTCTGCGTTGGAGATGTTATGGGTCCAACCTCTATGTTGCATGAAGAAACTGAGTGGCATCGGGATCTTGGCTTTTACGATGATCCAAATGACTTTGATGACTTGCACCATGATCTGCTTGCACACACATCACCTACCTCCTTTCACTCCAGTTCACGCTCACGAAGTGCAAGAAACATCTCACAGCCAAGACTACCCTACTTCATATCCTGCTCCTCAATCACTTCACAACATATATCTAGAGAGCCATCAAACCTGGTGGGCACAATGTGGGTGAGGAAAATAGAGATGCGAACTCCGGGGAGTCACAAAGATATCTACCTCGAGAGGCGAGCTAGTAGGATCGTCCCTTAGGGGATTCTACTGAGACAATCTCTCTAATGATGAGAGGGATCAAGAGAATAGCTGATGCCGAAGATATGCGAAGCCGATGGGATGGACGCGCGCGATGTGCGAGATATGCGGAAGAGTCAGAAGGCATGCAATATACGCGAAGTAGAGAATCAGCGATGTAAGTCAATAGGAATCCTTCTGAGAACTGATAGGCGAGTCTTAGAAGACAAAGGAGACGATAGACAATGGCAGTGATGATATTAGCGCTCTATGCACAACTAGGCAGAAAAAAACAGATAGAGTCCAAGTAACAGAAGGTAAGCAAGTCCGAAAATCCTCTAAGTCCTCTAGATATGTAGGTCGCTATGTGCGCTCTCAGGGTGCAGAACTGTAAGGGAAGCGGATAGGCTGCGCGGAAGCACATAGGGAAGCGGACATGTGATAAGTCTATATGTAAAGGACCCTGGATGTGGTTAGCGACAGATATAACAGTGAGAACACGCACCAACGGAGCCGGACAGACAGGACATGACATGTGAGGGTAATCCGAGTAGGGCGCTTATGAGTAGCTATGCGCGCAAGCTGCGCATAATGTGCGCAAGAGCGCGGGTGATCACGCATGCTATGTGTGTGTCTATAGGGCTGCGCCTACCTATGGATAGTGATGAGGTCGATGTGGAAATACATCAGCAAACTACTGGTTTTGAGTCCAGGATTTTGACAGTCATCACAGAATCACCAAAAGTCACAGTGTGTCACAGAGTGCACACAGAGCATCACAGTTACACAGAGCACCACAGAGCACACAGAACACAAAGTTCTACAGAGCTGTACAGAGCTTACAGGCTTGTTATTTTGCTGATACAAAATTTAAAATCACTACTCAATTAATATTTGTGAGTATACATACATATGGAAGCTAATAGGTTAAGATCTAAGCAAAATACTCCAAAATGCGAAAATTCACAAGTCTTTTCCTTGTCAATCTAATCCTAGTCTAATCTCAACCCTAACCCTATTAACCAAAAACTCGAAAATTCTACTAAGTCTTGTGATGTGGCTTTGTTTGGCACTGCTTATATAAGCAAAAGTGCGGTCAACCACAAGTCTTTTCTGATTTTTTCCTTTCTTTCCCTCACTGTCTTTCTCTAACAATTTTCGAGTTTTTGCTTCTTTTCTCTTGTTCTTCCTTTGGTGTTGGTGTTGGTGTTGTTGGTGCTGGTGATGGTACTGGTGCTTTGAACTCTGGTGAGTCTTCCTCTTTCTTTGTGTTCAATTGAGTTCTCTTTCAATTTCTTTCACACTTTGTAGCCATCTCTCTTCCTCCTCCCTTTAATTTTCGCATTTTTACCTCTCTGACCCTCTCCTTCTAGCTTTCTTCCCTCCTCCCCAGAAATTTTCGCATTTTTGCCTCTTTGGTAAGTCTTCCTTTCTCTCTCCTTCTCCTCCTTCCCTCTCTGAAACTCTCCTTCTAGCTCTCCTCCTCCTTCCCTCCAACAATTTTCGCATTTTTTGTCCAGTTTAGTAAGTTTAATATTTTCTTAGTCAGTAGTGTACATATCAGTGTAGTAGTTACTTTGAATTTGACTTCAATTTTCGCATTTTTAGTGTTTTGATTGTAAGAGTCTAATAGTCTTCTGATGATTCTGTGAGCCTCTGTTAAGATTCTGTATGCCTCTGTGAGCCTCTGTTGAGATTCTGTACTACACTGTACAACTCTGTTGATATTCTGTACTACTCTGTGGGCTCTGTGGCTCTGTCCAGTACTGTCCAGGGTTGTACAGAGGATCCCTGGTTTGCTGATGTAGGGTGATACGAGCTTGTAGAGATATCGCTCTCTATAACGAATTATCATATCCTTGGTCACTTTTCTCCACACCAAGCATCGCTTATCATTTTGTGGCTGCACGCTCATCCTTTTCTCTCTGAATGCCATCTTCACAACCCTAGCATCAGGAAAATGTGTACTTGCCATTATAGCTCCTAATAGCTCCTAGTAGTATCTAGGAGCTATAATAGCTGTTATAGCATAAATGCCAATTATTGGCAAGTCCCTTCTATAGCCCTCATAATAGCGGCATATTTTTTATAATGGCTATAATTGCTCCTAGTAACTATAATGGACAAGTCAAAAAAAATTCAATGACTTTGGCATTATAGCTCTTAGTAGCTATTTGTTGGCATTATGACACAAAATAGAAAGGAAAAATTCAAGTATATTCACACTAACTAATATATGGGCGTATAATACTGACTACAATATCTAAGAGATCTTACCAAAAAGTCAAAAACTTGAATTCTGAGGAATGCTAGGAGAAGCAGAAGGAAGGGAGATAGATAGCAAAAGAGGGTTAGAGAGAGAGAACCAGAGAGAGATAAAAAAAAACTTACCAAAAACCACAACAGGAGCAGGTGTAGGAGTGAGAGCAGGAGCAAGAGCAGAAGGAAGAGCGAAAACAGGTGCAGGTGCAGAGAGCTGGAGAGAGAGAGAAGAGCGGAAAAGAGGAGGGGCAGGGGCAGGAGCAGGAGCAGAGTGTGAGTGTCTGAGAAAAACAAAGGAAAGAAGAGTGGACTCACCAAATGACAAAAAAGATCAGAAATTGCCAAGGGAAGAGCGTGAATGAGAGCAAGAAAAAAAAACATTAGGAAATCTCACAAAAAAGACCTATGCTTGCTCACTGTTGATGGGCGGGAAAGTAACCCATTTACTTTAGCGCCTCCCGCCCTCCCACTCACTGTTTCCCACAGTGCCCACAGTTATCAGTGAAGAGAACAAAATGAAACCAAAAGGTAAGAAAGAGAAAAGACGTTAGACATTATTCATGTTTGTTTGTGTTTGTGCTTATATGTGGGAAAATTTTCAACCAACTAATATTTGGTGTGCCTGAACTTTCTTGAACACATCACTTTCTAGTATTTTGCTAATAACTCACTAGGATCTTACTCTATTGACGTCATGAGACTGTGGATAGACTCCCCTTGACAAGGACTACAACTTTCATTAGTAGTATATACACTTCAAGTGAAAAAATTTCATGACATCTGGTAATAGCACTTAGTAGCTCTTGGCAGTCTCAGTAGCTCTTAGCAGGTCTCAGTAGCTCTTAGCAGCTACTTGTAGCAACAAATACCTGTTATGGCAAAAACACATTTTCCTGATGTTGATGGCTGTGACAGAGTCTATACCTCTGGACTTTGAACATGCAGCAATGCAGACCACCAGGCTCTTGAAGATGCCTACTTCAAGCCTGCAAAAGCTCTCTTCTAGCTGTGAGTACAGCTCAAGGGGGCTGGCATTATATTGCCCTTGAACTCTGTTCCTTCAGCCTCTGATAGTGGTGGTAGTAACTCTAACAGTGCAAACAAAGATCTCGAGGTGATCCTTGACTCTGAATGTGATAATAAGCCAGAGAATGGCAACAGACACCTCAGAGCAAGGTTTAGTCAACACCAAACTGATAATGAGCGGCTTATCATGTGGACTTGTTGGGTGATATTAGTGCAGGCTAGATTTTTTGGGTCTGAGACCATCGCTGCTGTTAATGTGAGTTATATGCAGTCTCACTGATGCAGGCTAACATTTATACTCAAGGAATTTGCAAAGATGGTATTCCCTACTGCCACATCAACACCTGAATTTTTCATCTTCAACAACAACTGCAAGCTCCGTGCTCACCAAGATGCTATTGGTGATGACCACTTCGCCACAACAGGGATGCCTGTGGACGTGTTTCACTTCAACTCAAAATACAAGGAAACTGACACCTACTGTCAGCAGCACTGCAACCCTGCCACTTTCCCAGAGCTCATTTCTGGTGGCAAGTAGCAATTCAACACCTCAATTTGCGAATAGACAAATGTATTGCTAGGTGGGTATCAGGCAATTCTGCGGGACATGTCTGTACACCGGTGGAGCAGTGTGAGGGCTCGAGCACCCAGCTAGCTGGACCAACCTCTCAAGCACTGAGGTGATGGAATGGATGAAGACCTAACCCTATGAACATGGCTATCTAAGGACTACGAAGGACCTCTGACACTCCTGGAATGCTCCTGAAGGCCAGACCTAACTACTACAGGTACCCCCCCTAAAATGCGACACTCCTGGGTCGCAAAAGAACAGGCCGGCGAGACGGTGGTTTGAGACAATGATCTGTTGTGAATGCAGACTGAAACGGCAAGGAATGAAATTGGTATGTCGTGAAATGCACTAGTGGTTGAGGACAAGGGTTGAAAGGAATCGTGCTGGATTGGAATGGGTGATGTGCACGTCGCAAGCGTGGATGCTGCCATGTGCGAGAATGAGAGCTGTGAGTGGTGCGATCATATATTGATTGTCGAGTTGAATATGGTGGCTTCGAATAGTGTTGTCGTCTCTGTCGTAAGCTTGACCATGGGCTGGAGGACTTCGTGGTGGGCACCTGTTCAGACGTGGATGATGTAGTGTTTGCATTCCATGCTGGTGGAGGTGGGTGCTGGCCATGGAGGTGTGCTGAGGCCTTTGCGTCTCTTTCCTTCATTTCTCCTCCTTCCTTCTGCTTCTCATCCTCTCCACTTTTCTCGTGTTCCTCGACGAAGGTATCGTGCGTTTGTTGTTCAACACCATTGGCACTTGCTGGCGTGGCTTGACAATGGATGCTCAGTGTCAATGGGCTCGTGGGTTCTGCAGCAGGTGCAGGTGAGAGTGGCTGGATGCTAGGTGAGAGTGGCTGGATGCTAGGTGGTAGTACAACGGAGCCGTTCATGAGTGTTGCAATGATCATGAGTGCGGGAGCAACTGGAGGTGCGGGAGTATGTGTTTGGGACATGGAAAGCAGCCAACGTTCAACAAATGCAGCTTCAAATGCCTTCCAGGTTGTCTTCTGCATTGCTGGTAGGGTTTCAATCCAAAAATCCACGATGCTGCCAGCTTTGCACTGTAAGTGAAAACGGTCTATTTTTGACTCATCTTTCCAATCTTTGGGTAGGACAGCTTTGAATTGCTGAAGCCAGTCGTAAGGCTCTTCCGCATAGCAGTAGTCGCCACGAAAGGATAGTAGTATAGGAATATAACTCATTATTAAAAACTTGAGTAAGAACAGCAGAGACTAAGACAATGTGAAAAAAGAAAAAAGCAGAGTCGCGAGCTGTGAATTCTCACTCTAGTCACCAGGTGGAACAGTGCGAGGGCTCGAGCACCCAGCTAGCTGGACCAACCTCTCAAGCACTGAGGTAATGGAATGGATGAAGACCTAACCCTACAAACATGGCTATCTAAGGACTACGAAGGACCTCTGACACCTCTTGCAGGACCTCTGATACTCCTGGAATGCTCCTGAAGGCCAGACCTAACTACTACACCAGTATAACTTTTATCTTGATGAGATGATAAAACACCAGAACCACTATGTTATCTCAGAGTCAGAGAGACAAGGACATTCTCCTTGGATGATTTCTATGGACACTCTGTTTGGCAGTGACAAGCATGAATAGAAACTCTGATGTGCAAATAGTTCAAACTTACCTGTAGGCTAATGACAGCCTCATGCTCTGTGAGTTCAAGAGTAGGGAGGTGAAGCAAGGAATGCAAAAAAGGCCCAAAGTAAATTTTTAAATGGCAATATATTGCACATCCTTGCAAGAGTTCAATATAAATATCTCACAAACGTGACCAACGGCCAAGCAAGATGTCAAAGAGTCCTAAAATATGATGTGTCCTTCCAAGGACACTTTCTCACCATCACTGAGGACCAAGGAGATACCATGGTGGTATAGAACATTAATAAATTGCATCTATAGCGGTGACTTTCTTCAGCTAATTCCTTTTGATTTACAGAGGTTACAATTGAACTAGAATTGAAAGAGTGTGTTACCTGTTTCAGGAGATGTTTGTGTATGGATTCTCAACAGCTGTGCTTGTTCTGGATGCTCATCAAGGTAGCTCAAAACCTTTTTTCCTGCACGAACCCACATTTTCCTGCTGGTATCAAGCCAGTATCCGCCAGTAGCAATGTGCTTAATGATATCTGGTCTCGCAAAGATCCTGCACATGTCCTGACTTGGTCCTTGTTGATTGCTATGAATACATGTCAGCCAGAACACATGGTTAAACGACTTGTAGTGTTTGGTGGAAATTAAAATTGGTGGTCCAAAGTGTTGGATATATGCAGGAAGGTGGACCAAGAAGTGAAACTTTGGCTTTGAAATAAGGATGCTGGATGCGCATTGAGCTGTAATGTTAATGAAATCTTCAATAGTCCAGGAGAGCTTTGCCTGCAAATCAATTAGTGTTGGTGCAGCAGCATCAGCATGTCAGTGTACCAAGTATATCTCTGTATCATCAATTGTCGTGTGCCAAATTAGCATGACAAGCTCACCAATGATTGTCCACCCATCAAGTGCCGTCCTTGGCAACAAGTCTTGAATGAGAAACAGCATTACCTGGGCCAAGCTCTTGGAGTGTTTTCCAATGAGACTGCCCTTATAGTGGCAAATGTAATCAGCATTTAGACATAGAGCATTGAATCTGTCCTTTGCAATTGAGTCAAGATGTGTCTGAAAAAGATCCAAAAGTTTTGCCTTCTCGAGAAGATTAACTGTCTGACCCCAAAAATACTTTACCACCTCCAATAACACTGTGTGGAGTATTTCTGTTGGCGTGTCTTGATGAACATTGAATCCTGATGAAAGATCAGTATGCAGCCAGCCATGTGAACTCAATACTTACCCTCTACACCCAGTAAAGGGTTGATTGCATCCTCGAGTGCACTTCCTTGTAAGAGATCTTTGTGCTACTTGTTTAAAATTGCTTTGAGTTTGCTCTCTTGTTTTGGCTGGATACCAGCCACCTGTTTGCGCAGTTTCTTCCCTACCTCAATGACTCCCTCAAGAATGTAGCCCATTGTAGTATCTGTGTGAGGTGATCATGGTGGAGAAAACCTGGATGTCGCCACTTATATGATAATGAGGAAAGGACCACGCCGTGCTTCATTTATGTGGGGATCGTGAGTTTTTTCTGGCCTGAATTATTTTAGTTGCTGACTTCATGCACAAGCTCTATACGAAACTCTCAAATTAAGCGGTTGTAGGTTGAAGTCAGTACTCAGTTTGCCAGGTGATGAAGGGCCTTCTTTACTTGCCTTGAGAATTGACATATGCTCAACCCTCAGAACACTAATCATCTTTGGTTGCTTCACACACTTTTCCTTGATAATATCAATCAGGATTGCTTTGACTTTCAGGCGGAGTGGAACTGCCATCCAATATGGGGTCCTGACACGAACGACAACAGTCCAAAGGTAAACTCATGAGTTGTATTTCAACTTGCCGAAGACCTTAATTTTATCCAAGACCTGTGGTTCCTGGGTCAAACACTATTCAGCATGTATCATGACAATTGCGAGGGTGTTCACCCCAACATAATTGCAGAGTACTATGGTATTCATGGTTGCCCTGCATCCCGACAACCACACCAAACTGGTGCAGGACATCCTGCTGGTGAAGAAGACAATGTGGATGACCCATCATCCAACATTATTGAGTCAGTCAATGATCAGCAATGGTGGTATGTCCATCATGAAGCTGTCGGAGTTCCTTCGCATAGGATCACTTTTGGGACTGACAAAGAAACACAAGAACAATTTTTTGCTGTTCTTGCCGAAGTTATCACGAAGCAAATCACACCAGCGCATTGTCGACTGACACCAGATGAATGGGAAGGTGAAGTATATCCTGTTTTTGAGACTATATGTGCTGGTCAGCGAGGTTCAAAAGAGCTTCAAGTCTCCCTTACAGAGCCAATTTGGTTTCATAGAGTGAAATTATGGTGTCAAGCCTTACTAGTGCTGACTACATTTTTAGCCAATAGGGAGTAGTCGGAACATGCATATAGTACTTGAATAAATTTAGATTATAAATTACTTTTCACATCTTGCAGTCATTCCTATACCTCAAGTTTCCCTGATGCAACTTGCTTGACCCGGCTGTGACACAAGCAACAGTATGGATTGGGAAAACTTCTGCAGGGCTGCTGATCCTGAAGGTCAACTTTGTGATTGTGAAGATTTTTATCCTTGACATGGGGGTGAAGGACACTGTGCCAAGTGTGGGCATGGACACAGTAAACATCCTCGAACTCAGAAAACAGTAGACACTGAATATTCTGAAATACTCAAGGATGAAGAGGCCTATCCAAGTTCCTCTGGTACTGCTACAGTCAAAGAGATCTTCAACCATGTAGCCGCAAAGCAGAGAGGCTCGGTTCTCTCAACTAAAGCGGCTGCCAGAGAGGAGGCGCTGTCAACACTTGCTTCTACCTGTCTCACAAATTACAGTAAACTGTCAAAGGGCCCAGAACCATCATCAGCCAGCTTGCAAAAGGTAAGTCACTGCTAATATATTAAAGGTGTTATCTGCATATTCATGATTTGCTTTAGACTCGGAGGGATACTACTACTAGTTCACAATAGTGTCCTCATACAATGATTGTGCTTCCTCTTCAGTATGAACACTGGCTCAATGGTAAGAATTCAGCTGACTATTGGGAGTATCAGGTGGGGGACTTGGAGATGAGGTGACAATGAATTCATTTGATGTTGGGGTGCCTTCTTAGATTTCTTTGGTTGTTCCTTACAGCTAAAACTGCTGGCCTTCCTTTCAGCTTCGTGCTTCCATCTGCAACGGCCTGGGCTGCTTTCTCCGTGAGCTTGGTGATACGCTTGCCAAACATGGCTGCCGAGGGAGGTAGTGTGTGAGATTTTGGAAGTTCTTTTAGTCATGTTTGATATAATTAAGATTGGCTACTGTACAGTTGTATTAAGTTAAAGTTTTGTTAAAATATAGGCTCATGACCTGTTTTGGATTGGCCGGGTACCTAGTGGCTGTACCTGTACCCGTACCCGTGAGGTACCCATACCCGTGACCTATGCGGGCTACCCATACCCATGTCAATGCCTAGTTGCAGCCAAAGCAATACTAGATGTCCACTAGAGTTTGTGCATTTTTGGAGTAATGTCTATTGCTTCATAACACACAAACATGAAAATTTAATTTTTTGACAATTCGATAGCCTGACATCGAAAGTGCAACATCTGCTAGTTTTCTTTCGAAATTTGATGTGTTGAGCCCGGTGGAGAGTTACCACACAGAAAAATGCATTTTCCCTAGAGTTCGCACACTTTGTCACATCATGTCACACATCTGCCGCAATCCCTTTTTGCACTCTGCAGTGGATCAAGATGTCCTCGGCTTTTTTATCCCACATTTCGGCATTGTGGAGTATCAATTTCACAGTCTAGATGTAACACTTTGGGTAGATTGTCATGTCTGGGGCATATTTCTTTTATTGCAGATGATCCCTACAAGCATGTGGTCCGGAAAAATTTGTTTTAGTATTCTCTCATTGTGGACAATTGACATACCGCATTCCAGAATTTCATGTGGTGATTTGACCTTTAGAGTGAGCCTTCTATGCACAAAACTAGCCTCCAGCACCGATAAGTTGGCCATGGAACGAGATCTACTTCGATTTTCTTCAAATAAAATATATGGTACTGTGTATTATGTCGGGGGGAACTTACAGCTGTTTGCAAAAAGGTTGACAGTAGTGACTTTTCGAGAATGAACAAACAAATAAATAATAACCACCTACAGACATCACAAATTGACCATCATGTACCGCAACATCAGTTGCGACATTTGTGTGAGTACTGTACCATTTCAATCAATTCGACAGCCTCATGTGACAGTGACATAAAAACCCATTTTGACACGCCAACACAGGGGCATGTGACATGTGACTAGTGTTCTGCATGGGTAACCCACGGGTATTTTCAGCTGTACCCCTACCCCTACCCACAAAAACCCGTACCCCTGGCCAGGGGTACGGGTTTTTTCATGGGTACAAAGTTTTTGCCAGGGGTACACCCCTACCCGTACCCGTGGCGGGTAACCCGCGGGTATTTGTAGTACATATTGTAGAGCTTGATCAGGCGATTAAAATGGTGGTCTGATCATGTCAAATGGTTAAGATTTGAGCAAGATTTGAGCATTACAAGATAGGATCGCATAGTTAAGGAAAATGTGAATGTTGTTAAATGACTTAGGTGTCTAATCTGAAGCTAGTGTTATCTTGATTATCTTGTCAAACACTTGAGGTCTGGTTAATGTATGAGCTGTCCTTTCATTTTGTGTCCTTTTCTTATAATGATCATATCTTGCTCAAATCTCAACTGTTTTGCATGATCAGACCACCGTTTAAATCACCTGATCAAGCTCTACACTATGTACTACAAATACCCGCGGGTTACCCGCCACAGGTACGGGTTTTTTGCTGGTTAAATATTTTGTACCCCTACCCATACCCTCCAAAAAACCCTCCAAAAACCCGCGGGTTACCCATACCCCTGCATATCACTACATGTGACAGCGAGTGAAATTTTGACACCTTAATTTTCGTTGTACTTACATGTCTCACCAATACTCGGAAAGTTTTGAACATACCATATTAGGCAAATGACAAGACAATTTTTGTGAATGAACAGGTAGCGACCAAGGCCTGAGGACCACACCAGCTATAACTCAAAGACAGAGATGTCTCAAGATAATCCCCTTCTTGTTATTCCTGACATTGCAAAAAAACTTCTCCTCCCAGACATCAAACTCTCTGTGCTCGACCTATTGAGCTTCAAATTTCCAAAAATCTCAGTATTGAACAAGACATTCCCCTCCACTTCGTTCTTCTCACCAGCTCTACCAAACCTCAATGATCATTTTACAAGGCTACAAGACATGCCTGTCCTGGCAGCCCCTGTTGTGAGGATGCTCGCTGAAGACACTCTGCAGCACCTCTCCAACAGAGCTCAATCAATTCAGTGCCCGCATGTAGCAGGGAGCATTGAAAGACAGCTGCCAATCTGGGTGCTCTCATACTGGTTGCAGGTACTGGCCATACAATCAGATCACTTAGAGCCATGGAGGAGGGCAGAAGAATTCCTGCAACAGTGAAGTCAGATCTGGAAGATGCACGACAAGGAGGAGACACATGAGCTTATTGGCAAGGTCATGGATGCCCTAGCAATCCTACCTTGGGCTGGTAACATCAAAGGGTTTGAGTCAGAGGGGCCAATTTACGAGCTAGTGAGGTATACCACCAATGATTGGCTAACTGATGTCCATGAAAGCCAGATGCTTGATTTGCTGAGGAAGAAGGTCCATCAAACTCCAGGTGGTTTCAAGATCGAGATCAAGAACACATACTTTTATGGACTCGTCCTGTGCGTCGGAGTAGGCGAGAGAGAGTGGGAACGATGTGATATATAGTAGAATACTGACACGTTATATACTCCTGCATGTGTAATGGGTGAGGGAACCGGCTAGATCGTGCTGCTACTGACTATGACTCTCAGATCATCTGCAGAAGGAGACGAAACAGGCCGATAGCCTGGGGTGTGCATCGAGGGGACCCAGAGTCCACCCCACACACAGCAGGACAACAGGACACGACAATGGGGCGCCACCCAACAATGACGAAGGAGGGACAGAGGACAGGTGGGGAAAAGGCAGAAAGGAAAGGAAAGAGAGAGGGGGGTTAGGAAGAGGAGATCGAGGATATACGAGGGCCAAGAAGCTCTGTGTGAAGGGGGGCGATCTCTTTGAGGCAGCACCAGTAGAGTAGGAAGGCATCTGACGACCAGCGACCAAGGGTTTTGATGATGTGTGGGGGTACCCCACAAAGGAGGAGTTCTGTGGTCCCACCGATGCAAAACGAGTGGCCAGAAATGGCGGGAAACCATGGGATGACCAAATTGAGTTGCAGTGAGCGAGGAATTTCTGTTTGGTGAGTGGAATGAGGGCCCCATTGGCATCGCGATATGCGAAGAGGTGGGAGGAGGGGAGTGGAGAGTTTAGGGCGAGGTGCAGGTCAAGGGAGGAGATGGGGTCAGAGGTACCTGACTGCTTGCCGAGGAACAAGTCCTCGCCCTTCTCTCTTGAGGTTTTAGATCAAGGGAGGGCTAGCATACGAGAAAGGCCAGAGGACGAGGTAGGTCTCAGATTTAGAACCACAGGGAAGAAGCGAGCGGAGAATTTCCCTTGGGATTTGGGTAGGAATTCGCCTAGACAGGCCTGGCCCCAAAGAGCGCAATCGCTGACAGCGAGGCAAGCAGTGTCGAGGTGGTTTGACGGATCTAGGTGGGAGTGGAGGAGATTGAGCATTTGAGTGGTTACTGGAGGGCGAGGAGGGCACTTAGAGTTTGTGGGAGTGTTACTGTGGGCGCCCTTGATAACATATGAGAGGCGAATGCCCCCAAAGTAGGGCACATTGTTCAGAATGTGCCAAGCTCTAATGCCTGACATGTCATTTGTGATTGCCCCGCTGGAGCGTGAGCCTGATTCGAACGCAGCAAATGAGCAGAGGAGAAATTCATTTGCAGGGAGGTAGAGACTGGAGTGAATGCTGTTGCACGTGCAGAAAGCGATAAACTGGTCCACCCCATCCTGGTAGCCGGCGAGGGTAGTATCTTTCCACACCGAGAAAATTACCTGATCTATCTTGGCAGCAAGGTGAGGGAAGAGAGCGGGAGTGACCTGCTTGGGCATGGGAACCTTGGAAATGGCCTTGGCTGCGAGGCAGTCGACTTAATTAGAGAAAGTGAAAATGAACATGATATTGGACATGCGGAGAGCAAATGGCTTATATAATCACGCTGCACAAGAATACAAGTGGACTAAGTAGCGGCCAGAACAAAAGGACAAAGAGGGCTTGGGATTGGGACAGAATGCAATAGTCTACGAGATGGAGAAGGGAGGATGCCACGAGACGGAGCATCTGTGATATTGTCTTTAGAGGCTACCCAAAAGATAGTGAACCAGAGGGAGTGATCAAGAAGAAGTGAAATTATACGATGAAGTACTGCGTTCTGCTGTGGGCTACGAGAAAAGCCTGCTTTTAGGGCGCCAACCACACCCTGGTTGTCTGAACGAAGGACAAGATGGGCATGGTGCCAGCCTTCTGCGATTAAGGAGCGCAGCGCCAATTCGACTGCGACCATTTCCGCCCAGCCAATATCACGCCCTTCGGCTTTCCAACCCTCCAGCAAAGGCCAAGTGGACCAATTGTCGTTGAGGATGAGTCCAGTGCCCCAAGAAGTCGAGGTGTCGACGAAGAGTGAGGCTGGAGAGGGTGGGCCTGGGGTGTAGATGTGCATGCCACAAAAGTCGAGGGATAGCTGGAGGCGCCACCACTCTATATCTGCGAGGGCTTCGCCAGATATCGAACAAGTGCAGAGTTTGTGGGCATTGAGAGGGAAACGAGAGGAGAGACGGTAGAGAGAAGGCGGATGAGTGCGGCTAGAAGGGATGATGATTGAGCAATGATTCAGTGTGCTGATGACGACTTCAACGTCGTGTTTGGAAATGGTGGCGCCTTTCGACCAAGAGGCGAGACAAACAAGATACTTTGATTTTTTCTTCTGGGGGAGCTGGACCGTTTTCTGAGGTATGTCCCACTCGAAGCCAATGTAGGGGAATTCAAAGGCGAAATCAAGGAATTTAGGGATTGACCAGGGCCAGCCCACATAATCGGCTGTGGACCATATGATTGAGCCGTCGTAGTGGTACAAGAACGAGCCGTCAGTTACAGTGCGAGAAGGGTAGTGGAAAAAGATGAAATCATCGGCCCATTTGATGATGTCCTCGATGGACTTGAATTTTAGAATGGCCACGAAGCCATCAGCTGCACAACCAAAGATACCTGAGGAGCTTGAAGCTCTGAAGCAAGCGGCATGGTCTATGCGCACTTTGCCATCCCAGAAGATGGTGACATGGAAGCGGTCTTCGGGAGCGATTGGCATCCAACGATGAGCAGCGTCGACGTCAAAAACTGCTGCTTGGGAGCCCACTGGAGCGTTGGTGACGAGGAGGAAACAGTCGGCAAACGTGCCCCAATCGCATTGAAAATCTGACGAGTCTATTTCGGAGTTGACGGATGCGAGGAGTGGGTCGTTGCGTGGAAATGAGTGGTCTTGAATCAAATGAGACTTGCCAGAATTAGGATTGAAAACGACACCAAGCGGAGACAAGTGAAAAGGCCCAAAAAGTTGTTCAGAGAGGATTGGATCAAAAGGATCAGAGTATCTACCTGCGGAATGTTCTTTTTCGATGTGAGCAGTAATAATATCAGAATTATCTAAGGCGGATTTATGATTTGTGGGCAGAAAAATGGATGAGATAGAGGATGACATGCCAAGCCAAAAATCGTCGCAAATACCAACAACAACATCACGAAATTTATCGAGGACACCAGCCTCCAAGAATAGCTCTTCCCACTTCTCCCAGCGAAGTGGGGTAACAATGGGAAGGAAGTGGTTACGAAGGATGGGATTCAGCAGTATTCTCCGAGGCCCCGCAGAGAGAGCAAACATGAGTAAAGGCACATTCGGTGGGGGGGGTTGCTGCAGCCTTTAGCTCCATTGAAGAAGAAACAAACCGTGAGGTCACCAGGGCCCTTCCAGTCACTGTCGGTGTTCTTGACGAGCCAGCCGTTGCTAACGGAGGTGCAGTCTTTGGGGCGGTGGTAGCCTCCGCAGAACCAGCAATGGGCTTTCTTGCGGGGGGCTGAGGACGAGGTAGTGGAGGTGGAGTCTGCTGTGGGGGTGGAGGCATCTTTGCAAAAGGAAGAGGATGGAGGATGGAGGAGGGGCTTTAGATGATGGGGCAGGGGCAGATGGCTTTGATGAGGGGACTGCTGCTGCTGCTGCGGCGGTGATCTTCAGATGCCCTAAAAGGGACTTATACTCTGTCATTTCATCGTTGCGACAATTGTCGAGGATGGACTGCCAGATATGAGATTGAAATTCCCCAGGGTCGAAGTCTTGCGACCGTTTTGGAAAGGCGACCCAGAGAGTTTCATCGTAGACGAGGTAGTTTTCGAAAGCTGAATAAATGTCGTGGCATGCGAAGATGATGTCATAATGAGCTTTCCACGAGTGAGCGATTAGGGCCCTGTCAGGTGAGGCCAAGTGCGAAGTGATGAGAGAGATAAGATTCTGGGAAGCTTCACAGAAGTCCATGAAGGACAGACTCCGTTCGCGAGCGCGAGATTCGGATTCAGAGACTTTGGAAGTGTCTGACCAGGAGCAGCATAGCTCGTACAGTGGAAAGTAAGAGGGCCAGCCGTTTTGCATGATATCGATGTGCTTTTGGTGGTGCTTGATAGCACCAGGGTCGAGCAGGGTGCCTCGCACTGGGGCGCGGTGCAAGTGCATAGGGCGGGAACTCCTGCTAGGAGCCAGAGAAAATGAACCAGAAGAATCTGGAACCGACAATGTAAGGCCTATGACGAGCAAGGGCGAGAAACCAAAGAAAAACCCCACCCCCAGTGGGTGGGAGGGCACCCAATGTAGCCCGGATGACTCGTCTCCAATGGACGAGTGAGAGTGGTCACACCCAATGTGTGACCGAGTATGGATCGCCCCCGGTGGGCGATCCAGCGACCAAGGATGATGAAATAGCTCGGCCCCATTGGCACAAGACTATATGAAAAGGGTGGGGGACTCACCATTTTGGGGAAACGCGAAGGCGGGGCCTAAGGAGATTCCTGGGGCCATGTTTAAAGAATGGGTGAATTTTGCGACTGCGGCCTCAGCTGCGCGAGCCGAGACAGCGGCGAGTTCGTCTTCAGAGTAGAGGCGGCGAGGACGGACTGGGATTGGTGGACTTGATGAGGCTGCCGCCTGGGCGTAAGATTTTGGTGAGGTGGTGCAGAAAGCAACCTGAGAAGCAGAGCCCCCTGTGATGATGGGAGGCGAAGAAGGGGAAGGGGAAGGAGATTTTCCCATCTTGGAGGCGGCAGGTCTGCCTGACTTGAGGCATTTAGGAGCGGGAGTGGGGGCAGAGAGAATTGAAGGTGGTGAGGTCGGAATTCTGGGACGGCGGTCACCCACAGCAGGGGAGGGTGGAGCTGTGACGACGATCGCTGGGATGGCAGATTGGGATGGGACTGTGAGGCTGGAAGAGGCTAGGGCTGCCTCGATGTCAGCTTGGGAGGGGGAGGGGGAAGAGAGACCCGATGAGGTTGGAGATATATCAAGCGGTTCTACTGGAGAGCCGCTGGCTGCGAGAGATGCAGAAGCCTTCCTGGTTTTGCCTGCCATTGGGGAAGGGAGAGAGACGAGGAACCACAAGAAAATCCTCACAGCTGGGTATAAGAGAGAGCTGAAAGCTTCTATCTGGGTGAAGCCCATGCAACGAGTCGAGGATTCTACTCTACTGAACTTAGTGCCATGGCGGGTCAGGGCAGGCAGTCCTCGGCATATGCTGTGGTGCCATGCCCCGCCTTCACCTCCAGGTCACCAGTCTCCATTCTTTGTCACTCATTCCTCATATCTAGAATGGGAATTTCCTTCAAAAGGCCTACAAAACGTGTCAGACAAAGAAGTATGAAGAAGATAAATATTTCATACGTGCTTGCGAAATCGGCCAAGCGCTATCCTCAGGGCTCCGGAGACAGGTTGCATTCCTAGTGAACGTCAACAACAACCATTGGGTTGCCATTATTCTAGATTTCGAACACGACCTCATCTTACTTGGAAACTCGCTAGATCAGAACAAGCACTGTGACATTGTGAAGGACATTCTAGAGTGGTGGACCAAGCATCATTCAGGACGTCAGTTCATGGTGCAGCCACTTGCCATCACTTGCCAGCAAGATATATTTTCGTGTGGCTTGCTGTCCTTCAATGCATTGGCCCATCACCTCCTCCCCAACTCATATCCACTCATAGATGCTGTGCACGTTGCCAATGGTCGACTTGAGATAATGTTAGAAGTCATCAAACAACACCTTGATCAGGTATGTACACATTTATTGCTCTCTGATCTGCTGATCATAGATAAACCTAGAGTTTTGAATCGATCAGTAAAAACTTCGAATTTACATTCACGGCACCCACTCATACCCCAAACGACGACAGGAGAGAGGCTTTACGGAAAAAAATGGCTGTGCATCAGAAGAATAAGGAGCGACAACAGAAACTCCATAAAGCTCAGTATGATGCAGAGATTGCTCGAGGAGAGCGAACACCGGGAGGATCGAAGCGTCAATTGAAGGTATGTAGGAGTGGGCCTAATGATCTGATCAGATGAATCAACACCGATGATCTATTAGCATCACTACTTGGTTGATTTGAGAGACAACTCACCTAAACGTCAGAAGACATCAATTGCAGAGCTGTCACGTCCAAATCGTGCTGAAAAGGAGTTCATACGTCAGAAGAAAACTCACGCTCAGGGTCGCAAGCGGAAACACAAACACAAAGATGCTGTATATCACAATTGGCATGGGCCATTCACCTGGAGTCAAATTGACGCAGCAGCAAAACATCCTGGAGTCCAGTGGAGTACCACTCATCTAGTCCAACGACTGAGAAATCATGATCCTAAAATTTTCAAGAACCTCGCACATAGCACGGTGGAAGGGTGGATAGATCAAAGTGGAAACAAACCACGGTGGAGTGAAGCTGCCCTTCACATGGCAGAACTCGGTAACCACCAAGGTCACTCAAATGGTGGCCAACGAGGAGTCTTTGTGTGTGCTTGATTGAATATTTTCAAGATACAACATTAATAATACATCAGACAAATTATCCTGATGTCGAGAAGGAAATCATTCATCAGCTCAAATCCCTTTGAGAAGTTGGTGCGACACTCACCCTTGTTACAATTTGTGCCATTGTGCTTGCTATGGTCTCTGATAAAGCCCCCGAGATCTTTGAGTGGAAGGCAAAAGACGGATCCACTTTTCAATGCTCTGACTCGTTCCTCCAAAACTGGTTGCACACAACCTTACACTGGTCTGAATGTCGGGCTACACAAGCAGCTCAGAAGATACCAAGCAACTGGGAGGTAGTGTGCGAGAATGCATTTTTACGTTTGGCATACACGATAAAGGAGGAAGACATCCCTACAGAACTCTATGTTAACTCGGACCAAACACAGGTGATCTACGCACAAGGATCGAACATGACGTGGGCAAAGACAGGATCCAAACAAGTCTCGACCATCGGAAATGACGAAAAACGCACATTTACAATCATGGTGTCTATCACCAACGACGGCACAGTACTCCCACTCCAGGCCATCTACCAAGGTCATTCAAAGGTTTCTTGTCCCAGCGCGAACTTGGATCACTATGAGGAGTGCATGGATGCAGGCTTCCTTTTCGAATACTCTGACACGAAAACATATTGGTCCACCCAAGAGACCATGCGCAGCCTGGTTGATAAGGTTATCGCAAAGTATTTCGACCAAAAGAAGGAAGAGCTGGGCTTACCTCCAATGCAGAAGGCTGTGTGGCAGATTGATGTCTGTTCAGTACACCGTTCGGATGAGTTTCGCACGTGGATGAAGAACAAACACCCTACAATCATCTTGAACTATGTTCCAGGTGGCTGCACAGGGCTGTTTCAGCCCTGTGACGTCGGAATTCAGTGCATTTTCAAACATTCCTTGAAGCGGTCGTACCACACCGATGTTGTGAGAGAAGTTGCTGGACAGTTGGATCGAGGAGAGACAGATGTTTTGATCAATAAATGTATTGGTGTGCTGAGTGATCGAAGTGTTGCGTGGCTATGGGATGCATTCAATGTTAGCGCACTGGAAGTGCACGTGCACCCGCGACGTGGAGTATGGACCTTAGGATTCCAAACGGACATTATATATATTGGTTCATGTTCGTTTTCCCTTTTCCCCTCAGTCAATTACACACGACTGAGGTTCTAACAGTGTCTAGACTAAACATTCAATGCTGTCAATAAGCCCACTGTCATGAAAAAGGTGTGTATAAATGATTTCTCACCTTGTAAGTGAGCTTACGGACATTGTGCTAGGCATTTGAAATGTCCCGAGTACGCAGCTTCAATCTTTCGTACGAGAGCTTGACAAGTTTCAGTGCACGTGAAAGACTCCGGGAACTCAAGACCACAAACCCTGAATTTTGGAAGGAGTTGACGAGCCACCTGTTCACAACAGATCATAGCAGCGACAACCTGGAAGACAACATTGAATTGCAGGACTCATCCTTCGATGACAGTAACTTACCACTCGCAGCAGTCATCGCAAGTGTGACAGCGGGCACAGGACATTGTGTGTTACAAGCGGAGGCTGAAACAATGGACTTCGAGATTGAACACACAGATGTTGACATGGTTGAGGAATTTGAAGGGAACATTGAAGACGACGATAAGGAAGAAGTGTTAGGGCGTGGGAGAAGGAAGTGCAAGCCAAACAGCTTGTACACGCATTCATTTTGGCGCCACCACAATGCTGAAGAAGCGTAGTCGTAGCCATAGTTGTAGTTGTAGCTGAAAACAGCGCTGTGAGTGTGTGCGCATTGAAACGAGGGGATTTCGGAGGCCAATTTTGCTTCCGCTATGACGATTAGACATGGATTCGACATGAGCATCTGTGACAAGTGACACGTGCCCAAATTCGTTCACAACAGAGGTCGCTGTGACACGTGACTGTCGAATTGATCGAAATGGTACAGTATATGCGCACATATGCAAGTCATTAGTGGTATTCACAATAAGATTTTAAACGTTCATGAAACGCACTGAAAGTGCGTTGAAACAAATTTTGAAAGAGCTATGAAACTTTTTCAGCGTGAATTTAAGCTCCGCTCGATTACCTTCAACTCGGTAAGTCCAAATCTAAGGTTAGGGTTAGACACAATGCCTCGACAATCTGCGCGTCAAGACCTCTTACATCAGCTCGACGCTGCTTCACTGGAGGTCGCGATAGCTCGGATAGAGCATGCTAGACGTGAGTTGGATCTCGACGATTCGAGTTCGGGCTCCAATAGTACGATACCGAGTCCGATGATCATGTCCCCAATCTCCCCTATCTCACCAGATATATCAGACTCTAGTAGTACATCAGACCATTCAACTGACAGTTCAGGTACCGACTTCTACAACATCGATCTGCGCTATCTGCGCCTTTTGGGGGACATCGCGGCACTTCGTGATGAAGTAGAGAGAGCACGAGTCCTTCATCGCCCTGACGAGCCCCCCATGCGCGCACCACAAATTCAGCTCTTACCGCACTTTGCTGCCCATCGCCCGGATCTTTTTCGCCAGAAACTGCGCGTCCACCCCGACATTTTCGACGACATCCTCGACTGCATCAGCGATAACCCTATCTTCCACAATAATTCCAATAACCGTCAGCTCCCCATTGCCCTGCAACTCGCTATCTTCCTCAATCGCGCAGGTCACTACGGTAACGCAATTTCTAACGAGGACGTCTGCCAATGGGCGGGCGTTAGCGTCGGATCAGTCACCAACTGCACCAACCGCGTCATGATTGCTCTACTCGAGCATCATGACCAGTTCATCTTCTTCCCAAGTCTCAATTCTAACGATGCTGCTCGTGCCCGAGAGTACGTCTTGAAGATCTGCCCACAATGGCGCAATGGTATCTTCGCCACCGACGGCTCGATGATCAATCTCTGCAACAAGCCGGGGCTCTACGGCGAGACGTTTTTCAACCGAAAATCCGACTACTCCCTCAATTGTCAGGTAAGTTTTCTCATTTTTTTCTTGACACATTCAACTAACATACGTCTAGGTAGTGGCAATGCCGCACAACCTTCTTATCGTGGATTATTCAATCGGCCACGTCGGTAGCGCGCACGACGCATATGCCTTCCACTCTACACGTGTTTTTCAAGACCACGAGGCGCTTCTTGGAGACGACCACTGGATATGGGCCGACAGCGCTTACCCTTTGGAACCGTGGTGCATCGTGCCGTTCAAGAAGCCGCGCAATGGCGCACTCAGTAGGGTGCAGAAAAAATTCAACTATAATCTCTCTACGGTACGTATACTATTTTTTCCGTTGTATCTATGTACTGATTTTTGGGGTTAGGTCCGCGTTCGCATTGAGCATGTCTTTGCGGCTCTCAAAGGCCGTTTTCAATCCCTCCGCGAGCTTCGGCATCTCATACAAACTGAGAAACACCTCGAGTATACGTCTTACTGGATCATGTGTTGCTTGATCCTCCACAACATGGTCATCCGCTTCGAGGAAGAGCGCCACATATCTACCATTCAATGGGCCACAGGGGAGGACGGGTTTGAGGAGGAACGAGAGGAGGATGTTGGTGAGGATGGAGCCGGTGATATGTCGTATGATGGAACGCCTGGACAGGCATCTCGCAGTCGGTTGATGGACTACTTGCTCGAAACCCTCGAGAGGAGGCAGGGGTAGGCAATCACAAGGAACATAGTATAAGTCACATAGAACATGTAAGGCATACTGGGCATATGACAACGAGACTAGGGAATGCGCATGACTTGGAACATGAATACAACGAATGAACAAACACAACAGCTTCAACACGAACAAGCACAACAACAGAGGCGAGCAAGCAAACAGCAAATCAAGTTTCTTTCGACGCCGACCCTTCTTTGAGAGTGATCAACTCGATTTCGAGGCGAAGGGCCGCCGCCTTCTCTGACTGAACTTTGGCCTGGGCTTCAAGAAGACGAAGCTCGAGTGCCTTCGCCTCCTGTGACCGCTTGTGCACTGAAGCAGCTTCACTGCGCTCAATTACACCCTGCTCCCGTTGGAATTGTATATCGCGCTCATGGCGAAGCGCATTGACCTTGGCGATTTTATACTCGGAGGCAGATTCCTTCGCAGAGTATATGTAACTCATATCGTCGGTGAGAGACTCCACCTGGTCAAGCACATCGGACGTGCCCGATTGAACACGCCCTGAAAGGCTGCGCTTGTGCGCAGCCTTTTTCCGGCCGGGTCTCTGTGAGGTCTGTCGGTCTTGTGATACGCGGGATGACGAAGCAAATGTCTGCACGGACGAGCTGGGGGTATTCGCCGACGAGGACGCCATAGACGCTGGCTTTTTTGCACGAGGGGAGCCATGATCCATGGTACGAGCGACATGAGACTTGCCAGTGAAGGCTGCTTCACGAGAATCATACTGCGGGGTGCGATTTGTTGGCTTGAAGGTATTGGGTGGTGGTGAGGGGGATTTTTGATGTGGGCGTTTGTTACTTGGACGCTGCGTATTATCTTCTTCCTCGTTATCCACCTCCATCTCCAACTCCTCAGCGTCGCCACCCCAATTTCCGGGGTCGTGCTCTCCAAGTGCAGGGTCAAAGTCGTCGTCTGTAGGGTTATATGGAGGGTTGTGGCCCCCAATCGAGGTAGCAGGGGGGACACCTCCACCAAGTAGATTGTCGGTGTTCATATTGTCGAGGTCAGATTCCATATTGTCAAGGTCGGTGTTCATATTGTCGAGGTTAGGGTTGGTGTTGGAACAAGTTTGGGAGGCGGTAGGATAAGGGGTGTCATTGGATTCAAAATTGGGAGCCCTCTCTTTCCCCTTTGCTTGTGAGCGCACCATGGAATCATCTGCGGTGGCACTGGAATTTGCGGGATGAGAAGCAACCTGCTTGCGAGAGGTCTGTTTGCGTTTAGGCTGTGTTAGCGCATGGAGGGCACCAGCACGATCATTTCCAGGAACGGAGGAGAAGGTCTTTGGGGCAAAGGCAGGGTTGTCCTTCCACAGCGCGTCAAGGTCTTCGAACCATGGAAATTCAGATGATACTTGCGCTGCAATTTTTCTAGCTTGATAAGATCATTTAAATGATTTAAAAAAAACTTGCCTCGAAGATTAACTTTAGATAGAGGGTCAAGAGGGTTGATGCCAGCGCCAGTCATCCCAAAACGATCGGTTGCAGCCTTATACTTCCCCCTAAGACTAAGATTCATTAGTGAATACACGTGTAGGGAGAAAGATGGATGTACTATGCGAGACGATTGGCAACGGCTTGTCCGAACTTCGGCTGGTTCGCTTCTACAGCGTACCGGGTCCCATATGTTGGGTCGTCTTCAAATACGTGTCTGGCGATTACAAGGTAGATATCGGCTTTACTCTTGCCCGAAGGACGATCAGTGCCGATCACCGCGCTGCGATTTTTCTTGTTATCGGAGAAGAGTATCCGACAATCGGCTGGATGTGCAGCGAGCCAGGATACGAGGGGTGTAGTGCCATCAAAATCGGTGGTCTCCCACCTGATCTTGGCGGGGGCAAAGCTGGTGTCATCCCCAGGAGTTGTAGGCCAATCTTCAGGGCCTGTAGTGCTTTCGATGTCGAGATCGGTTGCAGATTGATGTTGGGGGGGATCTGGATGGTTGGTTCCTCCTCATCCTCGTCCCCTCCCACGAGTCACAGTAGTACCCCTCACTCTCCCCCTAGCCCTAGCCCTCCCCCTGCCATGCGAGGATTCCAAAGGTTGTGGCGGTTGTGGCTGCTGTGGCTGCTGTGGCTGTGGTGGTGGTGGTGGTGGTAGTTCGCTCATGTTAAGACCAGCTGATATTTGGGAGAGTTGCTTGAGGCGTGCTGAACGCCTTACAGTGGGTGAACGTATTGGGGGCATCGTGCCCGTGCAGCATAAAGTTTTGATTTCAGACTCCGATACCTGCTGCCGGGGTTCCGAAAAGTTTGCATGTTTGTTGATGTTTCAGGGAAGTTCCAAGCAAGTTTCAGGGCCAGCTTTGAATCCCACTATTGCAAGTACATGTACGTGTTATTTTGACTCTATGTACGCATCTATTATTTGTTTATTTTTTTTCATTCTCAAAATGTTGCTACTGTCAACCTTTTTGCGAACAGCTGTAATTGCAACATACATAAGGATTCCATGCAGAATTGCGTGTGCTAGTGTCAATGTGCAGACTCTTGGGACACACGGACTCGTGGGACTATCTAGTAGTGTACTGTGAAAGTGGCGTTGGGAATTCACCCCTGTGCATAGTGTATGTAGTGTGCTAATACAAATTATGTAAGTTCCTGAAACGAGATGGAAAAGACAAAAAAATCCACAAGGATGTACACGTCTAAAAATAAATGCGCAATGAGCATCAGCTGTACCTGTGTGTGATGCCACCGGGAGGAGGTGGGGAGACTGCAGTGGGGAAATGGGTTGCAGCTGGAAGTATGTCGAGGTTGGTGATCCCGGTGCACCAGGCGGATAGAGCGGCATGTAGGTACTGACTCAGATACTGCTGAGCCACTGAGCGAGGTAAAAAAAAATGTCGTGATGACTATCAAGACTTACAATGCATGAGCGGAGCGAGCCAGTCTTCTGTGTATAGTGTGGTGCCGTCACTGAAATTGGCCATGCGCTGTTCACAGGCATATACCGTGACTATAGAATAGTCAATAGTAGATCGCAATCTAAAAAGCCATTTCTCACCGAACAGACTCAAAGTTCAGAACGTGAGTGGCCGCTGCTCGGGTGCCTCACGATGTACTGTTCGGGAAGATTAATGATGGATAACGATATATGTGAGGGCAATAAACCTTACCTATAAATGTTTGTACGGCCCACTACGCATACCAAGAAGAGAACGCCAGCACGCTGAAGTGCAGCCTGAAACTCTTTCTTCTCGGTGTCCTTCTGCTCGACATGGCTGCTGTACATGTGATTGGCCTGTGGCGCGAGGAATGCATGATGTGAAATGCGACTCAGTGCAATAGACTGGTGATCTTGTTTTGGGCCATATATACCGGTGGAGGACATTGCATCCTCCAAAGCAACCCCGTCAACTTCCATCACAGTGCTCGTACTTTCAGTCATGAAGGGTGATCAGGCTTAATTCCTTCTTGTTCTGTCACCAGCATTTTTCGTTCAGCACCCTTCCCAAAAGTTAACGCCCCAGGCCAACTTCAGTTCCGAACCCCCATACTCATGGTGAGACTAGAAGGCATGCCCAAGAACCCACTGGAGGGGTAACCGCCAGAAACAACTTCTTTGGCTGCCGTGTTTGCAGTCACTCCCTTCTCACTGGGTGAAGAGGCTTCTGGGTGATCATCTGTGTTATGCCGTGGTAAATGAGGTTGAATCAGAGACGGAAGGTGTCGCAAGAGTGCGGGCAGATGATTAGATTGTCTGTGTCTGGTAGACGAAACTGCGTGAGGAGAAAGAAACAACACGTCCAGTCCAGCTGGTAGCTGTGACGAAAAGGTATCCAATAGAGGTGGAATAGAGGGGTATAAGGGGTGAAGCGACAATCCTAGACCAAATCAGCTATAGATGCGCAAAGTCCGAACGTACAACACGCCTAGGTCACTGCTCAACTCAAAACTCTTGCTTAAATCCCATGACCATGCCCATACAGTGAATAACTGTTCTAGCTGCAATTCTAATGATTCTTGCCCAAGGAAATTTAAGATCGAGGTGAAAGACCCGTGCGTGAGTTTGAATTTCTCGTGTCCCTGGAGGAAGTTCGCATGAAATGCATAATCATGAAGCAAGCCCGTCGTGATAGGCGTAAGAGGGTAGCAGAGCACTTGCTTGCTCTTTCTGTTTGTCCTTTCCATTGCCCTTGCCCTTATTCGACTGACTTAGGCGCAAGCGTCCGCGGTGTTTTTGCAAGCTCTACAGCCTAGCAAAACTAGGATAAGAGGACTACAACATATCGAGAGTCGGCGTACTGCGTGAATCCAGAAGTCACATTGGGGTTGAGCATTATCATCCTTCTCGACTGAGAATGTACATTGTGGTAAGAGTTGGTCGGATGGGATATCCTGCTGGATAGTAAGCGTCTTTGCGCACGGAGGAAAACCTGAGACTCCTACTCAGAGAAATGGACGAGCGCCTCGGCGAGTCCGACCTCAGGTAGTGCTGCCGAAGTCCGGTTCAGTCCGGTTCTCTGGCAACATTTTCCGAACGCCAAACCGAACCCTAGTTTCAGGTTCAGTTGTTGGTCGGACTCCGGACCGAACGCCTTTGAACGCGTTTCGGAGGTCCGGCTGGCGTTCGAACCGGGTTCGACCACAATTTTCGAGGTGTTGCGTCGACAATGCCCATCACGTCCACCAAACCGTTCCCAACACCGTGCGCAAACGCCCAGTGCATGTCAGCAACTGCTGACGTGGCTCAGACAAGTACGGGCGGTGGACAAGAGCAGGAAGAGGGAAGCAAACGAGCAGGAGAACCAGGGAGGGAGACAAGTAGAAGTCCACAGCGTCATTGGACGCAGGATCAACATGCACAGACGGTGTGGTGGATATAACACTTCGGTAGACAATTAAGTTGAAGTTGAACAAGGTTGTAAAGCAAAACACATCCTCAGAACCCGAAGTAACAGTCATTCTCGTCACCTCCGTATCATCGCTCGTAACCGTCGTGCCACCTACACTACGGATAGTCGGTTGGGAGAGTACCAAACGAGCAGTGAACAAAGGCATTGGACCAAGGATCGACATGCGGCTACCTGGCTCCGCGAATAGGTCCTCGTATTCCTCAGCAGTGTGGGACATGTACCGCAAGGGATCTGCATGTCCGAACGTGCTCACAGATAGCGAAATAGTACCCAGCAGTCGACCAGAGTTCAGGGATGCAGATGACGTGGTCACTACGCACGAGTGAGCAGAATTTGCAGAAGGACGAGAGGAATTGGACCCCGAGAGACCGAAAACGCGAGCAGAGGGCGCAGGTGCCGAACCCGAAGACAAACGTGCAGAGTAGGGGCTTAAGTGCGAGCGCATTAAGTGCAAAGACCCTCACTCAGAGACCATGGGGTTCCCTTGATGAATAGCTTGGGGCTGTATCAACAATGCCTGAGCATCTTGTCGCGCGAAGCAGCGCGTTCCTGCGAAGTGTAGAACAGGATTTGTGCTTGCTCTTCTGCATCCTCGTCGTCTTTGGACACCTCTTCATTGGGACGTAAAGTCGGGTTATAAATGGTGAGATAGAGCAATGCTGGATGGATCCTGTTCATGTAGCAAACCTTGGCTATGGCGGAACGGGGGAAATAGCGACCTGTAGCTGCATTTGGGACCTACGCCAGGCTTACGGTATCTGCCGAGGCCGATGAAGTTCATACCGTTCTCAGAAAGATCTTCTCCTTCAATTTTGAATCCTGGACATCTGCAGAGTAGACTGCTCGTCCTCTGCGCCAACTCCACACATTAACGACACTATGTCCGCACCAGAAGTATATTCGATCGCCAAAACTCCAGTGACGTGCCACGCATTCAACGCGGACCGCAGCCGTACGTCCTTCCTCGATATAATCATCGAATGCTAAGTAGTGAACGTTACCTTTGACACAGATGTTGCTGTGAGCTTGAACGATAACAATGTCCAGATCTATGCAAAGCAGGGCAAGGAGTGGATTCTATCTGAGACGCTATCCGAGGTGTGTTATGATCAGTGCATACCGGTCAATCAATATGCGCTAACCACTACTTCTTCAGCACGATAAACTCATCACGTCTATTGATTGGGCCCCGATCTCCAACCGCATTGTCACCGCCTCACAGGACCGCAATGCATACGTCTGGACCCTCACTCCCGATCCGCTTACTGGAAAGTTAGTGTGGAAGCCTACCTTAGTACTTCTTCGTATCAACAGAGCCGCTACCTTTGTCCGTTGGAGCCCGAACGAGGATAAATTCGCAGTTGCCAGTGGTGCAAGGTACGCGCTCTTTTCTCTTCGAGATTATTCAATTTCATCAGATATACAAAGGGCCATTGCCATCTGTTCATTCGATCCCGAGAATAATTGGTGGGTCGCAAGGCAACTCAAAAAACCAATCCGATCGACTGTCCTTTCTGTCGACTGGCATCCGAACAATGTCTTACTCGCTGCGGGGAGCGCCGATATGAAGGCGCGCGTATTCTCTGCTTACATTAAAGATGTAGACAAGAGGTGATGTGCAGGCTCTGGACTGCGATGGTCATGTTTCTTACCTTTGATTTCTAGGCCCTCGCCTACCATCTGGGGCGAGAAACTTCCCTTTAACACTCTCTGTGGAGAATACAGCAGCCCGGCAGGCGGATGGGTCCACGCAGTCGGCTTTTCTCCTTCAGGCGACGTCCTCGCTTTTGCTAGTAAGTCGTAACCTGTTCGCGATACTAGCTAGAATACCTACAATTTCCACAGGTCATGATAGCTCTATTAGCATCGTCTACCCTGGCGGTCCCGCGGTTTACAACATTCGGATTAGCTCGCTGCCATACGTGACTTTGACCTGGACTTCTGAAGATGCCCTCGTTGCGGCTGGCCACGATTGTCAGCCTGTTGTTTTCTCTGGCTCGGAGCAAGGTTGGGGCCTTATCGGCACTTTGGATGATACTACTGCTTCGAGTGCATCAAAGGCTCCTGGTGCAAAGACTGGGACTGTTGGGAGGCTGAACAGTGCAGCTTTCAACACGTTCAGGAACGCGGATACGCGTGGACATACTGGAGGGGGAGATCTTGCTTCTGACACGGAACTGCTCACTGTACATCAAAACACGATTACCAGCGTCAGGCCGTACGCGTATGGAGGTGAGGGGGTCAGTAGGGTGAGCACTACTGGAGTGGATGGAAAACTTGTCATTTGGGATGTCAATGCGGTGTCGGCCCTCAGTGCAAAGATGGGCGGCTTGAGGGTTTGAAGCCATTGTATATTGTTGTACAGTTAATCGTACAGTGAATAATGCGGTATGTAAATGTGCATGGAATAGAATTCTACTCTCCGGACGAGTATCATTTTCGTAGAGTGTTAACCGTCGCGTACGCATATCCCCCTTAAATCTCTTGAACTGGCTGCTCGTTGATGACGCCCCAGACTGATGCTTTGAACTGTGAATAGCTACATCAGCCTTGAAATACAGAAGTGATGAGGTATCAGCATACCAATGTTAATACGAGGCCCATTTTTCTCTCCAACACTCTCAAACGCGCAATAAGATTCTCATCTGGTCCCTCGGATAGCCGTCTCGTGGTGACGGTCAACTAGCAGATCATAATCACAGATCAGAACGATGGGCGTTTCACTTGAAGATGGAACACACATCTTTGACGTGTTGCGATAGTTTAGCGTACTCCCACAAAACACTGGCCTCCAGCGCGGTCAGACTTGGGTGCGATTCGTATGGATTGAGGTCGAATATGCCGATGGCCGCAGACATTTTTATGAAACCGACAAAAGATTGGTCGCAGATGCTAGACTTTGCGAGACTCGCGTAAAGTTAAATCTTGAAGCTCACGCGTTTGTCTTGGTGCTTGTCTTCACGCCAAGGGTGCGATGAGCGGCAAACCTTGCACCGGCGGGAACAAGGACATTGCCACCGAAATGATACCGCGCGTTACCATAAACGGATATGTTGTATAAAGCTGCTCCTATTCTGACATACCACCGGCGGGTCAGACAAGATCCCTATTGATACCGACTCATCCACTTTTTTCAAGTCTTTCCGATACTCGGACTTGGGGGAATATGTTTAACAACAAAATTTCCTTTTTTGACGACTAAAACATCCTCCGGCGGTAAGACATGTACCTATTGATACCGAATTAGCGCCGATAACAGGAATTGCCGCTGGCTAGGCTGCGGCCTAGCTGCCATCCCTTTCCATCCTTTCCTTGTGGCATATGCAAGCCCCTGGATCATCGTCATGAATCTAGGCTCAGCCTGATCAGTTCAACGGCATGCAGCCTCCTCGACAGACCCTAGATGGACAGCCTCATAATTAAACAATCCTTGACCTGGAGTCGGATATTCGTCCCTGCTAGCCCTTGTTCTAAAAAAGATCAAAACCGCTATCCCGAGCCGGGCCCTGACCTGAACCCGAGTCGAGGAAATACAGACTCGTTTGCTGCTTGCTGGTGAGACATTTTGCTTTTGTTCAGCGGGCTGACTCTTTAAGCGCACGCGAATACGCGCGATCATGAAAAACATTTTGAAACGTCAAACTTGCGCCAAATATTCAATACTTCCGAATTTTTTATGATTTCTCACGGTTAAATACTGGCTCAGATTTACCTAATTTGGATATGGTATATTATCCTCCTTGGACGCAACAATATCAGCATGTTCCCCTAGTAAACAATAGTCCTGGGATACCCCGATCCCTTAAAACAGGACGTGATCTCTTGCTTTACTTCGCCCTTTCTCACACACATCCCCACACATGCATTCACCCCCTGTAACATCACATCCATCCTCGTCCTTTTCACCAAGACCCTTCCCTCCTCCATCACTCAACGATGTCCCTCATGAATATATCGTCGACCAACTGAGGAGTCTAGCCTCCCACTACTGGGATAGACCACAGACCGCTGATTGTACCATCAGTACGTTTCAATTTTTCATTTCCGGAACGTTCTCATCTCTTCCGCAGTCGTACCTGTTCCACATCATCGATCACGTCCGGTACATGACTCCCCAACCACTTCGTCAGACTCTTCACCAGAGCCCTCACCAGACGCTGCTCGACGGGCAACAGAGCCTGCTATCCATGCCGCGCCTCGAATGAAACTAAGAGTGAGTCATGCTGTTCATCGAGGGAACATAGTCCTTATTATTGTCTTCATAGTTGCATATGGACTACCTCTCTTCCCATTCAACGTTGCTCCGAGGTCTCTTCAACGGTGCCTCACCCGTTGATCTCATCCACACTGGCGCCACACAACCTCGACATCCTCCTCTGCATGTTCCAGAAAGCCGTCTTCCTTCTCTTCTCCCTTCTCCAGCTTCACACCCCACTCTCTTTCTCCCCGTACCCGATCCATCTTCCATTCATCTCATTTTCCACTGGATGTACTTTGGTCAGACAACTCTCATGGAAGATTGTCTAAATCGGGGTGTTGTCCACTGGGAGGGGATTGCGCGCAACGTGGAGTACTTGGGACTTCCCACAGACATCAAAGTGTTCCTGGGGCGGTGGTACAGCAATTGGCTTCTTCCGGCGCGCAGTCACCCCGGCTGTGCACCCTGTTCGCCCACAGATGATGAAGATTCTGATATTGAGCTGGAACTGGATGACGATGACGAAACAGATGACGACGATTCCTCAACTAGCAGCTCATACGAGGATGTAGATGCTATCGCAGAGTTCGAGCGAGGCCGAACACGGACAATCCGCCCCTTGGCGCGTCTATGCGGGAAGTTACAGATGTGTGGAGCATGACAGGCATTTGACATCTTTACGAATAGCTCACTGTATTTCATAATAGTTTGCCGCTCATGGCACTGTTATTTGGTTTATCTTTATTCATTTTTGTCTCATCCACATTCCATTCAAGTGTGATAGCATTTTCCAGGGAATGTTGAGCGTGGCGCGGGCTCCAATTTACGAGCGGGGCATAGCGCTAAACGTCACGGCACTGCGATTACGTACTTGTCATTGTCTCCGGTTGACAAAGTCAAGACAAAGACTCCCTCTCGTAAACTTGGGGATACAATTGTTCTGTGACCTGATACATAGTACACACTTGTCTGCGCAATTGTGTCGAGTACCAGAAGGGAAGGGGTTTGAGACAAAGTTAACACAGGCCTTCCCGTAATCTCGAGCTTCTTCACAATTGTCTTCCAAACCTTCGTGAGCGTCAATCTCACGGAAAACGTGTAATAGGAGATAGGGTAAACAGAATCGACCATCACCCACATCAAAATAAGTGATCTGACGGTTGGGGACGCCCGTGCGGTTCCGTAGTACAGGCCTCGGCAAAAAACAAAAGACGACTCGGACGGCAGTCCCATGAAGGATAAGGCTTCTGAGAACGTGACTAACCCCACTTGAACACCACCAACCGTATCAGGAAAGAGAGAAGAGCGGAACCAAACAAAGGCCTCGCAGCCCCATCCAGAATGGTTTCACAATGTACTACATACCCGTATATACCGGAAAACTGGAAATGACTGTCCGTCCCGTCCGTACTGTCCCGTCCGTCCGCACCGTCCCATCCGTCCCATCCTGAATTTGGCTCTCCGTGACACCTCGGAATTTTTCCGAAATCTCGAAATATATTTTCTGGGGTCAAATTTTGAGTATATAATTGACCTAAAATGAAGGATAGTGGTCGGTTATGGATCCGACAAATAGGTTTGAGCAGAATAAATAAGAGAAAGACGTGTCTAATGGGTTGCTCGACACCGACGAGGCAGACGTTGACGGTTGGGCAGCGTAGGGCAGCGTTGGACGTGCGTTAAGAGCGTGATGTGACACATTTGACTACTAACTACCCGGGCCAACCCCCCTTATAAGCTTATTGCCTCCGGTTGGACTGACAGGGTTCCCAATTTGGGATGTCAGTTGAGTCTGGTTCGAGATTAACCAGGATACCTGCAAGACGATCAGTGGCACACGTCAATTTGTCGGACGATGCGGACAGATAGGATGGATGGGATGGATAGGACGGACGGGACAGATGGGACGGGCCGGACGGGTGGGACAGAACTTTCGAACTTTCAGGTTCCCTCACATACCCTATAGGGGTTTGAGTCGGCCCCCCATTCAGTGACAATCCGAGAAAATCAACAAGCAAATAGGTCACAATGGAAGAAATGCGGCGGGCTTTTGAGACATTCTGACGTTTTCTTTTAGGAAGACGGCCCGACTCCCACTTACAGTGAACATGCAGTATGGAAACTTAGAATCCTTTACTTCGCCGCGTCTGGATGTGCGCAGGCACCAACGGCAAGGGCAATTGGGGACCTATCAGACGGGGCATTCCGAATTTCCATTAATCAAACTATAGGATAGCGATTTCTATTCTCGAGAAGACATACCGGGTAGTGGCCGGCCTGGGTTTTATTCCAATTGATATCGTTGAGCCATGAGCGTTCGAGAACGGAAGTATCGACGCCCAGACCATGCTCTCCTGTCGTATCCACGAAGCCTGTGACAATAGATTTGAGGGAGGCGCCCGCGCAGATGCCCTTTTATGCTACTTGTACCTGCCAGAGGCAGTCCTCTTGGACAGTTGGTTTTGTTCCTGCCAAAGAACGGCTGGAAAAAATGTAGGAGTCTCATAGAGCAAAGAATAAACGGTGCTGGCTGATCCCTTCGCGATCATTTCATACGATGCGATGCCTCCCGTCCACTATGTCCTGTGATATACCTAAGACCTCATGTAAGCCCAACTGATGGCGAGAACTCACCATCACCTGGGCTTACATGTCCAACATCTCCAAGTGTCAGCTACCCGCCAGGTTAATTGGTTTAAAGTCCCGATGAACGATTCCCTCCGCGTGGACAAAACAGAGTCCAGCGAGGCGGTAGCGAGATAAAAACGAACAGTCTCGGCATCGAGGAGGCCACGCGTTTGGATAACGACAACGTCCTGGAAACAACATGTAAACTCCAGCATGAGCTCAAGGTTCAATTAGTCTTAGAAGGTACCTATGACAACATTCATGCAGGGGCTCCATGATACGCAGACGGGTGCGTTCTCTCAGCACAGGTATCCGCAAGGTGTTTCTGGCTGAAGAATTGCTTGATGGAAATGTGACCGGGCCCAGTGAACTTTACAAACCCAATTGATTAATTTCGCCCACTTCCTGGAAAGGACTCAAATTGATAGCAAATAATGACCCTGGCCGCTCCGGGTTGGAACTAATGTGCGAAGAAATTCAAGACCCTTAGGGTCAGAGTTGGCCCTGGGCGACGGTGTAATGTATCGAGTGGCAGGACGTCACCAGTACAGCTTCACTGATACATGACTATGGACACAACGTTATTGAATATTCTGGAAGGGGAGCATCAGGAAGCACGTACTGGTCCTAGATCATGGCGCAAAGCATGAGAAAATGCTTTGAGCACATGCTTACGAGCATGCATCCCCTTGAAAGTCCGCACGCGATAACTTATAAACTCGTACTATATGAACCTTGCTAACCACACGATAACGCCGGAGGGAGTAGTGGTGAGCTGCAAGTTCAGAGCAATAAACCATGGTCGTCAGGTCAACGTAAGGCCGCATGGCGTGTACAATATCTATTATTCAACGAGTTAGCAGATCAGAGCGTGAAGTATTTGCGGGACCGTATACAACCCGAATAACGATGAATTATCCTTGCCTTTTGACAACCGAGATGCGCTATCACTGCCAGCCATTATCGAAGAAACATTACCTTCTCCTCCAGCCGTGAAACATTCCAGGCAGCTTCATGAATGATGCCCACCTGACACATTCCATCAAGCCCCCGTTCCCACTAACCGCCATCACATAAAGGACGATTTCATGGTAATACGCAAGACTCTTTCGTCGTACATGTGACGCGTACCGGTACGGGAAAGAAAGATGAACTTGAGAGAGATCGGCGGGGCAGGATCCAATGGAAGGACCGCAGTACCAACACAAATGGGAGGGGAAGATATGATGGAGAGAATTTTGAAGAGACCAGAGTGAGAGATGTACTTGGTCGTTCATTTTCTTCGCTACCCTGCCGTGCAGTGCTAAAGTGGCTGGAAGTCATACGGAAAATGAGGGTACCCAGTGCTAGCGGCCGATGGATGTCTAGTGTCAGCTCTGTTGGGTTTAAGATCCATGGTGGAGGGGAATATGCCGTTGGGCCAGGCACGTCTGATTCCACCGCCGAGGCCAACAGATAGCCTGCGAGTTCAAAAACGTTTGATAAATATTAAATACTTCAAGAATGAGTTGACCGTACATGGAAAAGTTGGACAGACAAACTGTAGAAGTGTCGTTGCCAAAATGATAGAGGGTCCGCAAACCCCATTTTACATCCTTCACGTGACACGTGATACACGCGGAAGGCATAATATAATTATGCTCGACTCTACGGCTCGGCTATGTTCCGTCGACGATCCTAGCGCTTACACTAGCTTGTAGAACCACCTTACTTCCCCAACTCGCTCATCTTAGAATCTGAAGTTCTTTCCAGTATGTTAGCCTCAACATCTGGTAGGCTTACAGCGCGCAACCTACGCCGTTACCTTCGACCCAGTCAAAGGTCGCGTCAAATCTCAACGTACAACGTTGATATAGCAGGGCTCACGGAAGAGCAGGCTGAGGTATGTCAATGAAAGCGTAGCCCTCAACTACAGCTCAGCAGTACAACTCAGTTCCGAAATGCAGTAACCGAGTTTGCCGAACGAGAGGTTGCCCCGCGTGCTGCACAGATCGACAAGAGCAACAACTTCCCTTCTGTGATTATCAAACAAATTTCATTGACCTTCTCATGCTCAAGAGTACCATCAGGATGTTTGGGAGAAGCTTGGTAACATGGGCTTGCTCGGTATCACCGTTTCGCCAAAGTATGGTGGTTTGGGCCTTGGGTACTTCCACCACACATTGGCAATGGAAGAGCTTTCTCGTGCTTCTGGCTCGGTTGCACTGTCATACGGCGCGCATTCGAACCTTTGCGTGAACCAAATTCATCGTCATGGCACAGAAGCTCAAAAGCAGAAATACCTCCCTGACTTGATCGCTGGGAAGAAAGTAGGCAGTTTGGCTATGAGCGAGCCTGGGAGCGGGCAAGTTGACTGGCTTATAATGCGTGGGTATGACTAACAGTGAACTAGGAGTGACGTAGTCAGCATGAGTTTAAGGGCAGATAAAATAGACGGTGGTTGGAAGCTGAATGGGAACAAGTTCTGGTAACAAATTCTTCGTGTCATACGTGCATCATTCTAACAGTCCCGCAGGATTACCAATGGACCCACAGCATCAACACTAGTTGTTTACGCCAAAACTGCTCCTGAGAGAGGGTCCAAGGGCATCACTGCGTTTATCATCGAGAAAACGTTCAAAGGCTTTTCCACGCATCAAAAGCTTGATAAATTCGGCATGAGAGGCAGTGATACTTGCGAACTTGTCTTCGAGAATTGCGAAGTCCCGGAAGGTTTGTTTTTCTTGTGGCACTCAACGGTAGACAATTCATCGACTTTCGCTGCTCCAAAGAAAATATACTTGGCCAGGTTAATAAAGGTGCGGGGGTCTTGATGTCCGGGCTTGACCTTGAACGCCTTGTTCTGAGCGGCGGTCCCTTGGGGTGGGTTCAATTCATCAAACGCTTCAGACCATTTGCTCAACATCACTTCCTGAAGTCTGGCGCAAGCTGCATTCGACTATGCAGTGGAATATGTTCATGATCGCAAGCAATTTGGACAACCTGTGGGAACATTTCAATTAATGCAGGGTAGGTTAACCAGCCTCCAAGATCGAAACAGCGACTAATCATTCTTCAGGCAAGATTGCGGATATGTATACAAACATTAATGCAAGCCGCGCGTATGTCTATGCTGTTGCAAGAGCGTGTGACCAAGGTCAAATCAGTCGTCGAGTAAGTAAGATCGTGAATTCGGACGCTGTTGATTTCTGATTTTATAACGCTAGGACTGCGCTGGCGCCATCCTCTACTCCACCGAGAAAGCCATAGAGGTCGCGCTGGAAGGCATGCAATGCCTTGGCGGTAATGGATATATCAATGGTTCGAAATTTTTATCTATAATTTCATGATTACTGCTACTCACATCAACATTAGATTATCCTATGGGTCGCATCTTACGCGACTCTAGGTTGTATGCAGTAGGCGCCGGGACTCAAGAGATAAGGAGGATGTTGATAGGACGCGAGTTCAATGAGCAGTTCAAATCATCATGATACCTCAGTTATACCAAGCTGCTTTCGGATAGTAGTTCGGACTCGTCATCCCCGGCGCGGACAATATCGTGTGTGGGTAGTATGACAGGCACGCAGAAGAATTTTTGGACGAGCAATGACTTTGAATCTGACAGTGTTCCATCGTATTGATTTACTGTATTCGACCTTAGGTTCATCACAGCGTCGCCGACGAACCTAAAATTGTGACATCTGGTTCTCTCGTATTTTTCTGTGAGATACAACAAATTCTAACTAGTGCGAATCATAATGTCCGTATTGCATATCTGCTTAATGTGCCGTCGCTTCCCTCTGCCGGCCTCCTCAATACCCTCACGAGACGGAGACATTCAGCCCAGACTCAGACAAATAAACTCACTAGATTACTATAACACGGTGCCATTACTATGTCGTGTCACACCACAACCCCCTATTAGAGGTCAAATGGATACAGTATATGTAATTCAGCTTGTAATGTGCAGGGCAGAGCTTGAAGTCGCTACAGGTTAGCTGTCGATTCATGTATTCTGAAAAGTAAAAAAAATAGCTTGTGGTAATGGCTTCAGGGATATCTGCGGCGAACACATTCACGTTTCGGAAAATGAAGTCTGTGCACTTTGAACGTCCCCTTGGCAATTTGCTGATAGACTCTAGAGGTTGTGTTAAAATTCCCTATGCTCAGACGGTTGCGTTTCATAAGTAACATAATTCACATAATGTCCTAGGTACAATCATGCGTATTAAAATAATTCCAAAGAGATCATGATAATAATGGTGTGCTTGAGAGAGAGAATTTCTATATTTCTGTACCGCAACAAACAAAGTAATCTGTTAAGACGCGTGACGTGGTGCCCTGTCAGGGCTGTACTGGGGAATATCACAACAGGGTAAGGGTGTAAGTAAAGTACAAATAGCCATGGGGTTCACGTTTAAGAAGTTTTGGTGCGCGTATGAGTTTGTTCGGTGTCCAGGCTGAGTATAATATGGTACACTTTTACTCCTTCCTCCTCCTCCTGTACTCTCTCGGTCTCCTCCCTCCTTCGTCGCCTCCTTTTCCGCCCTCACTCGGGCTTCCATCTCTCTTCTTTCTTCCCAGTCCCCAATGGTGTGCTTGATCATGTGTCGAATCGGCATTCGAGCACCAAGCTTCATAATCGGCTTCGAGGGCACCAAAATCATAAACGAATGGAGACGCGGCTGCGTTTTCATCGGGAACTGGGGCATCCATTGCATGCGCAGTCGGGAGGGGAAGGGTGAGAGACGTCGGAGGCATAAAGAGACCCTCTCTATCTTCCGCCATGACGGTGGATGGAGGCGACCCATTAAGTTGCTGCACAGAGCGCGGTTCGGATATAGACAGAAAGCTATTGGAATTGGTAGCCGCGCGAGAGGGTTCCATAGGACGCGGTACAGGTGGGGCCTGGACATTGGATTGCACCGCGGGTAAATATGGAACTTCTCCATGGAACACAGTCGAGAGCTGGGATTGTTGCGTCGCCGAGCTCGGTGCAGCTCCTGGCCGCTGAGATGAGGATGACCCTTGTGCGGCGACGGGAGGCGCAGCCGCGACCGTACTGCTCTGAAGTTCTTGCAACAACTTCTTCTTCAAGTTCTGGGTACACCTATCAGAGGGCATATGTCTTTTCATTGAATCCTTGCGTTTGAACCTATGTCTTTTCATTGAATCCTTGCGTTTGAAACTAATAAGAATCGACATATCAGCCCCACTGCTACGTTCGAAAGCAGAGGGATGCTCACGTCCGGCCACAACGTGGGCATGGGTAGGGTCCAGACGAACCCTCCTGAATTAGCTGTCAGCAGGACAGCGAGAACGAAATAAATAGATTTGACTCACAAAATCAGGATCATCTTCAACACTAAGATTCCGCATGGTTTTTCTTGTGTCGTCTTCAGCATCATCAAACGCCTTGCGCTTCCTGCGCCCCGCTAAACTTCTCCCATCTGCGGCTACAAAAGCCGCTGGCGGCATTGGTCCCTGGTGAGACTGTTGGCCGTAGTAGTGACCCTGTATGTGTGATGGCCCGTCAGATGGGGCGGGAGGGGGCGCGTGGAATTGTTCCGGGGAAATGGAAGGAGCGCGAGGGAAATAGGAGCGAGGAGGAGGAGGAGGAGGAGGAGGAGGAGGAGGAGGAGGAGGAGGAGGAGGAGGAGGAGGAGGAGGAGGAGGAGGAGGAGGAGGAGGAGGAGGAAGAAGAGGACCTATAGTCCTTGCCATCCACTGCGTACCTGTAGTTCCATGTTGGGACCAATCAACACCGAACCCCAGATTCGCCATTCCGTAGTAAGCAGTGGGAACCAGCCCAGGTGCAACGTACGGGTTAAGGAATGGATAGTTTACTGAAGGGTTGAGGAGGAGACGCGGGGGCTGCGCCTGTGGTTGTAAATGTGATGGAGGTCCCGGCCCGTACTGGGGCTGGAGATGGGGTTGGCCAGCTGGTCCTTGGATCTGGACCTGCGACTGTTGAGGAGCTTGTCGCTGGACGGCCCTAACCGCCCGCAAGCGCTCCATCTGCTCTCCATAATCTCTCTGAGGACGTGAGGCCCTTTCGCGCTCAGCAGCAGTACCGAACTGAAGGGTACCGGATTGGGGCTCAGCGTCTGGAGTTGTGTATATCGAGCTCGGCGAGGCGAATGAGGCATCAGGAGTAGAAGGTATGGATTCGGTGGACGAAGAAGAGTTGGATGTGATAAGGTTGGGTATGGGAATTGAGGCTTGACCATTTCGAGCTGCGTGGTGGTCCATTTTGACGGATCGAGAATTTTTTCAACAGTACTATGAGTGGCACTAGGTCCTAGCCTGCGATTGGACCTAATAAGTGACAGAAGAGAAGCCAAGTATACAAGAATGACTCACAGTACACGAGTTAGGTAGTAAAAAGTGCGATGTGGAAGAGAGTGGTGAAGATGAGGAGAGAGACGCAAATGTTATTATTTAAATTGTTGGCAAACCCACTTCAACTAAATAAATTAGATTTCCACGGGCCTTCCTTTTTCGAGTCCTGGTCTACAACTTGTTGCCCCACCAAAGCGGACGGTATGCACTTTTTGATGTTATATAAAGGGATACATCCAACCGACCACGCACGTATTCTGCCAGCCAACTGACAATAGCACAACACGCCGGCCGCCCAGATATCCCCCGGCGCAACTGTCGAGATGTTCAATTAGGTGCACTGTCGATCTTCCGAAACTCAGAAGTTTTCTTGGAGAAGAGCGCAATCGGTCATTGATTAAAAACATTGAAGGCGACGCGCTGCATCTCAATTTTAGCTTTGGCTGCGCATGTATTTTTCTTCTTGCATGGGGACTTGTCGTTTGATGGGTGCCAGTAGCCATTGGCATCAAACATTGTATACCCCAATATTTGATTGACAAAATCTATCAACATAAACACATCAGACAGGGAATTGCATGCTGCTTGAAACAAACGGAAATGTTCATGGAAACCACGTGATAAGCACGTGAGAAAGAACGTGACTCTCCAGTGCATTCAAACAGCGCCGCCCCTCCAATCGCCAGGGATAATCCACGCGGACTTCCAATGCAACCTCGACACCTCAACAACACACCCAATCTCTTCTCTGTCACAGAACAGTTGGTCATTCGTCCGCCTAGTAAGTAGATATAACTCACTACCACAGATCAGAACGTTCATATCACATCCACATTGATTTAGAACACTCGCAACTCAGAGAAGAGTCTCGCCTGTGTAACAAACAAGTAATGAGCGTCATCGATAAGTCGCGTTGTAGGTAGTCCACGCGGACACCGAAAAGGCAGCGCCCCGTGCACGTTCGACCATGTTTCTCGATTCAAGAATAATGGACAAACCGTGCAAATATCGAACGTAGCAGATGGACGACTTACCCAAAGCAGATCGGACCAATGAGCACCCCACCGCGACGGTCTGGCGTACACTCTCAGCGTCCGCAAGCGCGGGGTTAACCTCCTGCGTACGGTGACCAGGTGAGACAACAGCAATGCGAGCAAAGATCAAGGTAAGAGACGTACCATGATGTCAAGCGCGACTAGTAATCCAGTCTCGTGAATCGCCTCACAGATGTAGTGCCCTTCACGGAAGGTGAGCCCGCCGCGCACCTGCGAGATTTTGGTTAGTTCTGCTCATTGGCTTGGCATTTGATTTGGCTTGGAATTAATTTGTTTAGGAATACATGGTCTGCCTGCCGTGGGCTTGGACATCCCTGCCGCGGATCAAAGCGTCTGTGTTTCCAAGACGTCCCAATGAAAGGGGACGTGGGCACTACAAAGCGTCGCACCAGTCTTCATACGTTTCCTTAGGTGTGGCACGTTTTCTAAGCGCCCCTCCAGGGCCAGGATACGTGGAGAATGATGGGCATTTTCGTGCACATTCTTCGAAACACACCTCCAACAAAAAGGAATTCTGTCGGCGCGCACCAAGTCACCAAAAGTGCGCAGACCAGACTGACTTTCGCCACTCAAAAAGTACGTGCGAAGATAATGACTGGCGAAAATGCAAATTGAGATACTTACCGGTGTCCCCGTGCTCGGCGCAACGCTCGGGTCGAGCGCGTCGACATCAAAACTCAGGTGAATAGGACGGTCTCTTTGCGGGTTGACATAGTCGAGCGCCATTTCAACCACTTTGCCGATGCCATAGCTAGGTAAGGCACAGTCAGCATCAGTGCCCTTCTCTCTAACAAAACTCAAGCATACCGATCAACCTCGTGCATGCTAAACGCCTTGATGTTGTGTTGCTTCAAGATTTCCTTTTCGCCCTTGTCCACGTCCCGCAAGCCGATGTAAACGAGACGCTCAGCAGGGAGGTGAGAGACCCAGTCGAACTTCGCAAGGACGGAGTCTGGGGATGGAGCAGGGGGGTTGAGCTTGAGGAGAAAGGATAGGGGCATGCCGTGGATATTTCCACTGTCGGTAGAGTGGATCGTGTTTATATCTGCGTGGGCGTCTATCCAGATGACACATGCTTGGTCGTAGGCTCTGTGGATAGAATGTCAGGACACAGTGGAAGGAGATAGTCTCAACGGAGACGTCACCTCAGGGTGCCCGAGATTGTGCCCATGGCTAAGGAATGATCTCCGCCAAGGGTGACGGGTAGCTGCCCCATCTCTGCATGGGCTTGCACGGCAGATGCAACACTCTCGCAGACCTGTGCAACGAATAGGGGGCTTTTCATCTTCGCAATGGATGCGTTTAATGGGTCTACAGCAGCGTCATTGGCGGCATTAACTGGGGTGCCATTGGTTGGGGGAGAAATATCCTCAAATTGGTGGTGCCCATCAAAGACAACACGCCATCCGAGTTCTTCGACCTGTTGGATGAGCCCTGCCTGGACGAGGTGGATAGGACCTTTGTCTACGCCAAGTTTTGGCTGAGAGAAAGGTGAGCGGGTGAGTTATTTGAAAGACTGTTGAGAGTACTGACCTGACCACCACTATAATGGGGTGCCGAGATAAAATTACGGTCACGCGAGTACAGCCGGCATCGAAATGCTCACCTAAAGGGACATCCTAAGATCTGAGGGGGTGAGGAGTCAGTCCAGGTATGACGAAAAGATTTCTGATAGAACACACGTACAGCGACTGTCTTTGGGCTGGGCAAAAACTTGTTGGAGGGAGCTGACGACATTCTGAAGTGCAAGCAGTAGCTGGAAAGTCAAAGCGTCAGCAGTCAAAGCGGGCAAGGTGAGTGTATGGGACTGGTGTATTAAACGTTGTCGATACTGATTATATGGAGGTGAAACAAGGAAGAAGACCGTATGGGGACGTGATCACAAGGCTAGCTACTCGATAGCGAGATCCGACGCCTGGCGCCGTGGCGGTATTTTCCGGGTTGGCGTTGTTCATTGTCGACGTGGTAGTCAAACGTGAGGTATGAGAACTAACATTTGAGACTAACGAACAGTGTGATTGCTGGATTAACGCTACACGCTCTGCGTCGTACCTCTAAGGTTTCACAGTGTTAATGCACCTTGTTACGACGCGACCAACGATGGACTCGAAGTGTGGGTCGGAGATTGAATCCCATCGCGTGTAGCATGTAAAATTAAACTGGGTGAACGACCAGGGCCTAGCTGGAGGACGATGAGAGTGACTCGCGCAATCGTCCTGTCGCAAGGTGGGAGCTCTGGATAAATAGCAGGCGAAATCAATGTTGGTCCCTGGATCCTCCCTGGCTGTGCAACTGACATTGACAGGGAACGTTGACCCTACTGCCCCTCCAGCAGCCCAGCTGTGGGTTTATCAGTTATTATTGGAGCTAGCACAGGATATTGATGTAAAATCATGATCTTTCTGCGATGGCATTGATATTGGCATGCCAGCAGAACCCATTTATGGCTGTGGTTGAGGAGCTGTGGATTGTATAAATACATTTAACCTGGACCTTCGTTGAACAACCATTCCATTGGCTCTCCCCTTATAAGCTGCCCTCTGCCCTTCCAACCACGCCAGCTCATCAGCCATGTCCAGACCCTCAACAAGACCCAATAGTGCCTACCCTTCACGTAGCGGCACTCCATCCTTAAGAGACGTCGTAAGTTAGATCATTATCATTATCCCTTTCCTTTCCTATCTCATCCATGCACGTTCACCTTCATCTCCCACATCTCCCTTCTTCGAAATCTATCTCTCACCAGGTCCATGGCGTCATGAAAATCTTCCATCACGAGAAAGAATCAGAGGCTCATCAGGTATATATCTCCAAAAACTTTATATCATCATCATCTAACCCTTTGCCAAGATATTCCGTCAACAAGTCGGTCATCAGCCCAAGGGTTGTCTTCCTGAGACCATCAATCCTGTATGTTGTTCGCCTTCCCAAACATCACGTGACTTGACGCGTCAATAGGATGAAGAAACAGTCCCTGGTATCGAACACCCTGGCAGTACTGGCGTTATTTACTGTTCAGATCGCGCCATAGCGAATGGTTTCAACTATGCTAATTCACACGAATGGGCAAACTTGGGCCAGGGTGCTCCAGAGGTAGGCCCTATCCCGAATGCCCCGCCCCGCCCAGAGAGCATTCCCATGCCTGTTGATTCTTTGGAGTATGCCCCAACAACCGGTGTTAAAGGTCAATCTTTCACGATCCGTGGGCGGCTCAGCGCTTAACTCATTGTACAACCAGCTCTTCGTGAAGCAGTAGCGAACCTCTACAACGACAATTACCGCAAAGGCAAAGCAAGTCAGTATACATACGAAAATGTCTGCATCGTGCCCGGTGGACGTGCGGGGCTCTCCCGTGTCGCGGCTGTCATCGGGGACGTTTATTGCGTACGAGTTACCCCTGGCTTCCCTGCCTGTTAATAAAACTCTGCGCATACAGTCATACCAGGTTCCAGACTATACCGCCTACGATCAAGTTCTAAGTGCATTCAAGCGACTCGTTCCTGTTCCTACTGCGTGCGTATTTCTATCCTGCCTTGCCGATATAAAACCGACCCAATCCTTGCTTTAATCTAGATTGGATCCCAAGGTACCCCGTTCCCCATAAAACGTGTATCACAAATTGCTGAACGGACTCCGTTCCATAGAATAAATACCGCCTTGATATCGAACAAACCAAGGTTTGTCCCCAACGACACTTGAATAAACAACCTGGTTGATCTCGTGAACAGAAAGATATCCGCACTCAAGGCCTCGCCGTCGTCATTGCTTCGAACCCGAGGAATCCCACAGGACAAGTTATCGCGTGCGTGTTCCCCTATATTTATCTGCTTCTTAGCTGACACTCGTTGATTAAAGTGGCAAAGAGCTGAAAGAACTCGTTTCGCTCAGCCGTGAGAATACGACGATCATTCTTGATGAGGTACGTTCCCTTTACCCGCCTCTCACCCAATGCTACCGTCACTCTCGCTGACGCTTAAAATTCCACAGTTCTACTCGTGGTACATCTACCCCGACAGCGAGAAAGACATCGGAAAGAGTATTTCCTCTGCCGAATATGTCGAGGATGTAAATAGTGATTCTGTAGTTATCATTGACGGGTTGACCAAGGTGCGTTTCTTGACATACCTTCACTATGCTTTCTCCCTTGATCTCAATATATATACTATGATAGAACTGGCGCCTCCCGGGCTGGCGCATCTGCTGGGTCATGGGACCTAAGAACCTCATCACCGCACTCTCGCAATCGGGTTCTTTCCTTGATGGGGGTGCAAATCATCCGTGAGTGCCGTCTTGTTCCGTCACTCCCCTGCATTCGTTGAACCCTTGTGTAGCATGCAGCTTGCAGCTATTCCGCTCCTTGAGCCGGGGCGTGTTAAGATAGAGAAGGTAGGTCGATCTTTGATAGAAAAAGGCACGGGCTGACGTGATACAGATGGCCCTTCAAAGACACTTTAAAACCAAGCGGGACCACGTGCTGAAGCGCTTGCATGCGCTCCATCTCGACGTGGACGTTCCTCCGCAAGCAACGTTTTACATCTGGTTGAACTTGGAGAAGTTGCCTTCTCCGCTAAACAATGGTTTGGTGAGTGGTTGTTATTCATGGTCCTCACCTTCCCTGTCTTTGGACCATCACCTGGAAACCAAGAAAGGAAGGAACGGAAAGAACGAACGTTAACTCTTCTCTCTATGTCAGACATTCTTTGAAGAGCTCCTGAAAGAGCAAACGATTGTGATCCCGGGCATCTTCTTCGATATCAACCCGGCGCACCGCAGGAATCTGTTCAACAGCCCGTGTCATCACTATGTGCGATTGTCGTTTGGACCTCCTATTGAGGATTTAGATAAGGGTGAGTTCGCTGTTTCTTTGATGTCACACTTGGATTCTTCTGTTCTCGCATCTCCGTGCGCCTGAGAGGGCGTTGGCGTGCTTGTTACATGTGTCCTTCTGTATGCTGTGTTATCAGATACTGACATCAGTATGACACGCAGGTATCGACGCCATCGGTCGGGTGATTGCTGCTGCGAGACAGGGGGGCACGAGGAAGATGGGACACAGTTATAAGAAGAGCTTAGAGAGCAACTCTGGGGTCAACATCTGAACGCGATAGATTGTTCCCTCTCTCCCCTTGGTGGTCGTACGTCGCTGGTTTTGAGATGACTGAGAATCGCATGGCAAAAAGAATGGACAGTATATTTAATTATGAAACACGTCGATTTGTTTGCATCATCGTCAGTAGGCTAGCTCAGTATGTAGAATCATCCACCAATCATTCACTGTTTAGACTTGTACAGATGTGTAGGGACAGGTCAGAAAATGATATGTATTATATATGGGCTTAGAAACTTGAGTGAATGTAGAAACGGTTGAGTACGAGGTCGAGGTGATGAAGGTGCCATCATTTACAACAGGCAGTAGCTCAGACAGGGTGGTATACACAAAGCCATCGAATTGCAAGAGACCAGCACCGTTGATGATAGTATCGGCGGTCGAGGCACTGTGCACGCTGAGTAGGGTTGCAGCACAGCCAAGGCTCGACGCGAACATTTTGTTTTAATTACAAGTGCCAAGTGTGATATCATCTTGCCTCTTTGATTGAGTTGTCTCCTGTATTGCAATTTGCACTCCAGCGGGCCTCGATCTCGTTTCTTTTCAATGCAGTTTTCACGAACGAGCACACCCCGATGCTCGGCATGCCATAAAACTGCCGGACTCGCAATAGGTAGGCATCGATTGCATGAAGGTTATGAGAGAGCGAGGAGGAATTCCACTGCTAACACGCGTGTTGAAGGGATACGAACAGGGACAAGACAATCTGCTATGGCTATGATCCATCTGTGTAAATGGTCTATTTCAGTACTCACCTATATTGTATCGATTTAAATTTCGCCAGTCCTCTTCGGTATTCATGGGATGCTGGTCCAATGCTGGTCCGATCAGAAAACAATAAAACAATACCGTAATGTGTGATGAATGACTTCGATTGGTGACCAGGGTAGCATGAAACACAAGATGTCATAATCACGGTTTCCAGTACCCTACAGGCGTAATCGCAGTGAACGCTGACAAGTGAAGATCACATCGACGGATCAAAAGACGCGAACGCAGCCTTGAATGCCTTTACATCTGCTTTATCCTCCTCCTCGGGAAGCATACATGCCTTCCAGTCCACCCTATCAGGAATGCCAAGTATGTCGGTTACGACTTGCCTGTGAAATACCGAAATACCATCAGCGGTTGCAAAAATACAAGAGCGTCATCCATAGAACGAAACAACAACAGAAATAAGCAAGGGAAACGGAGACGAGGACAAGGAACACGTGGGTCCAACTCCGTTCCCGTGGCTAAAAAAAAGAGCGAAGACAAAGAGGACAAGGAAACCACCACAGCCAACTCACCTGCCAAACTGCACCCCAAAGGGTGCGTGTTCCTCAATCAGATGGACCAATGTCCTCCCATCAGGCAGGTCAACTCTGAAATAACTCCTACCCCTCCTCGTATCCGGTAGCCCTGCACCCTGACAATCTTCCAATGTGCCATCGAAATCAATTCCTTGAGACCTAAACGCCTGCTCCACCTTCCCCGCGAGCGAAGTAGGGACAGGGACAGCTTGTACATGCGCGTGTCCTCCTTTTGCGCTCAGACGTCCGACTTCGAAGAATACGGCACTTGCGTTGTGGGCGGCATAGAGAGCACGGAGAGCAGACTTGTATCTGTGAAGTAGTTGTCAGGTTCCAGAGTCTGTAGAAACGGCAAGAGAAAAAGAAAGATTGAACACATACTTATCTGTCTCCTCCAGAATTGGAGGTGCGATGTCAGTAGGGATAGTGTTATACGTTGGGTGGTGTGAGATGGGTACGATGAGGACGTGGCCTCCACCTGGGACAGTACCAATACTACTGTTATTCCTGGCTGCGTTGGATTGCGTAGGAATAATTTGACCCTTTGGAAGCGTCACGTAACATTCACTTCCGATGGAGACGATGAGATGTTTTCTGCGCGAGCGGGAATTAACGGGAAGCAGCAAGGTAAGGGAAGAGAACGTACGCGAGGTTGGGATTGGAGAGGCAGAACCAGCATTCATCGGCTGTAGGCCATAAGTACCACAAGTAACACTTCAAACAATAAGGAATGCTCACGTCCAATCTCCTTGTGGTCTCTCTTCCCCCTCCCCCTCCCCCCGTCCCTCTCCCCACCACGCTGCCCTGCATTAGCAACCGGGCAATCCTCAATGTAATGTCCCTCGCTCCCACATGCACGACACACATACCCAGGGCGTGGTTTTCGCCCACCAGTGTCACCCACAGCGTGGCGTGTAGGACAGTCACGTACGAGATGTCCGGGTGTATTACATATGCGGCACACGTATCCTTCAGGAGGTTTCTGGCGTTCCGGGCAAGTGGAGATGAAGTGCTGTTTGTAGGAGGTTAGCGCGGGTCATGGTCAAGGTCGGATAGAGGAACCTCGGTAGAGTCACACCTCCGGCATTTGTACCCTGGCGGCGGCTTGCCTTCCTCACCTGGCGGTGCGTCTGCTTTGATTAGATGAAGTGCGCAGAATAAGGTTCAGTACGTACCTGTTCGTGGACGTTTGCCGGGCTGTGGAACGTTTCCCCATATGAAATTCTCTCCTACTTCGAACGTTTCAAGTGTCCGTTTTAGGGCGCGGGGAGCTAACTCGGTGAAAGGGTTTTTGGTGGCGTTTGTGGGGCGGGCTGGAGCGGGATTTGAGGGAGAAGGTGGGGCGATGGAAAATGCGTAAAACCACTGTTGAGAACATAGTGTGATTTATTTCTGTAATTTGATGCCATGATGGAAGTTCCAACGTACCCTGGGCTTCTTACCACCCGTAGCTTCAGCACCAAATGCACCAAGGCTTACAAACCTCGAAACCCTTCCTGCTTCATCATCCCATACGAAGGGTTCTCGCTCCCAAAACTGCGGCGGCCGGCCACCCAACGCAGCAAAATGATATCTGGGCTTTACCTTCCTAATTACCTCATCCAGGGGTGTAGCGCCTACAGATGAGAGTTCTTGAGAAGGTAAAGGTGCTGAGGAGTGTTGTGTGATGCATGCAGGCCATTCGTTTGTAATGAGGATGTCGATAAGCTGCGAGGAAGAAGAGGCGTTGAGGATGGAGGTAAGGGAATTGTAAGTTTGATCCTTGGATTGAGATTTTGAGGATGATTTAACGAGAGTGTTGGAGAGAAGGCGCTCGACGGTGTGGGTGGAGAAGAAGGGGGATGCGAACCCCTAGAATATGACGGTTAGCGTTTCCCTTGAAATCATTCGCACAAGAACGCACAGGAGGAGCTTCAGCGGTGGTGTAGATGCCTGAATTGTAGATGCCACCTAGACAAGCTATCCGAAGTCCGTGAGCGGTCGTCATAATCCCAGATTTATCTGGCAACTCGGTCAATCTCATACCACCAATAAAACCGTGATGTAGGATGGAACCCACTCAGCAAAAATACATCCTTGCACAGCTCTCCACTAGTCTTGGCGTATTTTTCTATCACAGAATCAGGTAGAGGGTTCTCTCCTTGCATGATGTAACATTTCAAAGGGACTGAGAATGAAGAAGTTCAGTCAAAGTAAAGCACTTATGACAGGTGCTCCTGCCTTCAATATCGCCGTTCAAAAGTTGCTCGGTTTCATCTGTTCCATCCCCTGAAGCTCCTGGCTCTTTCAAGGGGCCGAAAAAGTCACCGATGCAGAGTACACAGTCAAATTTGCCATGCTTCGCATCGATGGCTTTGATTTTCACAAAAAGGTCACGTATGGACCCTACGGCGGAGCCTACCGTGAGTCTGTAGAAGCGAACTCGGTCATTGGTTTTATAGGTGGTTCATAGGGACTAAAAGCCTACATTTTCACGGGTGAAGTACTTGACGCTGTTGGTGCAGTGGAGGACGCCATGAAACTCTCCGTAGCACGTGACCGTCCTTGCAGTCGCAACAAAAAGGGAATTACCACATGGACCGTGACCACCACTGCTTGCCCCTTTGTCGTGTCATTCACCGCGAAAGAGCTCTGTGACCAGTTTACATATGCTGAAACAAAAACAATGGTACTAATTCCGAATCGCCACCTTACTTGCTCATCGAACTTTCCATACTTTTCATCCCCCGGGGCGCGCGCTAAACCAGTGTAACCTAACCCTAATGGTACCGAGACACCGAGAGAATACGTTTTCATCCCTGACCACCCAGAAAGCTAACTGGGCGGGCGGGTGGTTTCTAACCAACACATTTGCTTGTTTTTTTCCATCCAGTGTCCCTCATCTGAGGCTGTGATGATCCTCCGCCAAATCACACTACTGTGCATGTTTCGGGGGTGTTGTTTTTCTCTTCTATCGTCCGGCACAGCCTAAACAAACCCTCTGCTCGGTTGCGCGGCGGCCGCGCTGCGCGGTTTGGCATAGCGCAAGGTACGTGATCAACTCTTTTTTTTGGTCTGATCGCATGTCATTTCGAGGAAGGCAGGGGTCAGGTGAAACTATGTACCACCATCACACCGGGACAGGACAAGGCAAGATGTGCCTATGAGTGTGAGTTAGGGATACCACGACGAGGACGCACGTCCCTGTGCTTCCGATGGGAGTGTTCAGTTGTCCCATGATCTTGGGGTCATTTAGGCCCATCAAAATCTTCCAACGTGCGGCTCCTTGTTTCCTGGTTACTTAATGTCTTCAATTCCCAGAGAGTCGGATATATTGATGTCGTCACTTGCGGTGATTATAGTTAGCATGCATGACATGACACAATCTAGACTACCACCTTCCGCAAGGCACTTAGCGTAAGTTTATGGGTTGTTCACTATTAACTTCCTTAGTTCCGTCACTCTTTTTATTGAACTCATCGACAGGCTACAGCTCAAAATAAATTTTTGACAAAGAACTCTAAAGATATATCTGATTTTGCTAGGACAACCTTGTGGCGGTTGAGCCGCCGCAATTAAGGGCCCATCTGTCAAAGGAGTCTGGGACTCGATGAGCTTACAGTTGCGAGGCACCTCTTGACAGCATGTAAGTCCCGCCAACAGGTTTGTTGACTGTCTCAGTCTGACGCCGTCCAGTAGCATAAATATGGCTTTTGAAGATGCGTGGTACAGGGCAAGTTCTGGCTGCAGGTCCTTCGCTACAATCATTTACGGGACTGTTTCACGAGATGAAAGGGATTGGGTTATGCGCGCGGTCTAGATCTGTGCCCCGCATACGGTTTAAATCTAGGACACTGTCGGATTAGAAGAAGGTCAAGGCAATCGGGTTGACTGTTTGCATGTGCAATTCACGTTTTGGGAACAAAGACCCTGGGTAAACGAGGCCTGACGCGCGCTTCAAGTGAAGTTGCCTATTCTGTTCGGCACGCTTGGCATTGTTCCATACGGAAGTAAATCTCATCTTCCTATATGCCCGCCGCGTCTATATATTTTCTTGTTGTACCTTTGCCAACTTGTCGTTCTTTACCACCTTGCGTGCTCATAGTGCCTAGCGTGTCTTTCGCACCCTGTCGTCTGGCAGGCACGATCATAAGCCTGGATTCTCTATTTAATCCAGCAGTTTGTTGAAGTGCAATTCCCTTACAAGCAGTAGTGTCGGGGGATCTCTACGTCTGGATCATTTGATTCTTAGGTTAGAATCATGGTCGCGTTTTCAATTATCTCCATCCTTTCGTCACTGCTGCTCGCGTCACTGTCGTATGCATCCCCTGTTTCGCGGCAGTTCTCGAACTCGCGACTATCCCTTCCGTCGCTAGATCCCCAAAGTTGGTTTTGCCGTCTCGTCCACGCGACACCGGTTCACAAGCTTTGCCTACGGGAAAGGTCGACTGCGATATCCGTGAAAACTCGCCTTGGCGTCGCGCAGGGTGTAGTTGACGTCTCGGGTGTTAACAGGTTTTCTGTGAAGTATGCTTCTGCAGAACGATGGTCCCCATCCTCTGTGGTGACTGCATGGGCACTCCCGTACGTCAATCACATCACGCCTGATATATTTACTTCTGATCACATACACTGCACCAACAGCAATGGTTCTACAAATGTCTCATCGTTGCCGCTTATGTGCCCGCAGCCCTTCGTGGATAACTCCACGTACACCGAGGATTGCATGTCGATGATTCTCTATATTCCCACCACATTACACGCCGACAGTGATGTACCCACTTTGATGTGGTATGTATAACGATCATTCTTCGGCGATGGTGACCGTCATATAATTTCGCAGGGTTCATGGAGGTTCGTTTATGGTCGGATCCGCCACAAATCCTGGTCTAGATGGATCTGCACTGGCGCTTGCCACTGATTCGATCGTTGCGGTTATTCAGTACCGCCTGGGAGCTGTGAGTGCTTCCAAGTACTGCAAGCAATCCATGTCAGCTCAAATGTTGTTCCTTAAAGCTTGGCTTCGTTGCTCCCAACAATCAGACCAACCTTGGTCTAGGAGATGCTGTGAACGCACTCAAATTTTTGACGACTGTGCTTCCTAGCTTCGGTGGCGACCCGAGTAAGATCACTATAGCCGGCCAAAGCAGTGGTGCGAATATGATTCGTGCCCTTCTTGCTGTGCCTTCTGCACAGTCACTATTTCAATCTGCAATTTTGCAGTCTGACCCTATGGTAAGTGGCGTGCCAAGCTGTCGCTGGAAGGGATGCGAGACTCATTGCTGTGTCAGGACTACGGCTTCCTGTCATCATCTGACCAGGTCCAACTTCAGCAGTACTTCGTGTCAAATCTCGGTTGTACTGCAACCGACTCAGCGTGCCTAAATGCTTTAACCGCGGATACCATCGTCAATGGTGCCGGTCTTTGGCAGTTCAACAGCTCTGTATACGTCGTCCCAGCCGCGACTCAATCGGAGCCAATGCGTGTTGTGAATGACGGTACCTTCATCACCTCGACGTTGGATTCGACTTCGCCATTCCCCAGCGTTTCCAAGCCTATCTTACTTTCTAATGTTGTTGACGAGGGAGGCTATACGATCTACGGCTCATTCCCTGATCCCATACCTGAAGCTGAGTATGTTGCTATTGTCAACGCCTCGTTCGGCGAGACACGCTACGAGGCTCTCATGGGCTCGCAAAGCTACGCCGTCGGGACTGCTCAAAATGGTGACTACCGCCCTCAGCTCCAAGTGCTCGCCACGGACTCGGTCTGGCGATGTGCGACATGGACGTTCGCGCGAAACTGGGTCTCTAATGGTGGTACTGCGTACGTAGGATTGTACTCCGTAGGCGCTAGCTACCCCGGCAACTCCGCTGTCCCTTTCTGTACCGAACCGGGCGTTGTTTGTCATCAGGACGATATCGAGATAGTTGTAAGTCAAATACTTGCTGTGTTCCATTCTTCACAACTCATGTTTTGTACTAGTTCGGCACCGCTCTTATCCCTAACTTTGCTCAGTCCGCGCTGATTACCGAAATGCAAGCCCGTTACAAGTCATTCTTGTATAGCGGGAACCCAAACCCCGATGATTCATCATACACCGATTGGCAGGCGGCCGGGACTTCAGACGTCAATGCCATACTGCTTGGCAGCACTGGCGATGCTCCTATTGGCGCTTGCACCCCATCTTTCTGGGGTCAAAGCGTCGCGTACGATTACCAAGTATTCAATATCTAGACGCCCGTGTAAAATTTCATGGTCTGATGTTGTCTCCCGGATAGTGGATCCATCTTGTTACCCTCATCTCCGCGTTTAATGCTCTTCATGAATCTCCTGGTTCATAGGGAATTTCGGGTCCTGTTATTGTTTATTCTTCTTTAATGTCCAGATTGATTGTTTTGCATTTGCTTTACATGTCATACTTTGTAGCCTACTCCGTGTTCTCTCCGCTAAATGCCACTGTAGCCCAAATTACTTTCTTCTCTAAATACACCAATCGCGTTGTCCTCTGTATGAGGAAATATGAATAAAGTGTGTTGGAACTGACTGACTGCGAGTAGATGGTATACGTGAGGGTATGTTCTTAAAGTTTAGGTATATGAGCTTCGACCGGGCATTGAGTGAACAAGTCGAAGTTGCGTTCCAAATTCATCTGAGAGAATGGCTATACGAGCAATTAGACCAACACTAGCCCATCAAAATACAAGGAATATGATGCCGTACCGCGCCTTTCCGCTTCACCACCATGCGGTGATGGCGGCCCTTTGGACCACCTCTCAATTCATCGCCCTCGTATACGAATGCTTCATCTACTCCGTCGTTAACACGGAACGACTTTGGATTGATCACCATTCGCCCGAATGCAGCCCTGGACAACATGAGAACTGCATTTCTCTGGCTCTCGGTACTGGTCGATCCACTAAGGATTGGGCGAAGCGTTTCCAGTATATAGTACTGCGGTGGGAAAAGGCTAATTTTCCCAGTTCTAAACTCATCTAGAGCCGACTCTGGCCGCAAAAATCGCGTTCGGATGACTTCTTGTCCCCCATCAGGAGTCGGAAGGTGTTCTTCTCTGCCGGAAGACAATCCATCCGATGTAGAATCCTTGAGGAACGCGACAAAAAACTCCGTGCGGAATCGTCTGCTCGGGCGTCAGGTAAAATTAATGGACCAGGGACCAGGAAGCTTGTTTACCTAGCTACCGTCGGTGGTGTCACCCATGTAGTGAACGGCAACAGAGCGTCTACGTCGGCTCTTAGGTTGTTGTTTGTGAGAAATGTCGAAAATGACGTTTGTCCTCCATGAACAGCTTCTCTAGCCTGAGTAAAGTCGACATCGAGTAATGTGCTCGGAGTATCCGACAAAGCTAGCAGCAATCCCGCTTCTTCAAAGGTTTCTCTGATAGCAGTCAATCCTAGGGACGTATCCTGCTTGGCATCAAAATTTCCGCCAGGAAAAACCTCCAATGCCAGATGCCTTTGAACAGAGACTGCAAAAGAGTGGTTCTACTCACGTGTAAGCCAGCGAATGACGTTGCCTGTGGGTTGCGCTGGACAAGTAGTATTTCGTTGCGGCTGTTGACCAGAACGAGACTTGCTGAAAGACGAGGTTCTGCAGGCTTTGGACTTTCAGTATCTGTCATCTTGATTGACTCGGAGGAGAGAGCTGAGAAATTTCTCAGCGAGAGCGATATGTGACTGTGTGTTCTGATTCTGAATCACATGTCCATAATCAATGTGAACCACATCAAACCGCAGGGATGAGCTCACAGCAGCTGATGACTAGGCGGTCTATGCTTGAACAGAAGTAGGGTGCAAGTCCTTAACATGGTTTCGTGGAATATCTGATCACCGTGACATTGATGATAGTTCTAATTTGGCTCCGGTAGGTACCCGGTGCAGTGCACTGGATCCGGTTTTGAAGTGGCGGCCATTGACTATGAAAACTTGAAGTTCTTCATAGTATTCTTAGACTTCACCTCAACCCACCATACCTCATCCTTGAGCTGGCCTACTACCCGAGAGTACGCGCTTCCGCAGGCCACGCGATATTTAACACAAAATCGCGTTTATATCAACTTAGGCAGTGCAAGTATGGCCACTGTACTAGAGGTACGCTTGACCTCAGCCAATGTCGTTAATTGTATTGACTCGAATGCACAAGGATGAAATGATTCCTGAAACGAAGATTCCGCTCACCTTCAAATGGTCAGGACGCGAGTACAAGGTAGATCTCCTTGGATCGGATAGGTAAACTGCGGAACCGAATAGCTGCCAACCAGGGATGGTATCCATAGTACTGACTCCGGTTTTCCAGAGTATACGACCTCAAGACTTCGCTGATGAGTTTGACAAAGGTTCCACCGGAGAGGCAGAAAATCCTTGGTCTCGTGAAAGGAAAGCTACCCCCAGATCAAGAGAGAATGTCAGCGTTCGCGATGTCTTGCACAATATATTCTCTGAACCACATATTTCGCAGTGCAGATCTACGAATCGCGGGGAAATCATTCACACTTATAGGAACCCCTGAAGGTGACGAGATCAAGGACCCTTCAAGTGAGCCACTACTTTCTGCCTTCGGTACATGTGCTAACACACGGTCAGAGCTGGAGTTCCTTCCTGATGTTGTCAACGATCTTGATGTAGACTTCACTGACAACCCCGCTGCCGCTTCGGTTTATATAAATGACCAACGAAATATTCGCAAAGTCAGAGAAGCAACCGAGAAACTTCAAATTAATATCATTCATCCTCTGCGAGACGGAAAGCGTTTGCTCGTGCTGGACATCGATTACAGTAAGCCAATTTTGAGCCTTTTCACTTCCTGAGAATAAATTTTATGCAGCTATTTTGGACACCAAACCACTGACGTCTGGCTCATTGCCTCCTGCGGAATGTGCGAGACCTGGCCTCCATGAATTTCTAGAGACCATATACCCTTACTACGACATCTGCATTTGGTGAGATTCATTCGCCTCATGAGAGTGACTTCTCACAGCCAATCATCAGGTCTCAAACTAGCTGGATATGGCTTGAGGCGAAACTCGTAGAACTTGGCATGGTCGGATCCACCAGGAACTATCAGGTTTTATTTGTGCTTTCATGGTGACAAGTTACGGCTGACATCGACTCTAGATTTCATTTGGTACGACTATCCACTTTAACACTCGCGTAAATAATTGAAGATGCCTAGTCCTCGACAAAACTTGCATGTTCACTGTCTTTACAGAACGAAATGGTCAACCATATGCACATCATGTTAAGGCATTGCAAATCATTTGGAATCACTTTCCCCAGTTGTCAGTAAATTTTGGTTGGAAAATCGAGAATACTTTAACCTTCCTTTTTAGTTCAGCGAAGAACACCATTCACGTGGATGACCTGGTAAGAGGATGTATGACTCGTCTTTATTGTCTCTAATTCCATCATAGAGTCGGAATTTTGCCTTGAATCCGAACGAAGGACTGAAAATCCATGCATTCAAGAATGCTCATACAGAGCAGGCTCAAGCTGATCGGGAGCTTCCGAAAGTAGCCCGTTACATGGTGCATATTGCTGCTATAGAAGATTTCCGGACGTTGCGTCACAAGGCATGCGTCCCGTGTTTGTTGTTCTACTCAAAATTTGCTCACCAGTTTCAAAGGCCTGGAAGCATGAATTAAGGCGACTCCCGCAATCGTGACGAAGACGCGCTCGACCTTACAGTACGTGCTCGGATCAGGTTGTAAGATTCATACCAAGAGACATCGACACATGAGTAGGAACAAGTAACATTGTTGTACATGATTTTTGTAACATAACAATTTTGTGACAAAACCGTGCTGTATTTGTACAACTTTTCGTAGTATTATCGATATGTTGTTGCGTAATTAATTTCTTTACCAGCCCGTTCCTATTTCATTCAGTAAAGTTTAAACTACCCTTCTGCAGTCCAGGAAATCATTTGGTACCCAAGTGCGTTACGCCCATACTACGCGTGTCATGTCATTCATGTGCACTTTATCTTCGAAATTCTAGGCTCAGATTTACTCTCAGTTCATGCTTGGAGTTGACCTACGATGGGATCGACTTCGTTGGGCATACGAGTTCGACGTCGCGATGCGAACAAAGAGCGCGTCTACCTTGAACGGCCTCAGCCAAGCGGAAAAGAACAAGGCTCAGTGCTCCTTTGAACCAGGCGAGATCGCTCACGTCGATGGTGGCGGTGGAGTCACTACTGCTTTCTACGAATTCTTGGATCGTAGCAAGTTTCCACTGACGTCAATGGAACAGCGATACGTGCGCGTTCTTATCGACACCGCCCCCGATATTAGCAAATATTGCCTCGTCCTTCAACGTCTCAGTGCGGACACATTTATTGTGTGCTACATCGCGTCGTTCGGTGGTGTTATACACGGCACCGGCCTGTCTCCCATAACCCGGTTTTTTTCCATGGCTATGGGTGATACACCTCCGTGGCCTCCCAATTCAAGGCCTCTGCACGTGGTTCCAAGGTGGATTGGATCTGGCTTCGTATTTGGTGTTCCAGTGGTCAGGAAAAACCTGTCCAAGACCACTCATTCCCGTGCTTCTCTTGCCCACGGAGAACTGCAAAGAGTAAGATCATTTATTGCAAAACGGCTCAAGGCAAGTTCGGTCACCTGCTTAGTTTGGCAGTGTGGAATGAAATGTTTTTACAGCTCTTTCAGCAAGTCAACGAAGAATTGCGCGCAAAAGACCGCGAGTGGCATAAATTCCGCAAGAAAACTGGTATAAAAATCGACAGCCAGGTGGACTTCACCGTGATGCTGGATGAGGATCACCCAAGCAGGGTAGCCTGTGACCCTACGATACCCAGTGAAGTACCTGCCCCCGGCGACGTCGCGGAATGTTCAAACTTCAAAAGCATGCTTCGGATGAAGCGTGACATTAAAGGCAAGGCGAAATTAACCTCGGTAGGGATGAAGGATTGTAACACGAGTCTGTTCTTAGTACCTTCACTCCACAAGCATCGCTTTCTGGATGTTCCTCCAAGCAATCACTTAGCCTGGTTGCTACGATGGCACCGACAAGATATTATGACTTCACGACTCTACCTCAGGCATCTCACACCTCGATTCGACTCATCTTATCCTGTACTCCGACAACTCCCACTCCCATTTCGGTATGTGAGACCATAACCGATACAATTACTACGCACTGTAATCCGCAGACTTTGGGAGTCCACTCAGTCCAACTTAGTTCACAATGTCAAGGGTTCCTAATCCCGCATACTTGGTACATATTGAAGGAAGGACAGCGGTCCTAAGCCCCGAGGTTGTCAAGTTTTGCACGATTGTAATTCCATTGTGGATGTTGCAATAGAGACGTCTACTAGCATCAATATACTTCTGAGGTTGTAACACCGTTCACAACAAGATCGAAAGTCATCACTGAGGACGGCAGTACTAAAGACATCGCTAAGTATAAATCGGTGTATATAGTTTTGTCACATACCAGGTTTTGAAGCAATGAGAGCGGGCAGAGAAGCATTCGGAGGTCGCAATATACCACTGGCGCTGTCGAACTGCCAGTGGTTGTTGTTCGCGACTTCAAACAATGACGGCCGTTCAGCAAGAATAGTAAAGAGTGAGCCATCGAGCTTACTTGCAAGCACTTCCTTTCGTCCCAGCCCAAGTAATTTCTGGGCTTCCGTAACGTGGAGGCATGCAAACGCTCGCGAAACAAGCGTGAACGTGTTCTTGCGGAATGCATCTGACAACAAACTCGATAGGATGAAACTGTAATTACATCTATACATACCGAGGAAGTCGTTGACTAGCAGACCGACAGTTTTTCCCAGCCTTGGATCAGGGAAGTCGCTTTGCTGCGACATCTGGAAAAGCTCTTGGGCTCGCGAGTAAGTATTTTCATACTTTCGTTCCGAAGCGGATGCCAAGAGTGCCGCGAGTGCACGCGACAGTGGATGCAAAGACACATTTTCAGGTAAGCGTGCAAGGGCATGTTGAGCAGGTGTTCTGGAGCAAATGTTACAAAGGAGTACAATCAGGCGATGGGTCTCACAAGTCATCCAGCACCATATAAGCTAGGACCAAGGGGGCAATCAAAAGTAGTCTAGAGTAGCTTTTGTCGTTTGAACCCTGTTGCAGGACATTATCAAGATGCCGTCATGTTTATGAGGGGCATCTCAAGGAGCGCTCACGTTCAAGTCGTGAAGTTCAGCGATATTAGTAATGCCAATGAAGTTCCTTTGCTCGGCCAGATCAGATAGCTGGGGGAAAATTTGTTGGTATATATCTTGGGCAGCGGGGAGTTGTGGGGGGATTTCAGCCGCGCTGCCTGAACTGTTGGATGATACGGTGGGATCCGAGGATTCCGCCGAGGAAGCAATGATGGAATCTCGAGCTTCATCACGAAGTTCTGTTGCGCTCATGGGAGGAGGTGTGGGTGGTGCTTGAGCCATATACTTAAGAGATTGATGCTGATGCTGAATACCGTGACTTTGAATCGATGATGATCACATTCAGCTGCTGCTTACTAAGCAACGGTACTCTGTGAAACACATTCAAGCGCACTACAAAGTAGTACAAACCACCTAGTCTCCCGTAGGCAGTCCCAATAGAAGGAAGACAGTCGTTCCTTCTGTAGTACTACAAACATGGATGTGCTCGACGAAGAGGTCGAATCGATATTATATATTGGGAGAGAAGTCTCAGGTAGGTCCAAGCTGCGCGAACCTCACCAGCAAACGTTTCATCGGCACACGTAGTCTACAAGATCCCCCATCTGAAGGCCAACGAGGGACATCGTGCTAACGACTGGGGAGACCTTGCACAGCCTCTATGGAAAGGTAGGCTGCGCATTGTCGAGAAGTCGACTGGTGCAGCGCTGATGTTTGAAGATGCTCAGACGGGTAAGCACTGTTAGCTTGTCACCGCGTACTAGTGGATGATTGACGCGACTGCAGGCGAATGTGCGTTCCAACATCAGTAATCATTATAGCATCCTGATGGGGATTTAGTGTTCGCCCGCGCACCTTATGACGCTCTTAAGCCATGCGTGGAATCCGTCCTTGATTCATCCCGATATTTTGTAATCAGGGTAGAGGATACTGGCAAGAAGGCCTATATTGGGATGGGATTCGCTGAGCGAACAGATAGCTTTGATTTCAGTGAGTGCTCTCCTTTCATTTTGCTTGCTATATTGACAATTGCTCTCAGACGTTGCATTGCAAGATTACACCAAGTGCGTTTAGCGAACGGTAAAATTAAATTTCAATCACTCACCTACAGTACGCCCATGCCTAGGCGTTTGAAGGCTGCTTTGAGCCCTCCTAGCCCCTCTGAGGAAACCCCTTCTCCTCATATCCCGGTTGGTCCAAAGAAGGACTACTCTTTGAAAGACGGCCAGACGTTCTCTATATCCATTCCGGGAAAAGCTAGTAAATCATCAACACCTGGGACCAATTTGCTAGGTTCCTCCACCCAAAGCACTGGTACCTCGGGGGGAGCAGTACCGCTATTGCCGCCCCCGCCTTCATCAGGAAGGAAGAGATGATCTTGTACGACCCGAAGTATTTTGGTATTTATCGTACCTACTGTCTTCCATGAAGACCGAATTTGCACCAAAAATATACACATTCAAGACAAACGTTCAGATATTATCTCTCTTGGGCGGCAGCTCCTGGATTTTGTGAGCCCTGTGTTCTTCTGCGCCGTGCTTGCTTTTGAACGCCTGCAATGACATACTGTCACGGTGGGAGGTAGTTCGCTTGCGTCCTTTACTTACTTGCTACTTGCTTTCAAGTCGTCGTAAATGAACATGCCACTCTGTCAAGGGTTCTGGCTATGGACTCGAGAAATATCACTTCTACTGATTTAAAATACTCTCGGTAGGACATGAACCGGGACTACCATCTTGCAGGGTGCTAATTATGTAGTATCTCAGAGACAGTCTATTCAATCTAGTGTGTTGCCTCTGGTAGCCTTGGTGTCATCCCCATCCCATCAGGAGCATCGTGAATGTCACCGACAGGGTCAGGAGCAGTGGAGAAAATTCATGCCTGCCGGTTGATAGGCGATGCAATTGGTCAATGAGCGTGAAATGGCCATCTTCCGCGGAGGCACATCTCATAGATAAGAAATGAGCCATAAGATGGCCTTGCGAAGAGGTGGAGTCATGATATGAATCCAATCATGGAACTTGAAAGTGGATGATCAGTACACAGCCCTAATCTCCGGGAACCTAGTGGAGTGTGAGCGATGACTACGAAGCGAAAGAACAAGAGAGGATGAGAGGAATGCAGCCTCTGTCACGCATAGCATCCTAACAATACATCAAGGTAGTGAGATTGAGACTGATGCTACTGTGCAGTGGCCGATAAGTGTATGTGTGACTGTGTCACCACTGACCAGTAACCACAAATAATACCTCGTTAAGTTCCTTGTATTGCCACTCCACTGGCAGACGTCCAGTCGGTTCGCAAGTTGGTGGTTCTAGCGTCAACTTGAAAGTTTCGGATATGAGTGACTTGGCGTTAAAAACCTTAACTCCACACTCTGTATTATGTAACAGACGTTCACGTGACCCCCGTAAGACTTGCTGACAATTCAATTCGTCACCGTGGTACTCGCTCTTCGCTATTCACAACAGCGAGCTTAGCTTCTTGTTCTCCTTCATTCTCAGATTCTCCTATCTGATTAACGGGAAAAGTTTGCACTCAAGATGCTGTCCAGAGTCACCCCCAGTGTGATGGGAAAAGCCACTTTCAGAAGCTCCGTAGGACGGGCTGCTGCCTGCGCTCGCAGAGGCTTCGTGCAACCCTCTGGTGCAGACCGTGCACGCGTCGTCGAAGATATGCACTTCAAGCTGGAGGTTCCTAATCGTGAGAGCAGCGTGACACAAAAGACACGTCCCATATACCTCGATATGCAGGTATGACTATTTAATTAGATATTATTTGGTGTATTAACAAGGTCCAGGCTACCACTCCCGTAGACCCCCGTGTTCTCGATGCCATGCTGCCATTCCTAACAGATCAGTACGGTAATCCACATAGTCGAACCCATGCGTATGGATGGGAAGCAGAGCAGGCTATTGAGGTGGCACGCAAGGTAAGTCTGCCGGGTTTATCAGCATGAAAACGTCTCTTTGACATCTTCTAGCATGTAGCGGACCTTATTGGAGCTGAGACCAAGGACATCGTCTTCACTTCTGGTGCTACTGAGACAAATAACATGGCTATTAAGGGTGTCGCACGGTTCAATAAAGACAAGAAAAGACATGTTATAACGACGCAGACGGTAGGTTGAGCTGCTTAGTTTCATGACCAACGCTGATCGTCCCTGAAGGAGCACAAGTGCGTCTTAGACTCTTGCAGGAAACTCAGTGAAGAAGAATTTGAAATCACCTATCTTCCTGTCGAGTCTAATGGCATCGTCAATCTTGAGACTCTCGAGGCCGCCATCCGCCCTGACACCTCCCTCATTTCTATCATGACGGTAAACAATGAGACCGGTGTCATTCAACCAATGAAGGAAATTGGTGCTATTGTGCGGAAGCATCGTGGTGTATACCTTCACACCGACGCGGCGCAGGCTGTGGGAAAAATACCTATCGACGTTAATGAAGCCAACATCGACCTGATGAGCATTTCAGGGCATAAAATCTATGGACCAAAGGGAGTGGGTGCAGCTTATGTCCGCCGGAGACCGCGCGTGCGATTGGAACCGATTTTGAGTGGGGGAGGACAAGAGCGTGGGCTGCGCAGTGGTACCTTGCCCACGGCGCTGGCGGTTGGCATGGGTGAAGCAGCACGCATAGCCAAGCTAGAGATGGCGGTGAGCTCTTGTTCTTCGCACAACTTATGATGAAATCCGCACATGCGTTTGAAATGGCATTTGAATCAAGTGGCGTAATGCTCTAGGCTTACGGCCGTATGAGCCGCTAGCTTGGTAACGATTCCTGTGCAGGGGTACTGATCAAGTTCTTGTCTATCAATCCGCCTCCCGTTCTGAATCTGATACATATTCCAGAGGGATCACGCGCGGATCAAGCAGTTGTCGGATAGGTTAATCCAGGGCATCAATTCCCAAGTCGAGCATGTGGTTCGAAATGGAGATGTCAATGGATACCCGGGATGTGTAAACCTTTCGTTCTCATATGTTGAAGGCGAAAGCCTTCTCATGGCCTTGAAAGTAAGCATAGTGGCACCTCCGATGAGAGAAAATTTCATGGTTTTCGTTGCAGGATATCGCTTTGTCTTCTGGCAGTGCATGTACATCTGCGTCTCTGGAGCCTTCATACGTTCTTCGTGCTCTCGGTACGTTTTCTTCATGTGCGGACTTGTTCTGGTACCTGACAGTCATTTAGGAGCGGCGGAGGATATGGCACATTCGTCCTTGCGCTTTGGCATCGGTCGTTTCACCACAGAAGCGGAAATTGATTTCGTGGTGAATCACATCGTTCGCGTTGTTACCAGACTTCGTGATATGAGGTACGGTTTCACTTACATCTCAGTGCCTTCTGCTGTGCTCATCGCCTCCTTCAGCCCGTTGTGGGAGATGGTGCAGGAAGGCATTGACATCAACTCGATTAACTGGTCTCAACATTAATTATACTTCGCGCACGTTCTGCTTTGTCTGTCTTTTACATATTTGAGGATTGTTTTGCGTATAACTTTATGTATGACGATATAACTTGCAATGTAAAGAACTTTCTATGGATATTATCGGCGGTATCCGAGGTCTTGTCCGTGCACGATGACCAAATTCTTGGCACAACCGAATATAATGGCGAGTTGAATCTCCGCCATAACTACGCTCTTTCACTTTCAACCACCATGGCAAGACGCTTGTACCTTGGCAGTACGAAATTTTCTTCTTGTCACATTTTGGCATAAAACAATCCTCATCATTGTTTGTGTTGCACAGGACTTCCCCCAGATGCTCGTTCTGATGACGTGGCTAAGTTTTTCGATGGCTATGGCCGTATCATTGACTGTCGTGTCATGACCGGTTCGTCGGACAAGAGGCGCGCGCCAAATGCGGAACTCACTGGACCTCCATCAGGATTCGGTTTTGTCGAGTTTGAAAGCTCAAAGGTGGATCTAGCCACCATGTATCACGGTGATCAGTATGCCAAACTTTTATAGGATGCGGAGGACGCTGTGCATCATTTCAACGGCAAGCCATTTATGGGTGCCAAGTGCGTATCGTGGTCATCTGCAAATCTTTCACTGCCATGCTTAATTTTTTTTCGTTCCGTTTTTTTTCTTCAGCATCGTCGTTGAATTCGCCAAAGAAAGTCGCCCCCGTCGGGATGTCTATGAGAGTGACCGTGGATATGGGTATATTCCCCGACTCGCAAAGACGATATTATGCTTTCCCCTAACAAGTTGTATTTTTGTTTAGGGCTGCTCGCTCCCGCAGGCCTCCCGGTATTCGCCTGATCGTTTCTGGTATTTCTCGCGACACAAGCTGGCAGGTATGATCCTCTTTCGGTTTGCACCATTGGCAGTGTTCGTGGAGCATATGGCACTTCCATATTTCTGGAGATCGATCCGGCTGGTCATTTTGGAACTTGGATGGACCGCCAGTGTTTCGTTGATATTCACTTTCGCCGGCTTTGCCCGAACCCACCACCGAACCTAACCATACACTCCTCACTCAGGACTTAAAAGATTTCGGACGCGAGGCCGGTAGCGTGTCGTTTGCTGATATTGATCGCGACAACCCTGGCCAGGGGTATGTGACTCAAAGTTACGCGTTGTCTCTAGCTGACAGACAGTTACTCAGTATACTTGAATATCTATCGCGAGATGATGCAGACCGCGCCGTCAAGGATTTAGACGGTAAGGACCTGCGCGGTAGACCTGTCCGCGTTGCGTACGATGATGCCGTAAGTTCCAATTTGCAGTCACTTTGCGATGGTCCTTACCTGTTCTCTCAGCGCGGTGGACCTGATAACTACAGGCGGGAGGATCGTCGTGAGGAACGGCCTCGTGACGACCGATACAAAGAAGAACGCTACTACAGGGATGATCGTCCATCATATCGCCGCGAGCGATCCCGGTCACCTCCTCGTCGCAATGATTATGACGAACGTCGCCCCCGGTCTCCACCTCCGCCGCGGAGGGAACCTGATGAGAGAAAACCAGCAGGGTACGATGATTACCGACGGGGAGGTTATGATGATGACCGCAGAGCCCCTGATTATTATTATGACCGCCGCAGGGACGATGACCGGCGACGTGAAGACCGCGGTGGCAGACGCGACGAGAAAGACGACCGGTACGACGACAGGGCAATGAGGCACGCAAATGGCGATGGTGGATGGGCGCGTTAAAGGATATAGGCAGCCGCTGGATATTTTGCACTTGGCCGAGGGGCACCCCGTCCGTTATTGGTTTCCCCCTCTCTTATGATGGTCATGGTCTCCTCGAGCTTGGCGTTGGCGTATGTTGGGTCGAACCGAAGCACTGTTGTTTTGTCTTACAGAGGTCATTTTCCTCTTGGTCCGTATGTCGAACGATTAGGGTGAAGGCGTCCCGAATTTGGCGTGGAACCTGTACTTCCAAGCATCAACTGAAGGAGATCCAAGGCAGGGCGTGAGAATTGACGTGGGCATCATCTTCCATCGGTGGCGTGGAACCGCGGAAACTTGGCGGGAACGGTGACGGAATTAAAGAAGACTTCACGTGCCTACCTCGGTACCTGGGACCTTGAATGTGCCCACCAATGTGATCGTGTCCTTCGATTCGTCACACTTTAGTGCACGGTGGTTGACGTTTTGGGATATGGCAGATTATCTTCAGGTGTGTTGGTTTACTCACATCTATTGTTAGGGACATGTATTTGTAGGCATGTACAAACATAAGTGATGCAGGTTGTAATCAAGATTCAGTTTGCTGCGCTATGTATACAACAATCTGTGAATCATTCTCTATTCCCCACCATCCTAATTCTTGATCATCGTTTTGAAGAAGAGCTAGTGTATCGTCACCCATCCTCAACCATACGTACGTATTATCGCGGTTCCTTGGATTGTTGCCTACTCCCAAAGTTTTCATCAGTCTGAGGCGGAAAAGCCCCAATTTCATCGTAGACAGCACACGCAGCGAAGCTGGTGTGATGAGGCCCCCTTCCATTTCCGGGGTAAAGTGGCCTCCAGGAGGCTCAGAGCAGTGGTGAACTTTCACCTCTGTGGGTATAGTTAGAAAGGCGGTGACGAATTATCCTACAAGGACCTACCGATCAGATATCGACTTAGTCTGCCATCGCGACCAGCCGCTGACTCGGCGGGTCTACCGTGCTCTGTGGTACATAGCAAAATATTTGATGAATACGGAAAGTGACTCAAGTGGAGTCAAGACACTGACTCATGCACAGCATCTTCCATTGTGGATGTCCTTTCATTTTGTCTTCGTCCCGCCCAGGCACGGTCTTCGCAACGAAAGAAAGATAAAATAATTCACTGTCTGATCGTTCCTTTGCCGAGATCTTGATGACAAGGGAAATTAAACTCAAGGTACAGCAGCTTCGGTCCTGTGCTTACCACGGTTGCGTCAAGGACCCGTAAGGACGGAATCTTTGCTATGACTTGCTGCCTGGCAGAACGAGACGTGTCATTTGCTGTGAGCAGTAAGTACGTGTTTCTTCAGATAAGACGAAAATCTTGCGCTGACCCTCAGTCAGTGGATTTTTGGCGAGGCTCAACGTTTCGAGATTAGGGCACCACTCATATAATTGGTCAATATCGCGCGAATTATGAAGTTTGTTACTGGAAAGAGAGAGGACTGTAAGGCCGTGCAAAGGCGAAGGACAGGATTCCCGAGGAGGAATCCTTTCAATGCCGTTAGATGAAAGTACGAGTCGTTGTAATCTACGGTACCGGATTAGTTTATTGAAAAACCCCGCAAACACTGCACATACGAGGTACACGGCTTCAATGCCTCGCTTATATGTTGCCAATCTTCTAGTTTGTTGCTATCGAAATTGAGGATCTCGATACGGGCCAACGTTGTAGAGATCTTCGCACGTGATAGGAAATTTAGCCCATTGTATCCGAGTTCTGCTATGCGAAGTTGAGGCATGAGTATCGCTATGCATGTAAATTCTTCCCATGAAGTCGAGGTGCCGTTCAGCTGGAGCTCTGAGAGTCGCAGCCAAGCTGATGCGGGCAAGTGAGATGGAGGCGGCGTCAGCCGGTTGCGACTATTTATAGCGTCAGTATAATCAAAAGAGGAAAACACAAGGCTAACTTGAGCGCTAGCCGCTCGAGCTGATGCAGCTCAGCAGTTATCATCGCCACAGCGTCCCATTCAGACAAAAGTGTCGCAGATAGATCCAGGCCGCGGATGTCTTGATCATATTAATTCCATGATATTTGCGGGAAAATGCACTGGCTCACTAGGACATGTTGACAGGATTTCCCCTGGGTTATTCCCAGTAGAAACCATCTCGCCATCGAGGCTCACTTCGCGTAGTCGCTCCAGATTTGCAAATTTGCCTCGTATCTTGTCCAAGTCTACAGCTTCAACCTCTATGGCACCGTTTGAAGAGCCCAAAACGATCTTCTCCCGCGATGCAGTCCCATGCACAACTTCGACATACTTATTTTTCAATGCTTGCAAAAATGAATACCCGTAGCAAATGGAGGAAGATGGGCGAATGAATGATCCGCTGTTAGGTATTCTTGTGGTCGCTGAGCTGAGTATCAATGGGAGACGATATGCCCTTGATCTTACCGACAGTCAAAGTATCGTTTCCCATCCTTTATGCCATCATGTTTGCCGCGATTTGAGTCGTCCCATTCGATGCCGAGCCAAAGACCGGTGGTGCCGTCGACTGGTCCAACATACTTGACAGTTCCATAATGACCTGATGGAAGGTATATTCTTGACCTCGTCGCAGGAAACTCATGGTTCATCGGTCGAAGTGGTCCGGTGTGGTGAATCCTGAAATATGTGTTCCATACTACAGCTATACAGTTGAACGTGTCAATATCATGTAAGCATCGCCATAAGAGTCTCGGATACACGGTACTCCGAAAATCCCACTGCCAGCATTGAAGTTGCGAGTCTTCTTCTCAGGGTTTTAAGGCTGTCCTCTTGTTCTTAGTATGCTGGCTACTGCTCTTGCGAGAATGTCGCGTAATGGTGTTTCAGCAGCTTTTGCCAGGACAAGTGCAGTTGCCGCTCACATGTCCACCAGCACTCAGGCAGTGCCATTAGAACAAGTAAGTTCTTTGCATGTACCATTCTCATCAGTCTCTTGAGAATCGCTCTTGCATACAGCTGGTGCTATATGAGTCGAACGGCGCGACGCGCACTTATGTCTTGAACCGAGCAAGCAAACTGAACGCTCTCAATAGTGACATGTTCAAGTCACTGAGACCTCAACTGGAGGTGAGAGTGCCAGACCTTTCAAATATGCATGTGAAAGTGCAGGCTCTTACAAAAAAAATATTGGTAATCTAGCAATGGTCAAAGTCCGACCTATGCAAGATTGTTGTCGGGACAGGTATTGGCCGTGCATTTTGTGCAGGAGGTGATATTGCAAGTGCGTTTCAGCGCTCAAATCCACATGGACACTTGCTGACAATTTCGCACAGCTGTACTACAGCATTCACTGGAAGATGATACTCGTTCAAAGGCTATAGAATTCTTCAAAGACGAGTGAGTCATTGAATCATGTTCCGTACCGCTTGAATAACATATCCTACAGATTTGAAATGAACTATATCTTGTCTGCGTTGCCGAAGCCATACGTAACCATCTTGGATGGTATCACAAGTTGGTGTTTTCGTTCCGCACAGCATGCATAGCACTGACATCTCCAGTGGGCGGAGGAGTCGGACTTGCTATTAGTGCTCCTTTTCGTGTTGCAACGGAGAAGTCGCTATTTGCTATGCCAGAAACCAAGATCGGTTACTGCCCCGATGTCGGAGCAAGCTTCTTCTTGTCCAGGATCGACGGCGAAATTGGCACATATCTTGCCCTGACCTCAGAAACTCTTGCCGGCAGGGAAGTCTTGTGAGTAGGAACAAATCTTTTGCCGATAGGGCCGCGGGCTCATGAATATCGGTAGTGAACTAGGATTTGCTACCCACTTCGTATCATCAAGAACGGTGCCCAATCTGTTGAATCGTTTATCTGATTTGGAGGACCCCTCGTCTGCCGTAATTGATCGGACCATCGAGGACCATCACGCAAAACGTCTTCCAGACGAACCGGTTGGCAAACTGACGGGCCGTACGCGCCAAGCCCTTGACTTTGCATTCCGGCATGATACAGTTGAGGAGATCGTGGAAGATCTCACTAAGTTGACCTCAACCTCGGATGACACGGTTGCTAAATGGGCATCGGACACACTAAAGACCTTGTATATGCGGAGTCCGACTAGCCTCAAAGTAGCGTTGGAAGCGGTCCGACGAGGAAAGACGATGACACTGCTCGAGGCTCTTCAAATGGAGATGGGTATTGCCACAGCTTACTGTGTAAGTTTTTGGAATTGGTGATTACGTTATGTGACTTGTTTGACTTGGAAAATGCAGAGCGGAGCAAGTTCCGATTTCAAAGCAGGAATAACCGCGGTCCTAGTTGACAAAACAAAGGGCCGCCCTGCCTGGTCTCCTTATCAGATCAATGATGTCACAGATGAGATACTGAGACGATTCTTTGCGAGCAGCTCCAGCTACCTTAGCGCCGCGCCTACCTTGACACCACCAGACTTCCTTTCGAATGTCAAACAAAACCCGATGAAGTTCGCTCTGCCAACTGAAGACGCCATCTTACAGTTTGTCAAAGCCAGGAAAGATCTCCCCCTTTCTGATCTACTGACACATTTTGATAATCTTCACTCGGGCAAGCAAGGTGTCGCAGAGAAAGTGGTAGAGGTAGTGAAGCGCCGTTGTGATGTCATTGGTAATCAGGGCTTTGAGGTAATTACAAAGAGCAATAGCAATAGTCATAGTCTACTCCCGTAGTTGCGGCACAGTATACCGTCCTCGATAATCATTGCTGTATATGTTTCGCACGCATGCAATTGTCACCATGTCGTCCGCAACGCGGCGGACCGGAACCGTAGTCTAATTCTTGGCGATGACTGTTTGAACCTTGCCCTTCTTCCCTAAGGAGAAAAGTGTGCGGTCAACATTGATGTTTGACGTTGCGCAACGCGCAGCTTTTCATTATACGGCACGGCCACTACACTAACTTGAAGCCAAGTTGCCAAAGACTTGTGATGAAACAATACGACCGATATTAGATAAGATTAGCTTACTTAATTATATGGGAGAAACTCCACAGGATAGCTAAGTCGAGATTACTTATTTTTGATGTTTCTTGCTGTGTGATGGTGATACCGTGATGTGACTCGAAATGCGCCTCCGAGGATTGCTGCGACGTCCAACAACGAACAACTTTTCAGTAATAATTGCCAGCGTTCACACAGCAAGTCACCTCAATTAATCTCTCCCATACGAGCTGCAGAATGAAGGGCGAGTTTTGCCGCCGGGAACCCCGTTTCTCACTCTCCACAGCAACAAAGTGTAATGCGGAGGATACATGTACTTTGGAAGTCGTTAATCCGTAAGTTTGGACACTGAGAGTTGTTCTTACAGTGGAAGCAATACATGGTTACTGCGTCGTCGCTGGGTGACTCAAGTTGCAAACGAACTTTGCTAGATCTCCCCATCACAGTGCCTTGGAAGCGCCTTGGAAGCTGGTTGAATCTTAGATCCAGGCTGTGAAGATCAGCATTGGAAACGAAACATCTCACCAGCGCTCCATGCGTACCAACAGGTAATAGCCTTACGTGTAATGCATGTGTTCCTTCAGGAGCTATGCACCCAAAGGGGAAACGTATAGGATCGTAGCAAGATGGTGACACTCATGGGATCAATGTCAAAGGTTCCTGAGTAAGATCCCTACCAATTGGCCAGACTCGACAACGAATTACAAGGAGTTCACAGGACTGATAGTAGCACCGATAATGATCGGGGTTTCGTGCCAACACCCCGCAAGTTTCGGTCAACTCCTGCCTTGCACGAAGCTCCGTTAGTTCTCACAGAGGCGTACGCGCCCAGTGATGCCGTTTGGGCAATATCGGCGCTGCCGATGCACACATCAGTGCAAGCACTGTGACTAGGTAACCTTGAATCTCGATGATGTGATCTAATCGAGGACACGCATTGGTAGTTCATGTATAAAAGGTCTCCGCGTCCTCTGTCTTTCGAAACACAATAAATTACAAGCCTGCGACTCCATCTTCGTTCATTCTTTCGCAATGTATCCAATCGACCTCCTATCCCCTTCTCATCTTTTTAACAATGTCGTCTCGGTGTTTAACTCTGTCCAGCTGCTAAGCAGGAAAGAGGCACCGGGTGCACAACCAACTCTTGCCGATTTTGACGTCAATATCCAGACGAACACAGGCTTTCTCCCAGATAAACCCATCCCCCGACTCCCAGAAGCTTACAGCGCATGGGAGAATGCGCTGAGTCGCGCTCAGGAAGTGCTGATACTCGGGGAAAACATAACGGAGGAAGATGCTCAGAGACGAGCTGACGGTGAACTTTGGAGATCACAAATACGAGAGGTCAGTAATATTGAAGTAGAAGGTTCAAACAAATACTCACATTCTACACAGCTCCCCGTGATCAGCATCAATGATCTTAAAGCAGACAAGCAATTGTTGCGTCGCGCACACAAAGTTCTTGCCTTCCTTGTTCATTTCTTTGTCCATTCGATACCGTCGGACCAGACGGCCGGTTCGGTACTTATTCCCCGATCCTTGGCGACTCCTTTGCTTGCAGTATCGGAAATTTTGCGCATGGCACCGGTGCTTACATTCGCCGATACTGTCCTCTGGAACTGGGATCTCATAAACCCAGAACTTCCTGTGACCATCGAAAACATGCATTTCGGTGTTGAGCTCTTCTCTGGAACGGAGGACGAGCGTAATTTCTGGTTTGGTAACGCAAAAGTGGAGGTGCTCGGTGTAGAGATGCTCCAACTTTTCAACGAATACCACAGTCTCCCCAATGTTTCCGATTTCGCATCCGTCTGCAAAATCAACCGGCTCTTGACCCGCCTCGTAGCAATTCTCGACCGGGTTGAAGAAACCTTGACGTCCATGCGAGATCTTGTAGACCCATCTGTGTTTTACTGGCAGGTGCGGCCTTGGTTCAACGGAAGTGCCAGCGGGCCCTCCTGTCCAACATGGATTTTTGAAGACGGTCCTGACGCTTCCACACTTGACCTTAGCGGACCATCGGCTGGTCAAAGTAGCGTCATGCATGCGCTCGACATTTTCCTAGATGTCGACTTCAAATTGCAGCAGCGTCGGTACCCAGCTCCATCAGAGTCAAATAAACGGGCGGATGTTGGATTCATGGAGAGGATGAGAAGATACATGCCGGGTGCACACAGAGATTATCTTTCCCATCTTGCGAACACCACTCGTCCCCTTCGAGAACTCGCAAAAAGCACACCTGCTGTGAAGGAGTCATATAACGCAGCTGTGTCGGCAGTCAGGAAGTTCCGGGACTCCCATATACGAATCGCATGCTTATATGTGGTCTCCATGGCACGATCAACGGCGATACCGGTCGGATGCCCCGTATTTGCGATGTTGCAGAGGATGGAGCGACAGAAGAATCAAACTGGACGCTCGACTGGGACAGGTGGTAACGAATTGTCATTGCTGCTGAAGTCTAACCGTGATGCTACTGCACGGGCAGCTATAAAGAGCTGAAGGAGGAATTGGACAGACATGGGACAACAACAGAACTTACCTTATAATCATAAACACCACTATTCTTCAGCCGCAACCACCATTCTATTATCCGCATTGGACAGCGGGCAGGTATTTATTCGCCGAGATATTGATACCGTTATTTTGTGTAGCCCTAGACGCGCTTTGAGCATGATACACTCACATTGTAATACTTTACCATATTTATTATCGATACAATAGCAGAAAAGTAGTCACGGCGTCAGGCCAATGATTTGCTGTAGTAGTTTTTCTTGACAAACCAAATTTTTTCGACAAAGAGATAGCAGGGTTCGCCAAGACCATTCGATTGGAAAGCTTATACTTGGAAAGCCGGACACCCGTGCGGGGCGCACCTGAAATAGGCCAGAGTTCATTTATCGGTTTGTAACAGGGCCGTCATACGGTCTGATTCGCATCTCCACCATTACGATTATGATGATAATTCATATCAGTCTGAGCCTTGAGTGTGACCTGAGGGGGCCTGACGGTGGAAGGGTGGAGCGGAAAAATGACAGAACCGCTGAAACGATACGCTGTGCGCGGAAGGTACAGATATTGAGCGATTCTCGAACCCGGAAGGGAGGTTTGAGTGACCGGGGGGGTGAGTATGATGATAGCCAGCTAGCATGAGGAGTCACCATGACATGCCGGTGACTCATAAAAGTCGTCACGTGACATGATCGCAAGCAGGCAAGGGCCGTAGTACGCGAGACTAAGTACTTGGTACTGATTCTATGCTATGCTAGACACTTCCACCCAACTCAATACTATTATCTGGGTGGTCGACTAATGCTTAATCTTAATGATTGAATGAACCGACCACGGCAGCAAGCTTGAACTTTGAATATTAGGTAATGAACGCGTTGGCAAACTGGTGTCAACAAACGCTTTGAGGGGCGCGTTACTTTCATCGCGTTTCCTTTCACATTCTTTAAACTCTGTTGCCATGTCTCAACTTTCATCAGGAATCTGTCGTCGGCTCAATGAGGCTCCTCAGGACGAGATAGACCAGCTTGCTTCTGGCCATACCGTGCAACTGCTTTCTATTAAGAAAGTGGCCCCCACACCAAGCTCAACAACCGCAACCGACAGGTATCGCATTATCATTTCCGATGGCGTCCACTTTGTCCAAGCGATGTTAGCTACTCAGCTGAATGATCTCGTAACGACGGGAGACATAAACAAAAACACTGTCGTCATCATTGACAAGCTGGCCTGTAATTTCGTGCAGGACAAAAGGTGAACAGCTACTGATGTCATTTATACACCTCCTTTAACAATTCATCTAGATTGATCATTATTCTTGACCTCCACGTTGTATCACGGAATGAAGAGAAAATCGGGGCTCCTACTGCCCCTCCTTCCACCTCCGACGCCCCTGCCCCAGCTGTCGCACAGGCTGCATCCTCATCCGTTGCTTCACCGATAACTTCTTCCTCTACTGCTCAGGCGAAGCAGCCCCAGCCCCGCACCGGCCCATCCGGCAGAGGGGGCAGGTCAGTGTACCCCATTGAAGGCCTTAGTCCTTACCAGAACAATTGGACCATCAAAGCTCGAGTCACCCAAAAATCTGATATCAGGACTTGGTCAAATCAACGTGGAGAGGGGAAACTTTTCAATGTCACACTAATGGACGAATCCGGCGAGATTCGTGGTACCGGTTTTAATACAGTTGTCGACGAACTATACGAAAAGTTCGAGGAAGGCAAAGTCTATTACATTTCCAAAGCTCGAGTGAATCTCGCAAAGAAGAAATTCTCGAATCTTCAGAATGATTACGAGTTGAGCCTTGAGAAGAACACCGAAGTTGAAGAGGTGCGTACCACTACATCACCTCCGAAAAACTAGACTTATGTTTTTATTAGTGCCTGGAGGCCGCTAGTGTGCCTATGATGAAGTATAACTTCGTGTCATTGTCTTCCTTGGAAGAATTACAGAAGGACCATACTTGCGGTACGTGCTTCGCAATTTATGCCATGCTTTCTCACGTATAGTCTATCACTACCAGATGTTATTGGAGTTGTCAAAGAAGTTGGCCCCCTCAGCGAAATCACATCGAAAGCGACGAACAGGACAGTAAGTTATTTCATGATTCACCCGTCAGTTATCTGGGGATTTAAATTCGGTTGAAGATTCCGAAACGTGATTTGACCATTGTCGACACATCGCAATTCTCTGTTCGCTTGACATTGTGGGGAAAACAAGCAGAACAGTTCGCGGCCGACGATCTTCCTGTCGTTGCGTTCAAAGGCGTTAAAGTTGGTGACTTTGGAGGTATGAACTTTTTACGTTCATTTTAATTGGAACTCATTCCATCAAAGGTCGCACTCTCTCCATGGTCAGCTCAAGCATCATGTCAATATCGCCTGATATCGAAGAAGCACATTTGCTACGGGGATGGTACGATGGTATCGGTACTGAAAAAACATTCCAGTCGCATACGAGTGCTTCATCCGGTGCCTCCTTTGGTGGTTTCAATCGCAATGAGATGCGCCATCTTAGCGACGTTAAAGAGTCGCAACTCGGCATGTCCGACAAGGCAGAGTTCTTTTCCACTCGCGCCACCATTATGCACATCAAGAGCGAAAGCATATCTTATCCTGCCTGTCCCACTCAAGGTTGCAGCAAAAAGGTCGTTGAGGTAGGCGACGGATGGAGGTGCGAAAAATGCGACAAATCTTTCGAACGACCGGAACATCGGTATGCTCATTTGTCTTTCTGTGTATCAAATCCTAATTTGATTATCAGATATATCATGTCGATGGCAGTGGCCGATTGGTCGGGTCAGGCGTGGTTGCAGGGCTTCAACGACGCTGGTCTAGTCGTTTTCGGGAAGACCGCAGATGAAGTTCTTGAAGCCAAGGTCAACATAAATCTCATGAATGTTTTCTTGATGTTTACGATCACATCTAGGAACGTAACGAAGCAGAGTACAACGCTATCATGGCACAGGCCAGTGGCGTCACATTCAATTTCAGTTGCCGTGCAAAGCAGGACACATACAACGTGGGTCTTTCTCATCCGTTACTCCGTTACACGTTTGAGATAATGAATGTATTTCATAGGACACAACTCGTGTCCGCTACGGGATATCGAGAATCACTGCTCTCGATTATCGTGAGGAAGCCAAGCATCTCGTTGACCTTCTCAAATCTTCATGGGCTCAATGATTCTTTCGTCAATATGTCTATTTCGTGTACATTAAGCACTGTCTACTTTTGCTTCCCGTTAGTGATAAAAATACAGTAACATTTGCCAAGTAGCTGAAATGAAACCGATCCTATTATCTGATACGGAGCGCGAGTAAATCGTCAAGGGGGATCTAAAGGATAATGATAAACCCTCCGGAAGACCTGCCAAACAACACCAAGCCCTTCGAGAACTGTGTCTACCGTCTGTTGTGCGACCGGGGGAAGATCCATTTTCAAGGGCCAAGTAAAGGGTAGGACGTCGATGAGAGAAAGCGAGTTCTCATCTGAAGTTGAGGTTGGCGTGGGTGTGGGTGTGAGTGAGGGTGACATTTTTTCCGTAGCTGTTCCCGATGAAAGGGGCGATGGAGGCGGGGAAACCAAGGAGCTTAGGGCGGTATGCGCTCTAGAACCCTCCATCACTGCCGGCGGTATTGAGTATGATGTTGATGGTGTGGTCGAGGCTGTTGTGTAGCCAACCGAAGGCTTAGCGTGCGGAGGCGCGTAGATAGTCGTGGCAATGAACACCGTCTCGATCGACACCGGAGGATGATTGTGCCGATCTGGATCACCAAGTGGCGTACGTCGATCGAGGGAGTGCCTCATATGCCTGAATTCTGCTCCGAGATTGAGTAGCACCATGAGAACAAGAAGGGCGGGCGCTGTCCATATCAAAAATTGAAGCAGTCTCCCCAGAAACCGGCCGCTGATGTGAAAGCGGTGAACATGCGGCTGGGCCTTCAAGGATAGTGTGGGGGTGAACATTTCTTCCAATATGTAATGGACCAATCTGCTGCCCTGTTTAGATGCGTGTTGGTGAGCGAGGTTTGAGCGTATAGAATGTGCGTCTAGGCCTGTAATGCTGTAATGAGTAAACATCCAGATATGCATATTCACTACAATTACCTGTTGAGGATTCCACGGTAACTTCAAGTTTGCCAACAGGGATCGTGAACGTGGGCAGCAGTATGCCCACGTATCCGTCACCCTTGGTTTTGTCTTTGCCTCGGCGGAGACCGTCATTGGAGGTCTTGACAAGATAGTCGATCTGAACGTCCCCGATGAGATCGCCCACGTGAACCCTGACCCAGGCGACCCAACTCTTGCTCCCTAACTTATCAAGAGAGGATGACAAGTCGATATTTGACCCCTCCTCGTGCTTGGTAGATGCGCTTATTTCGAACCGGACAGGCATGCCGTCGATACTCACGCTCGCGATCTCCACAGATGGCAGCCCGCAATCCTTGGATGACGCGTTGTCTGCATATGCGAGTCCAAATTCCATCCAATCTGTGTCCATTTCACATGGAGCTGGATGAGATACCCGAACAGCATACGAGTCGGTAGGTGTTGCGTACTCGAAGAGCAAGGGCGTCACAACGACCGTGACGGAAGGGATCATGAGGGGACCATCTCTTTTTCGTCTAGAGAGGGCGCCAAACATTGGAGGGAGAGATACTCCAGTTGCTACACGGTTCATCCCCGTCGGCGTGCGTGGTCGACTTGGAGAGCGCCTTATATTTTCAAGGGTATCATCTGCTGTGGAACTGTGTCTTGTTGGAATGAGCGATCTTGAAATGGAGCGTAGAGCAATACGCCCTCCGTCAGATCCACAACGCGTTAATCCTCCACGCTGCAGGACAGTCCTGCGCGTCTGCGCATCGCGGAGGTTGCCTGATATGTTGTAAACCTCCACCGTTGCAGCTTCGCACTCATTGCGGATGATCGTCGCAATTGTTTCTGCATCTGCAGCGAGCACGGAGAATCGGGGCAAGACGATAGGGATGGGATCAGCTTCTCCATCTGGGCTCGCGTTTGAACCCGAGGGGTGACCGTTGAAAGCACGCGGACGGGATATGATGAGGATTGTGCCAGTGATGTTGAATGTGAAGACATTTTTTGATGGAGGGAGTATATCGTTCATGTTGACGTGAATGGTCAACGACGTTGGGGGATGAGGATTGCTCTGTACATCCGAGTTCGCACGGCTGCGTCCTTCCGACGTCAGAGGCATCGAACTGATAGATGACAGAGTCCCCGAGGGTGTCAGAGAAGTCGGGGAACTCTCGAAAGAGTAGTCTGGCAGCGAGTCTCCTGGCAGAGGCGCACGCAATAAGGATGAAGTCGAGCCGGCCGAAGAACTCGAGTCATGTCGTGTTGCAGGCGCAGGCGCTTGAAGGCGCGAATTTGACGCAAATTCCAATGGCGACGTCTGAGGGAATTCCAACGAAGCTTGTCTCGAGACCGGTGTCGACGGGGGATTGATGTCGAAGCCCGTATAACCGGTACCTCCCGCGACAGTCCATGTCGGCTCTTCTGCAGGAGCCCAAATGACGTCGGATCCTCGCGCCTCCAGCCCCACATCCATACCCAGCATCGTTGCCACACCAGGAAACCAAACACCTTTTGCCGTTCCCTTGTACTCCAGTCTCATCAAGATCCCTTCCCTTCCACTCTTGGGGTCTGTGTCTTTTCCAAGAACATGACACGTCATTTCACCCTTCACCTCCTTTACTCCTACGCGCCGCCGGCCATCTTTGCTGTCTATGGTCTTCATGGGTGCTGCCCAACGAACACGAAGACGATCGGCGGAGGGGAATGTGCCCAGGATAGCAATACCGCCAGAGCCTCGGTCTGTATAAGCGGAAGAGTCAGACGATTCATCATCTGCCATGTCTGCGTAGGACCCTGATCGCGAAGGGCGACTTGTCGTTCGTGTGACGTGAGGCTCAGACGTGAGCTCCCATGCGCCGGGATCCTCTTCTGCAGAAGAAAGAGAGGCAAAGGAGGCGGACGTTGTTGTAGAGCTCGGAGGGAAAATGCGAAGCCTAACATTGTTGGACAAACAACGCGGAATGGGGATAGATATCTGTATTTACGAAGTACTGATAAGATGAAAATACACTCCATGAAATAAAACGACATACGAGGAAAGGGGCCTTCGGGGGACGACAAATATAAGGAACCCAGAGATCTAGACCAGCCATGAAATGCATGTTATTACGCTCTCCTACGGAGCCTCGACGCATCTTTGCGGCAGAGAATGTCGAAACCCTGATTGCGCTGTCTTCACCAAACCGTGGTGGGAATTCCTTGGGCAGGACGTAGGAGATGTTGTACCCGCTGACAAGGATGTGACCAGTGTACTTGTCGTCCAGAGGCGGGATTGCAGTGACGTGAGATGTCGATGTAGAAGATGATGCACGGGAAGCAGGACTCATGACAGAAGCACTGGACGTTGGCAGACCAAAAACCGAGAGATAAGACTTTTGAGAGCGTGCCGGTAGATTGAGAGCGCGTGCAGTGTTGTTCAGTAACGGAGAGGTCGTAGAGGAAAAATTATAAGGAGCAGAGTTAGTGTCGGTTGGGTGGACTTCCGAGCCCAACATCTTCAGGTTTCCCTCTTAGATAGTGAGGTGAATAGGATGAACAGAAAACCGACGATGAACGCTTACCGGGAAATAATGGTAATGTGGAACCAGGAGAAACAGCGTCCATAGGTATTGAAAGCTATTGATCGTCTTCAGCCCACTCGTTTTAATTGACTGCGATGAACATACCTTGAGATACATCTTGATTGCAATGCCATCTTGACCCTGCTTCGCTTTGCCTTCGATAGCAAGACGTGTCACGACGTTCAACTTTGATTGTTGGGCAGTCGCCGTGAATGTATGAGACGATGTATTCGCGGAGAGCGGTGGACTGATTGCACGCGCATGTCGCGATTGCGCGGACGTATACATGGTATTCGCGTGTCTTTCTGGCAATGTAGCGCGATATGATGGTTGATGAGCGTGTTTTGATGTCAATAGCGCCTGGTGAAGCCTAAGAAGCGGAAAAGTGAACCAAAGACAGGATCTGCTGTCTTATATAGCGCGCAAAGAGGCCTGAACAGGTAGCCTAGAGGCCTGCAAGCCGGTTTTGTTGCTGTGCAAGAAATGGAGAACAAAAAACGGATCAGTCAGCGGGAAAGGCGCGTTCAGTTGCCACAGACGCGTTGCCGGTTATACACAAAAAGGGCAAAAATCTCAATTTGATTCCAAGTCATACACAACAATCACCTACAATCACTTTTATGGACGACACTCACGGAAGCCTCTAGGCAAGCTCGGCCTCGGAGCAGACACAGTTCAAGGTTCCGTCTTTTATGCCGATGTGACGTGTAGACTACCTCGATTCGTGACTCTCCCCTCTGCAGCTGGCGCCGACGCGGAACGCGGGCCGTTTGTTTGACACACGCGAGCTCATCAGCCTCATTCTAGCAAGGAACCGGGTCGAACTTGAAGTCACCAAGTACTATCAACGCTACTTGAAGCTTGAAGGCAAGTTGAGTTCCTTCCTCCCAAGTGTAGCTCGGGCGAGCAGCCTTTTATCAGTTTCATTATCAATGTATAATTTGTGTATCAAAGACGAGTGAAACGAGTTCAACAGGCAATGGAAAAATCGTAATAGTCGTCAGTATGTAGTACGTAGGTGCCATAGTCATAAAGTGAAGCAGATATGTGGATGTGGATGGTGGCTAGGCGAATTTCAGTACTATCTGCTTTGGGACATCATTTTAAGCAGGAGTAACTTCATGATGTGCTGCAGCTTCCTGTGCTACTTGCTTCCAATCCTTCTCGCGCACACCGAATTCAATTGACAGTGCAAGCTTGTTGAAGTTTACAAGCGTCAGTCCCCTGGGTTGGCGGACGTGCGACTCCCAGCCCTCTGGGAATCGCTCATCAAGAAGAAAACTCTGCAGGTGATCCACACGACCTCCAAAGGTTGAGAGCAACAGCGAGGCACTAACGGAACGGTCAGGATTGTGTTTGGAAACGGATGATGAAATGAAATACTTTGCGCAACCAAATAACTTGTGGAAAGATTTCAGCGAGAACTCCTGGTTTACTGCACGCGCCACTGCACGACGCTTGCCCAGCAACTTGGAGAGGTCCTTGGTAGTAATCACAACATTGCCGTCCTTGTCCTTGCCGGAAGCTGCCGCGAGTAGCTCTTCGATGTAAGGTACGTGTTTCGTCGATTGGTTTGGTTGGAAAGCAGCGTCTAGGCCTGAAGACAAATTATTCGACATACACACAAAGAGCCCTATCAAATTACTCACGTAAGAGAGACGCGTCGTGCTCAATACCATTATGCAGGTCGAGTTCTTCTAAATCAAAGGTATCATCCTTGTAGCTTCTCTTAAGCATGCGAGCAGCATAGTGCGGCACAAATGAGGATAAGGTAGAACTGATGTTGTAGGTTGCCCGGACATGACGATCCAGTTCGACGAATGATATCCCACGGCCGCTGTGCGAGATGATGCCTACATTTCAATGTCGTCAGGCCACACCGTCACCGTGAGTCATCAGAATTTGCAGAATCACTAACCGTGGTTGGCAAGTGCATTGAGTCCTGGGCACGAGCAGCGAGAGTCGGTCTCCTGGGGAGGCCTAAATTCGGGCCAGTACCCTCCATAGCCTGGGTGGCCCTCGGGGGTGACATCACCGATGTGATGCTTTTTCCCCACGACGTTGAGGAGTGTGAGGATGACATCCCAAGACATGATTTTAACATCATAGAAAAAGTTGGACACGCCGGAGGAGAAACCCATTTCACGTCTTTCGCGTCAACTATAGATGCTCAGATGCTGGTCGAAGGCTGAGGACAGAGGACCAAACGCGCTCCGCTGAGAAATATATAAGTATAAGAGAACCGAACAACGTTCGGCAACAATGGAGTGCTACTGACAGCCAGCGACATGCATTATTTACGATTCGTCGCCGCTGCAGAAGGCTTAGGCTAAAAACTCAGCTTTATTTCAGCTTAGATTAGTGATTATGATAGTCACAAAATGGAAGCGTACTTACTAGGGGGCGTGCGCCGTGCAGAGAGAGATTATTGTATCCTTATAGGCAAAATTTGTCAATACGCCTACGCCAAGATCAAAGTTTCAACTTATTAGGATGAAACGATTATCCCGAATTATCCCCGACATTTCCATTGAACAGAACTCTATCACCAAGGAACGTTGGAACTGCGAGCACCAATCGCAGCATGTCCGCACAATCACCCTTGGATATTTCACCTATTTCACCCGAAATTGGGAGCGGGAGCGATTCATGAACGCGGAACTTCTATCATTTTCCATCTCAACCCATCGTTGCTATTAGAATCGGTTATGTATTTCCCAGCCCCACGCAGCAAACGCAGTTGCCTCTGTCGTGCGTTGTGGATGATGAGAGGATTTGATGGCACTGCGGGCGAGATGGAAAAAATCTGCTGTCATGAGTCATGACGCAGTTGATCGACGGTGATTGGCGGCTAGTGCATTATGTAAATAATATCTGGAATGACGCGCTAGTAGCTCATGAATCAATTAATACTTGTCTCGAATGGGTCTAGTGTCGTACGTACTGTTTCACCGTTTATTGTGGTCTTGTGCTTGAGACTTTGAGTACGAAGGACTTTGAAGAAAGCTGGTAGGTTACTAGGTAGCTGGTGTGGAAAAGGCTGCATGTGTGATAGCACGGGACGAGATGCTGGGTGGGGTATACCAATACGCACAGAAGTTTCATGCGCTACAAAGTTGGAAGTCTAGCCTGTAATTAGGTTCTGGTGCAGTGACGTCGCCGAAGTTTCTCTCTAATCTTTTGATCTCTGCGATGGTAGGAAGACGAATTCCAGATTGTTGAGTAGGGCGCGAAACTGTTTGGCGTCAGTAGCGCAGAGCGCGTCTGTTTGAGCCTGAGCGCGATTACCTCTTGGTACGCCGTCATGACATGCTTAATGTGAAGTCCGCGGCTGCGTTGTCTTTGTACTGTTAAGATGAGTGTAGCCCGTTCTCGACTGGATAGGAAGGCTGGCCTCGTGGTGTTGCGGGAGTTCTGAGATGGGCCTTTGAAACTTGTGCTCTTGTTGTTCTTCAAGTTAGCATCATGATGTTGATGCCAATTCGAAGATTTCTTTGGCTTCTGGTTTTATCTCGGCGTATAGTCGTTGCATCACCGCCGATCTGCTGACGGGGTCACGGGGAGCTTCAAGTTCGCTAGAACTGCTGGGGGGAGATTTGCGCAACACTTTAAGTATGCAGATCCCGCTTCGCTGATAAGTCCGCGCAGGTCCGCGTACAGGTCTCTTCGTCCGTCGGTTTGTTCCCGGTGTGCATCTGATGGTAGGGATTGTGTTGACCAAATTGATGTACATTTTGTAATGAGCGCCCTCGACAGTGTCTCGTTATAGTGATCGAACATCATATATTGGGCGAGTTTGATGAATTGCCTGTAGTATCGCTGGCTGGTTGTACAGGATGTCACTGACCTGACTCTCGCCTCCCTTGTCAACTGGCAGTTGCGGCGCCCTTGGCAAGTATCACTCCCGCAATCTCTCCTTCGTAGACAGTGGCCGGGCCGTCAGCGCCTTCCTTCCATTCGGTTTGCCTGTGGATAATGGCAGTATTCGTTCAGTGAACACTGAACGCAAAGGATGTAAAAAATCGATGACCGTCGGCAACGTTCAGTCGATCGTCAACGTGTCGGGTGCCATGAGTCCTTGTATATTCCTTATATAGTGTAACCAGCCTGACTATAAGGTTTGTTACAGAAAGCCAGATGGCCCCGCTCAGGGCGCAGCGGCGACGAACAACCATTGGAATAGCAAGGGGTCGTAAACTGACACGGAGGTGCTCGCTCGCTCGCTCGTCGGCGCCCAAGAAATTGTACAAGTGCCTTGCTCCGAAAAAAACCTTCCCTCCAAGTTGCCATGGAGGTCTTTGCGAGATCGAGTACAGCATGAGGTCCATGACCGTCATCCGCAATCCACAAAGTATCTTGAGGACAGCGAGAATCTTTCCTTCCTCGTCCAGGCTGGAAGGATTGACCATCCAAGCCAAATGTTCAGGCTGCATCATGGGTGGGTATAATGCATGAAAAGGTATCATTTGATTGTCCTAATCAACATTTAATACTGCTCCTAGATGCGCTATAATCAGTTAGCTAAGGCATACGATGCTTTGAACGATGCGAATGATGGAACTTTGTATGGCTAACACTGTCCAAATACTATGACTACCCAAAGGCTTCGGCACGACCGGCATCTGCCAAATTTCAAACTCCTCGCTTCGCCTGCCAAATCACTCCGAGTTGAACCGACCAGTCTGACTACGTCAAAAAATTCTCACTATCTCAAATTGACGCTATAGTCAGACTGGTTAGTATACGAGTCTAGTAACCAGCCTGACTATAAGGTTGCTAATCCTTCAGTCAGACAAATTCCTATCAAAGATCTCTTTGGTTTCTCTCGTGCTCAAGCCTGGCTGAGATTCTTCTACCAAACAGCCATCCAAGGCTTAGATGCTGAGAACGAGTTAACGAACTGTTGGACTTTGAATACCGATGGTATTGACAACCCAGAAGGTCCGCAGGTGGTTGGCTCAGATCTTGGACGAGAAACTCTGTCTTTCGGTTCAAAAATCTGATAAGTTCTAGCTTGGGCAGGCCTTAGCCAATCAGATGTGATTATATAATGTTTTCCCTTGGATTCTTGGTGCCGCAAACACATTGTAGAGATGTTCACTAACTTTTCAAAGTGAACGTTCGGCGACCAGCAGAGCACTGAATGGCACACTATATTATCCCAAGCCTAACTCTTGCCGCATCGGATCCCTTGCAAGTCGCTTGCGAACAGGAAAAAATCTGCTGGGAAGCGGATAAGCTGGCCATATATATCTAATAAGTTCTCATTTCGGTCGCGCTCGAAGTTCATTGCCAGCATACTAATATCCCTTTGCTTGGTTTTGCCTACGGGACTTGGATTTGGTGCAACGTTGATGCTTTGGTAAAGGTGCAACAAACTCACTCCGATAGGCTTGAAGAGCCTCGGCACGATCTCCGTCCCCTCTGGCCGCGGCTTGCTCACGATGATTCCGAATTTCCAAATGCTGGTCTTCGACTTCGCTTGCAGGTCCGGCATCATCAAACCTTCCATCGACCATGAAAGTGCAAGCGAAGATCCCTTGGCACACCTGTGACCTGCCTGACATACGAAACGCGATATTCAAGCACGCAATCTGTCTTCCTTCCCCCCGCGGGCCGCGTGAAATTTCGATACTACAAGCCAGCGGAATTCGTCTCCACATAGCTCCGCATGGCAGGTGCGGAGCTACAGTGTTTGCCATGGGGCGCAGGCCATGACCCAGATCGACAATCGGCATATCACTGTTGCGTCCGCGGGATATACTATTAATTTGATTTGCACATTATTCACCTAATGCACAATTTCGTACAGTTACCTCCAGTGTTCGGCACAAAACATGTTTTGAATGTACGGATTGGTGTGTAATGGTGCTATCTTGCAGTAACTTCACTTGAAGAAAAACAATGTCGTTGAACGTTTGCGACAACGAAAACTTGAGGGAAGGTACGCAAGATAAGCTATATGAGCTGTTTTCTATTTTTCCATCAGATCTATGAACCCCGACCTTCTCAAACTCGATACCATTGGTTTTATACTGTCCCTTAATTCACGAAAAAGCTTCGAGATAGCTGGTTTCAAATTTTCAATCAAGCAGTTTAGCGCTAGGTCTCCGCACTGGGCGATACTATCAAACTTTACCGTTTCACGAAGCTTACAAGGCTACACGACATGGTATGCGCCAAACCTCTCGCTTTCACTCTATGTACCGTAATTGCTAGCTATAACATCCATGATAGTACTAAGTACTATGTATGTTCGGCAGCGAGCTCAGCGCTGCTTATACCTGCATCACGTGAATAGTACTAGTACTTGCGGCATGCCATTCTGGTATACGTACCCTCAAGGTTATGAAACTGGGAGGGTATCAGCCAAAAGGATTCAGGGCCCCTAACTTTTCTCTTCGGAAGTTGCGAAGCTCTTCTCTTTGTGGTGGTCAGTGTTCCGCAGTCGCTGTGTATGAATTTGAAAGCCATAGCAGAGGAAACGAGTTATCTGCGACCAAGCGCAAAATTAACAAAGCCTAGTACTAGTACTAACGTGACGTGGCCACTCAAAGCTTCCGGACTGAGATGGTTCTCTTTGTTTACCATATTGGTAATAGGTCCCCGTTGCTTTCATGACACCATAGTCACGCTTGATGCTTCCACTATTGCATTTTCGTATTTATTCACCTCGCATTCCTTCCATATTCCTGCAAACCCCCCATCGTCACCGCACTCTCGCTATGCTTGCACATGATTGGCAGAGGGTTGAGAAACGCGCCAACGTTCCTGCTTACACCCTTTTCACTAAACCAATAGAGAAGTCTCAGCTTGACGAGCGCGACTACAGATTGATTAAGCTCGAAAATGGTCTCTTGGCCGTGTTGGTTCACGATGCCAAGGCTGATATTGCTGCCGCAAGCTTAAACGTGGCAGTTGGTCACCTGTCGGACCCAGTGAGTCCATTTTTCGGAGGTTTGAAAACATCGGGTTGTGCGTCTGCAGTCTGAAGGACGGGTATGAAGAGAGGCTAGTTTAGCATCATTAGTTGTTGCGCAGTGACGGAGATCGGAACCCTTACTAACAAGAAACTGTGTGTTTATAGGACGACATTCCCGGCCTTGCTCACTTTTGCGAGCACTTGTTATTCATGGTATGAGCCTCTCCACAGTGTCACAAGTACTGTCTGAACAACATTTGGTATAGGGCACCGAACAATTTCCGAAAGAAAACGAGTACTCCGAAGTGCGTATCGCAGGCTACCCTTTGCCATCTAGCCGACTTACTCTGAATTCAGTATCTTTCCAAGAACAACGGCCATTCAAATGCATATACAGCACCGGCCAATACCAACTACTTTTTCCGTGTTGCTACCTCAGGCCTCCCCGGAGCTTTAACACGTTTCTCCGCGTTTTTCCACTGTCCTCTCTTCGCGCCCTCATGTACTACGCGGGAGATGAATGCAGTGGACTCGGAGCATTCTAAGAATCATCAGGCGGACCCATGGCGCGTCTTCCAGCTGAACAAATACCTTACCAAGGAAGGTCATCCGTGGAGCAAGTTCGGCAGTGGGAATCGCGAGACGTTAAGTGCTGCCGGGAGAACATTCAAGGTGGCGAGTAAGCTAAACGGGAATGGGACAAAGAATGGGATACATGCTGCTGCGGATGAGAGTGTACCAGCATCACCAGTATCATCTGATGGAAGTTTAGCATCCTCACCGCTCCCTTCACGTATTCCATCGCCAGTCCCGTCTAATACATCTGTGAGCAGCGAGAACGAACCAGACGGCGGTGTCATCGGGCGTGAGACCCGCAGACGGTTAGTTGAGTGGTGGAATAAAGAATATTGTGCAGGCAGAATGCGACTTTGTGTTGTTGGGAAAGGTACGTCGCCGTTTCTGTTGCGGGTCAATACTTTGTCACCTCGACTGCAGAGCCACTCGACGAGTTAGCTGACATGGTCTCGACCTTGTTTACACCCATCAAGAACCGAGAGCAAGATCCATTACCCGTAATTCCTGACCATCCATTTGGCCCGAACGAAATGGGAGTAAGTTCACGTCTTATTGCTGATGGTGTGATTTGTTGACATAGTTCATTAGACCTTGGTTTCCGTTCAAACTGTCAAAGCCTTCCATGCTATTGAGATCTCATTTCCTCTAGCGTGGCAGTGGCCCCTTTGGCGGTACAAGCCTGCACATTTTATTGCACACTTTACTGGTCATGAGGGTCCTGGTTCACTTTTTTCGTACCTCAAAAATAAGGGGTGGGTGACGTCGCTCAGCTCGGGTCCTCAACCCCTCGCACGAGGCTTCGAAATGTTCAAATTCACTATTCATCTGACGAAGCTCGGCTTTGAGAATTACCAATCGGTGGCGCTTGCGACATTCAAATACATTTCTCTCTTGCAGTCTTCTGCATTCCCAAAGTGGTACCAATCGGAGCTTGTCAAGATCGCGCGCACGAGATTCCAATTTTCCGAGAAGCAGAATGCGGAGAGCTATGCGGTTTCGCTTTCCGAGAGGCTGGGCAAGCCTGTCCCCCCTGAATCAATACTCAGCGAGGTGGCCGTTCCGTCTGACTGGAATTCCGAAGACGGAGAGCGAGAAGTTCGTGAGATCTTGGAAGGCATGCGTGTCACAAAGGGCAGGGCAGTACTCATGGCGAAGAAAGAGGAACACGAACGCATTTCAAAGAATGAACATTGGGAGCATGAAAAATGGTATGGTACAGGGTACAGAGTAGAGCGATGGGACCCGTCGTTTGTTGAACAGGCGAGTCAGGTCCCACTGTGGCATTCATCAGACTTGTTGACAAATCGGTGGCTAGGCTGAGGGACCCAATGATATCCCGGAGCTGTACCTCCCAGGTCCGAACGAATTCATACCCGCCAACTTAGAAGTGGAGAAACGCGATGTCCTTGAGGTAGGCTATAGCTACACATACCGATGTCCCTGACTGTCTGACCACGGTTGATATTTTACAGCCCGCTAAACGTCCTTACCTTATCAAACAAACACCAATGGGATCCGTGTGGCACAAGAAAGATGACCAATTCTGGCTTCCAAAGGCGTCGCTCGCACTGGAACTTCGTAGGTGTGCACTTTGTCTCACCACAATTCTGGGGCTGTGGGCTGATTTTCAACGTAGTCCGATTGCAGGCTCATCTCCGCGCGCTGACACCATGACACGGTGAGTTGCTTTGCAATCTGCCTGTTTGGTCTGATGATAACAATTTTGAACAAGGCTTTTTGCTGACCTTGTAAATGATTCGCTGCAAGAATTTGCATATGACGCAGAACTCGCAGGACTTGTCTTCAACAGTGGCTCACACCGCCTCGGACTGATGATCACTCTGGATGGGTACAACGACAAGTTGCCTATCCTCGCTCGTCGCGTTTTGGAGACTGTGAGAAATCTACAAGTTCGCGAGGACAGATTGGTAGTCATCAAAGAAAAAGTTATTACTTCATGTTATATTTCTTCGATGCAAGTGGGCTTACTTTGACTAACCAGGTTAAGCGCGACTGGGAAAATTTCTTCATGGACCAGGGTTACCGACTATCGGACTATTATACGCAATACATGCTCACTCATCACACTTGGAATATCGCAGAAAAGTTGCAAGAGGTCTCCAGTGAGTCATTATTGCAATTTTAAGGAGCGCCGACATAACTCCCCAATTATGATAGGCGTCACGCAGGAGGAGTTGCAGAGACACATCGACGACTTCTTGGCGCGCCTGAGCATTGAGATGTTAGTAACCGGCAACATGCACAAAGACGTACGCATTTTTACTGGCTAGCAATCGAGTTGATCGTAATCGGAATTGAGTTTAGGAAGCTATTAGTTTATCAGAGATGGTAGAGAACATTTTAAACGCCTCTTCGATACCAGCCGACGAGACCGCTCAACGAGCCCTCATCCTGCCAGAAGGTATGTCCAACCCATTATGCGGCCAGGATGCGATTGACCTTGACTTTGACAGGCTCCAATTTTATTTGGAAGTCACATATACCTAACTCCAACGATCCCAATTCGTCTCTGACTTATTATCTTCAACTCGGAAGTTCTACCGATGCCCGCTTGCGTGCGACCAGCTTGCTCCTCATACATATGATGTCGGAGCCGGCTTTCGACATTCTTCGGACAAAGGAACAACTTGGTTACATTGTCTTTTGTTCAGAACTGCAACTGTCTGGTGCATCGCGTCTGGGGTTGCGACTGGTGGTGCAAAGTGAACGGAACCCCGCCTACCTGGAGCAGAGAGTGGAAGCATTCCTGGACTTGATGAAGAGTAAGATCGAAGACATGGAACCTATTGATTTCCAGCAGTTCAAGACTGGCCTACAGCAAAAGTGGACTGAAGTTGTTAAGGACTTGAAGAAAGAGCGCTCGAAATTCTGGGAGCACATAGATTCAGGGTACCTGGACTTCCTGAGACGTGTGTTTGATTTGTTTTTCGTCTTTTGCTGCTTCCAGCTAACATAGATACTAGGCTACAATGATTCGGACCTGCTGACAGACATTACTAAGGACGACGTCCTGGATCTCTTTGTCTCTCGTGTTCATCCCTTGGGAGTCAAAAGGTCCAAACTTTCCGTCCAATTACAGTCCCGGAAGCCGCGGCCCCCGCGGATCAGCGCCACCGCTGCCAATGCCTTTGAAGCTTTGGTCAGAGCTTCAACTACATTCGTCGAGACTTCAGGGTGGAAGGAGGAACTGGCTGACGAGAATCCTCTTGCGACACACTTTGCAAAATACTGGCAAGACGCGCTCAGCGGTGTCGATAATTATGAGGAGTTGATGATGAAAATCCCCGGGTTGATGACGCAGTACCCAGTCGATGAAGAAGTATGCGACGTTCGGACCGCAGGGGTGACCTTCATTGAAAACGTTCAAGACTTCAAAGCCACCCTTGAAGTTACAGAGCTTCCGGAGCCCTTGGTAGAATGGGGAGACTTGCCGCTCGCCAAGCTTTAGGGGTGTTATCTATGTTACTCATTTACTTTCTTATCATGTAGTAATTAATATGTCTTTGCTGCTTTTCGTGGGATTCTGACACTGCGGGAGGTTTCTCGGACGTGAATGCTGCAGGCTGAAGTATGTTTGGCGCCGATTCTACGACAGAGTTTCTTGTGACAAATATCATATCTGACTTATTTTCAATGCTAACCGTTCCCAGGCTTCTCATATAGCCGGTATGCATATGGTGGCTACTTTGATCTATGACCGAATCGCCCAAATATTCTGAACCAAGGGAAAGATCTCCTCGAAATGGCGGGCTTGCATAGTCCCACACGCACACGCACACTCGAAGATGGATAGGACTAATACCAGGCTTCCTGGGACTAGGTTCAGCTTATGACTCAACTTCATCCATCGCTCACCGCTTTACAAGGTCAGTGAGCATTGTACAAGCATCATATTGACTGGTCTTAATCCTGCGTTGCGTATAGCCACAGTGACAACCTTCCATGGCCTGGCTATCATCATAACCATGTTTCGGCTGGCCTATAGGCGATCGAGACATCAATTGTGGTGGGACGATGCGCTCACTGCAGCTGCCATAATTACAGGCGCCATCTCCTTGGTTAGCGTTTGATCTTTGTTGGCACCCAAAAGACTCAAATCAGTTGCAAGGTATCTGTGTGGCTTGTGATGGCTCCTCACAGTCTGTATCTTAAATTTGAATAACGGGCGAAGCTTACTATGATACCCAGCCGTTATTGAGACAGATCAAGTCCGTATCGCGGCAAGATGGAGCATGATATTCTGCTTCACAACCTCTTTGTGGCTTGCTCGCCTTAGTATTGTGTTTTCTATCATCCGTCTTGCACCACGAGCAGACTGCATGCGAAAGATAGCACAATGGGCTGCTGTCATATTCGCCGCACTGTGTGTGATGATGCTTGTACAAAAGACCTATATTTGTGCCCACAACTTCAACTCGGAAAGAATTGACTGTGTACTGGGGAGTTCTGTGGCTGCAACCCAGTTTGCGAGTAAGTCTATAACTCCCTCGTGTGCGTAGTATTCCTGGGCTCATATGTTCATTTCAAAGCTGACGCCATATCTGATATCGCCCTGGTGTTAATGCCAATCCGACTGCTTCGGGAGATTCATTTACCCAAGGGCCAACGGATCCTCATTATCTCTGTGTTCTCCACCAGCATCGTCGTTTCTTTGGCCAGCATTATACATGTCATATTTGTTCTACAGACGGACGTGTACATGCAAAGTATCACTGCTCAAGTTGAGGTTTGTCATTTTCTCACATGCTAAGCGCGTAAATTTATGACGAGTAATCGTTCAGCTTGCGCTTTCCTTGATTGTGTGCAACTTGCTGGTTATTGTAACCTGCATATATAAAGTCTTCCGGCGCGAAGACCTTGACCCTGATTGTGGGCGTTGGTCATCAACACCACAAAGTATGCTCTTCACGACGTTCGTCAGTACAAACCAAACCAACAGCTGGACATGCCCTGGGGAATCCACGCTTACTGGCCCAGCCGCTGGAAAACACGACTGCGATCACATCTCGATTTAGGGTACCATTCTTTCCCTGTCCCCCGCTTTGATCGTTAATGTGCGTCTTCGTCACCTATCATGCGCTACGACGTTCTGATTATCGACACTGTGCAATTCACAGTCACTCATGCAAGGATCGCCAATACCGCTCTTCATGATGGATCTGACGGCACAAGCGAGAAAAGGAGACTCGGGACGGTTACCCCGCAAGGTGGCATTAAAATCAAGTGTATTTATTAGAATGACGTTGTGGTCTTGGCGGACACTCGGCTTCAGGTTCAGGGTTCAGATTCTCCTGATTCTCCTGGTTTAGTGTAGCTCATTCGCTTAGCCAGATGCACTTTTAGACTGCCCTCGACCTCCTTTACGAATAATGAACGAACAATTTAGACTCAAAGGTGGCACTCCCAGCTGATTTTCGTCACACTCGAACTTGGAGTAAATTATCTAAAATTTACAAGTCACTACGAATTTCGTAGCTCTCTTTAGAAGGTACCTGGGTGTACAGGTTGGGGTCGTTGACGCACCGCTGTCAGCTAATACTGGGATGTTTTTGCAGCCGTGGGATTGGTTGCGAGCGTCAACTGACTGACTGTTGCAGTGTGAGTCTATTATACGGTGCGTAGGGTGGGCTCACGATGGTTGGTATTAATCCCACATGCAACAGGCTTCTTGTCAGAGTCATGCCCGGCGCCCGCGTCATCCATTGGAATGTGCTTTACCACCTGCATATGGTCGGTGAGCCAATTTTACATGTCCGTGGGCCGCGATATAATGAAACTGAAGTTATAATACTGTCCAGACCCATCTCCTCTATTATACTTTCCGTCTGTGCATGTGAGGCATATGAGGAGCGTATGAGGAGAATTCCGATGTGAACAGTTTTAGCATTCACAATTTCAATTGCGCTCACCATCGTGATTGACCCAGAAATCATGTTTACCCATCGACACAACTCCTCAGAAGTCGACGTCCTGCTCTTCGAAACATCTTCATCGAGGACATCACCAGACCGGGTGGAGGCCCATCTTTGAGCTTAAATCCCAAAAGGGCTCTAATGTTCCTCTGTGTCTGTCTTGTCAAGAAGTTATTTTATTTTGGTCCTCTTACTAGGTGATAAATGGACTGACCGTGAACGTCGAGCTAGTTAGGAGTCTCGGGCCATGTATTTGGATTTAGAATCACAACACACTTACCTACAATGTGCTTGTACCAGCTGTGCTCAGGAGTAAATTTTGCATACAAATGAGCATGTCCGCCACTATCCAACCTGTCTTCACCCATGCGAAACTTTCTGCTTGTGGCTTTGACTAGTAGGTCTGCAATGCCTTCGTTGACGGGGAAGAGCTTCTTGATGTATTGTTGCTTCCCACCCGTTATCCGCCACAATATTCCATTGACTGGTAACACCCGCGGAACCCGCGCTGGTTTGTTTTGCACTTAACGGTATTTCCATGATACCGTGACTGCCGAGCATTTCGAGGAGCGTAGTTCCAGAATTGGAAGAACGAACCCAGACTCCTGTGTAGCAAACACTGCTTCGAACAGTAGAGAAAGGAGCAGGTATTAATGATATCGCTGATGACCTAGTCGAGGAGACGGCTTAGTGGTAAGTTATCAACAACTCAGATTGTGGAGCCTGTCGGCCCAACCTGATACTCACCTACTACCTCGGGCAAATGCCAAAAAACAATTATCTGCCGTATCGTAGTAATTTCATGAAGAAATTCAAGATAGTTCAGTAGCAGAGTATATGCGTGGACTGTAGAGACACGGTACTCGAGTGACGGGTGTGTAAACGCGACGCGACTGCCGGCGGCGATCTGGCGCGGGTCCTCCTTGGGAGAGCCGGAGATCCTGGCACAGCCTGAGTGGGTGGAGTCTCAGTGAAGCCACTGTGTGACGCGTTCGCGTCAGGAGCAGTCCAGCACCGCCCATATCCGCCACCCGCCGAAGTTGGCCTCGCCGTCCTGCAAGGGAGAGTATGACTCATGGTACCCATCCGTGAGAACGTCGAATTGTGGCCTTCAGAATCAAAATCAGACTACCAAGTTGCCAACATCCCTCCTCGCATAAAAAATAAGACCTGACGTGAAATGCAATTGACGCCGCTGTGCGGCCCTCCCCGTCGTTGTGAGGAGAGTTTACAGGTGTGAAAACGTGCAACAGCATTCGGGTACTCGAGCAGGACGAAAATTTCTTTGTTGTGAGTCTCATTTACTAATATTGTTCACGCTGTCTTCATGCAGCAGACCAACTCAAACTTCAGATCAGTTGCAGAAGTTTTGTACTACTTGGTGGAGTCCAGAGTCTCTAGACGCATCTAGTGGGTATACGACCTATCTTCTGCTAGCTTCAACCTCGCTACAAAGGTGCACTTTTATATGCCAGTTGCTTGTCATGCACCATCAGGGAATCATGGCAAGATACCGAAACTTTACGTGTGACTGATATAGCATCATGAAGTTGGCTCATCCTGTCAGGTTTGTGGGAACCGTGTTGCTAGCATTCTGCTTTCTCTACTACCCCCACTGAAATTGCAGCCTTATCGGGATTCTTCGATTTCTTTCACTCTAGCTGCAACAGTACGTGTGACAAAGCTGTCAGTCACGAAGGTTCAACGCGACTGTGCGACTTGCGGAATTGCATGGGCGAGATGAATCTTTCCGATGATGACCCTGCAGGAACATTCGTCGCACAGGTGCAAATCCGCAAGACATGGTGGTACCGGGTGGTACTCGCTCACTTTTACGTCGATGTTTTCGAGGTGTTCCTGAGCACTGAAGGCAACAATCCCAATTAAATGATTGGTGGAACCTGTTCGCCAAGGCCATTTCCCAAGCTAATAACCCCGAAAGCCAATCATTGGCTATCTTTGAGCGCTTTTCGACCAACAAAGTTTGTTGATTAGCATATCAGGTTTTACATCCCGTGTGATGTTCTCTGAGTTTAGCTGGAGTTTCTTGTGTCAGAATGATGGCAAATTGCAAAGCTTCCGTGCCTCAATAGAAAACGCGTTGTCTCAAGCCCAAGGGCTCTGATGGAGCGTATCAAACTCTCAACGTCACCCAACCCAATCGACAGGACATCGTCTTGACTTTCGTCGGTGTGGTCCACCGGATATCCGCTGCCTCACTTACATTTATGGGTGACCAGCATGTCTAATACCCTCCACCCCTCTGTTGTGGGTCTTCGAGGTGAGTGGGGAAGAGTCGATTCATGCACTGATGCTGACAAGCGGCTGACGCATACCAAGTATCAGTGACAATGGTTCATATGTGCACAATTGTAGTAACCTCTTGGCGACTCTGGTATAAAATAATACAGCGACGCTGGTGGTGGGAGGATGTATGGGCGGCCACCGCGCTAGCAGCTATCATCGCCAGTGTGGTCTCGGTCTGGATTTTTTCTGGGACACCGGTCGGTATGTCGCTTCATGCGCTGCTCCTTCCCTTATGACCATTCACCATCCTGTTCAGATTCAAAGCCAAGGGATGGCCCCATTATAGCGTACTGGCTTATAATGATCAATTTCACCATAGGTCTCTGGTGCGTTACCCACTTCCTTACAAAATGACTTTCAATTATCGTGGATGACTTAGGGCGTCTCGGTTAAGTATGATATGTTCGATTGTAAGATTGTCACCACCCACAAGAATACGGATTGTCGCATGTTGCGTGGCAGCAACTTTTGCAGCAATTGCTATCGCTTTACTCATCCACAAATGCTGGTTTTGTGCTCGCAACCACGACTGGGAAGAAATTGCTCCGCTCAGTTGCTCTCTGGCGTCTTCTGTAGGCATCGCACAGGTCATCAGTAAGTAGGAGGGGATGCAATACATGCTGCAGTTGATTTACTACTCTTCAGCGGACTTTTTGTCTGACATAACACTGGTGGTTTTACCTGCTCAAATCTTGCATCAGGTCAAGCTTCCACGGAACCAGAGGATATTAATTCTCTCAGTTTTCTCCGGCAGTCTCGTAACCACGTCACTGAGCATCGCACACGCAGTTTTTTTCATTCAGGCCGATCCCATCTTGAAGATTTTAACAGGGCAGCTCGAGGCAAGTCTCACTATACCCCACAATCTTTTTGAAGCATAGCTGAGCCAATAACCTAGATGGCCTTCTCTGTTATTGTCTGCAATCTTTTGCCTATTGTCACATGTCTCTACAAAGTCTTTCGAAGCAGAGACCTAGACCTCAGATGCCCGGCAGACAGCATATTTCTCACTACTATCGTCGACATGCCATTATCAGACAGCCACAAAACTGAAGAATTGAAATTCATACTAGTATGATTCATAGCTTAGAAGGATCTTGGCGTGCGTTGCACCGGTGGCAACGTGGTACTGCATTTCATATCCCCCCATTTAAATATTATTGTATTGTATTGCATCAATTCATCAAGGCATGTGCATCGTGTATTTCTTTTATTCCGTACTGTATTCCTGACACAAGTACCATCGTTTACAACATGAATATTCTGTTACAACTTGTCGTGCAGCATGTCCCGACCTTCAGTGCAATACGTGCTCTCCACAGCGTATACATTGTAATAGATAACTCCATTGAAACTGTGTGTTGCGAACATGTTAAGGTCACGAAAATTACTTATGAATGAGTAGTCAGAATTTGAGTTGTGATGCGTCTAGTGCTGGTGACAGGGTGCGCCCACGCGGCCCGGTCTACAAGAAGAGACTTATCGAATTAAATATATGAGCAGGGCAGAATCCCCTGACTTATCCTCAGGAACGTTCATTCGCTATCAACAGCCCCAACACTGGCGTAGAGAGCCAAACATCCTCCCACCAAGGTGTGCGGCTCCAGAAAGGATACCTCGGGCGAAAGATGTTTAAATATGAGAAATGTGCTTAAAGCTGCACGCACGTCAACCATTGCTGAGCACATTAGCACCAGTCACTAGTGGTATAGATCAAAAGGCTCTTGAAAGTCCTTGCAGCGTTTGAACGCGAGTATGGGTGAGGAATCCCAGCATTCACGGGACTGCCGAGTTCACTGAGCTACCAAAGTGGTACCGGGACGTTCAGCGTAGTTTTGAGCCACCTCGTTGTCCCGCTAGGTTGATTGATGATGAATTGCACAAGGTAAATAGAGACCTGAAAGTGCCGCATACCGCAGTATAAGCACGTCCATAGCCTCATCGATTAACCTGAATATCGTGCTAAGTGAGACTACTTGATGGGTTGAGAGGTAGCACCGAAATGGACATAAGTCCGCAAATGCCACCGCAGACAATGGATACAATGTATCGGAAACGCACTGGATAATACTGAAAAAACTGCAAAGAAAGCGATGTAAGACAACCGAAACGACAAAATGCCAGAGCCAGGTGGGACGCCATGCTACTTTTTCCTCGCATTGGCTTGTCTCGCAGCCGGAGCGGGTTGCGGCTGTGTGGGAGGTGCATAGTTCTTCGCACGGCGAAAAAGGAGGACATGCGGCTCTGGGGCTGATTACTTTTTGTCAGGGGCGTCATCATTGCCTTCATTTAAAATTGACACTTGCCATGTACTTCATAGTGCTCCCAGCCGAGGCTCTGAGTGATGCCGATCCCTCTCCACTCCGCTTCCGATAGTAGACGAAGGGTGCCTACTTTGTCGTCGAAGAACTCTTTTGGAACAAGTTTGAGTAGCGGTTTCGGTAGGATGACGTGACGATATTCGTATAGGTCGTCGGAGTAGCGATCGGAATAGTGGATCCTGCACGTCAAAATTAGCCACATGAGCGTATCGTAACGGAATAAACATTGCCGCTCACTTTTCGATGTACTCCTCAATCTTGCTGGCAAGCTGGCGATCAGCCATTGAAAAAAAGGGGGTATTACAGGGTATTGAACAGAGAAGACGCGAGTTCTAGAAACAGTCTATGAAATATTACAACGTTGATTGAGACAAAGTGTTGTGTGACACAGACGTGACTAGATTTGATTTCTCGTCCTCACGTGCAAGCGCGTCCGTGACATGTCACGCGTCGTGCTCTCTTTTCGTGTTATCCACCAACATTAATGATATCGCTATCGGCAATGCAACAACCTCACAGATGGTCGCTTATTCACCAGAAATCGGGGACACTACCCCCACAGTATGCCTTTAATTCTGTTCAAATCGACGGTACTTACGCTGACATCGTACTACACGACAGACACCAACACTATTACGATGATTTTAGGTCTGAGGACGAAATCGGTGGGTGTATGCGCGCAAATATCATTTGAGGATACTGAAATCTCTTTCAGACTCCTCCCCATCTCCGCCGGGACGCATCAACGACCGTGCTCGTGCCTTTGCAAGTCATCCACCAGCTAGCCATGTATATCATGCTGTCCAACCACATCAGGAAGACTATGAAAGTTTTACATCCGAATACACCCCAAGCCCCGCCGATTACAATGGCGTGCAGGCACAGAGTCAGGCCCACTATGATACTCCACAGAGAAATCGTCAGTCTTTTCGCGTGTGTTGTTGTCCTTCGTTATAGTAGTCAACATGGAAGTCATTTTAGACCGCCCGCACCAGTATTCTGGAGAAAATCACTTTGGAAACTGGAATCAAACCACAAACAACCTCAGGTCTAATTACGACACTGTATATAATCATAAGCCAGTTGGACGGACACAACAGAAACCCCAACCAGTGCGGTTGCGCCCTGTTTCCGAGCTCCGTGGGTGTATTTACCGCTGTCTACTTTCTGAGTCTCTGACTTTGACTTGGTGGGGTAGCGGATATGTTTCGCAGTGTGTTCAAATTTGGTGTTTTCAACGCTATTCAGTCAATTTGCTTTGATGCAGTAAGATTTATACGGCTTCATTCAGATGCCTTCAGACTTGACTGTTCTTAGGTACTCCACTCGAATGAGAATATGGTGCGTTATACTCATGACTTGAGATGTCTCTAAACCGGCATCCAGGTTATCAGCGGTAGGGTGACTACTCTCTTCGACGAACTTCGGGCTTAGCGAGCGTGTAGCGCCCACCGGAAGTGGCAAGACTGTTCTTTTTGAACTGGGTATCATCCGCATGATCACCGACCATTCGAGCACAAGTCAAGTAGCCAAATGCGTCTATGTTGCCCCAACTAAGGTAAAGTTATGTTGCTCCTGCTCCAGGTCGTTTTTCATGTTAATGCAGGCCCTCTGTACGGAAAAATACAAGGAATGGACCTCCAAATTCGGCAGTCTCGGGATACACAGTATGTAATGTATTAAATTTCAGATATGATTTTCACTATGAGAGCTAGCTTGCGAGCTCACGGGTGACACTGTGGTTTTCGACAAGGGCGTATGGGGTGACGCTAAGAACGCTAGAATCATGTAAGATTGGTCATCACAGTGTTTGATGAAATCTGATGCGTAACTTTATCCACAAAAGTGTTACCACGGCACGTTCCCGGTCTGCCGATGTTTTGATGACACAGCTTACATTTTTTCAGGCCGAGAAGTGGGACAGTCTCACTAGGAATTGGTAGACATTTTTTGTTGTGATAGCAGCCTACGCTCACACTCGTCTCAGGGATGACCATAGTCGAATATTATCTCAGATCAGACTTTTTCTTCTAGACGAGGTAAGACTATTGTTAATGATGATCCTGCTATAAACCATTCAACGGCTGGTCAGGTTCACATTCTCAACGAATCTCGCGGCAGCACGCTAGAAGTAGTCGTCTCTCGTATGAAGGCAAGAGGATCCGATGTTAGGTTCCTTCTCGTATCTGCAACAGTCCCAAACATTGAAGATGTTGCGAGCTGGATTGGGAGCAATCATGGGTCTAGCGACCATCCCGGTCAAATATTTCAGGTAATTAAGTCGAGGCTTGCTCGGTCCTAGTTGTAGCTTGTGCTAATGGGCAATACAGTTTGGCGACGAATATCGACCCTGTAGACTTAGTCGGTTTGTTTATGGCGTTGACAAGCCGAGAGGTCAGAATGACTTTGCATATGCGCATACCCTTGATGCCCGCCTATTCGCCGTTTTACAACAACACGCCATTGACAAACCAATTCTCGTCTTCTGTCCGACAAGAAAAGGTACGACATCGCAATTACTGGTCACATCTATTACTATCAGACATTCCGTAGGAACCATCACAACCGCCAGGCAATTAGCTAAACAATATGAAGAAAGCATGAAGACGAACCAGCTGCTCCCGTGGAGCAGGCCTTCGCAGTGCGTTATAAGACACCAAATAAGATAAGATATTCATAAATGTTTAGCATGGATCAGACATTTCATGACAAAGATCTCGCTTGTGAGCACTGCACGCCAGGAAATATTATTGGTACTCATCACTTGCAGCTCTGGCTGCTTTGGGAATTGGCGTGCATCATGCTGGACTCACTATTGACGACAGGAAGACCATCGAAGACCTGTATCTGCGTAAAGTTCTACGAGTTCTTCTGGCTACGTCGGTGAATACGGATCATTTCTCTCCTTTATTAAGTGTTGCTAATGCTACGCAAAGACTTTAGCGGTTGGAGTCAACTTGCGTAAAATGCCATCCGTTGGTATTCATCCGGTCGGCGACACTGATACTAAGTTTCAGCCGCCCATCTGGTCGTCATAAAGGGCGTCAAATTATATCAGAACGGCGAATCTAAAGAGTACTCGGATCTTGACATAATGCAGATGATGGGACGAGCGGTACGTGCAGCACTCAATCCACAACCCATTAACCAACTGGCCCTGATGCTGCAACGATAGGGTCGCCCACAATTTGGTACCTATTTTTCCAATTTGCACTTTTTTCTGTTGATGCTAATCGTCCTGTGCTCAGACACTGAAGGAGTCGCTATCATCTTATGTGAAACTGAACTCGAGAGTAAATATCGCGATCTTGTTCAAGGGACGACACCTCTGGAGAGTAGTCTGCACACGAATTTGACCGAGCACCTGAACTCTGAGATTGGTTTGGGAACTATCACCGACGTCAAGACAGCACAGGAGTGGCTTCTCCGCTCGTTCTTGTATCGCCGAATGCAAAAGAATCCGCAGCACTATGATATTGGAAAAGATGACCACCAGTCTTGGCAGGACAAGGTGGACAGCATTGTGATGGACAGCATCGAGCAGCTACGGGAAACCGAGTTGGTCACCTATTCGCCGCGCGATGGAGAGCTGAGTTCTACTGAATTCGGCGATATTATGAGCAAGGTGAAGTGATTCATCTTCTGTGTCGTATAGAATCTGACAGCTTATGGAGTTTTACATCCGTCGTGGGACGGTGAGGTTTTTGCGCCATTTAACAGCACGTCCCTGATGATGTATAGATGAAGGCAATCTTGGACCTTTCTCCAACTGCATCAATACGCGAGATTGTGAGCTAATGGTCTTATCACCAACGATGATCTAATGGAGACATGATGACAGCTTGAGATTATATCCGCTTCAGAGGAGTAAGTTTTAACAGTTAGTTTGACTCACGACACGAACTGTTTTATGCAGATTGTCCGACCTCAAATTGCGAAGCGGCGAAAAGCAGGTAAGGAACATGAAGCAGAGATATTATTGCTGAGGTCCACTATTTTCAGATATACGAGAAAATTAGGCGTCATGATGACATTCGGTTCGCGGTTAAAAAAGTTCAAGGCACGAGTGACAAAGTGTTCTTGCTTATGCAGGTAGCTTTTGTGTTCATACCTGCCTGTGTTTCAAATGACGTCTTTGAAGGCAGTTTTAGGTGGTTTGCCCTTGAATAGTGCCGAATACAGGAGCGGAGAAAGTCAACCATGTCTTGAAGCACTCTCCGTTTTTCGTCACGTTACCCGGATTGCTACAGGTATGCTAGTCACCCCTCTAAAGCGCATTAATCCTTCAACTTGAACACCCCAGCGGTTACGGAAGTCGCCATCATAAAGAAAAATGGAGCGCAAGTTAAGCACGGACTGGAAATGTACGTCTGCTGGGACCAGGATCCTTCCGTGGCTGAAAAGAACTGTCTAGAGCGCGTTGTCTTCGTGCCAAAGCATGGGAAGATAGACCGATTGTCCTGAGACAACTAGAACATATCGGTGAAAAATCGTCAGTGGACCACCTTGCCCTTCCATGCGATCTACTGACAATGGTCTTGCAGAATCAAGGTAGAGATTTGAAATGACTCACGTTAAACGGGCTACATGCACAAGAGCAGATATTGGCCGAGAATCATATCTCCTCGATTCCGAAGCTACTTAGTACCAGCCCATTGAGACTCGAAGAGGTGAGTTCTCGTAACTGGGAAACCCTATAACAAGCTAACTTCGGCTAGCTCCTGAACCGCAGATCTCCCTTTGGGTCTGAAGTTTTGGTGGCTGCTAACGAGCTACCGAAGTATATCCTCGCCCTGACGGAAGTCAAGGTTTCGCCTAGCGATGGGAAATCGCCAGTGGATGTCGAACTCTCTGTTGAATGTGGCCTCCTCTTGGACAAGAAAGCTTCTACTGGATCCAAGAAACAGAAGAGGGGCGGTTTTGATATGACGACTCTTCTTACGATTACCTCCGACTTCGTTTTCATCGACTTTCGACGTATCTCGTGAGTTTTACACCATTAATACGGAGCGTTACTGAATTCAATTTCTTAGGACGAAATCGCTGAGGGAAAGGAAATCTTTTGTGATCCACGCGCAGCTTACCAGACCGAGTCAGACCATTAGCGTTTCAATTTCTTCAGTCAGCCAGAAGTAGTCCTATGGCGGGGCATATTGGCTAATTCAAACAATTAGGATAAGATCGCTGGGGTCGCAGTAACTGAATGCTTCAAGCCTTCCTTACCCACAAACAAGTACCCAACCCTTGATACTCGCCCATTGACTTCTTTGGTAAGCAAAATGCAGACTGCCTTGCGTGAGCTCACTTCTCGAAGGAAATGGACCTGGAAGGGCTCGAAGATGTTGCCGACTTCTGGGATATGGGACCTGACGACGACGACGAGCTGAATATCCCAGTAAAGGATCTCACTCGATCCCGTAGCCCGCTTCAAAGCACCACATCAGCACAAAAGAATGCCAACCCTCACAAAAAGAAGACAGTCTCACACCCTGCAGTGAATGGGGAGAGTTCAAGAATGGTCAATACGCCCATGGGGGACACACAGCCTAAAAAACGCTCGGACGGGAAATACGAGTGAGTCGTTTTGATTGTTATCTGCGTGCTGAATATCGACATAACATCTCAGCTGTAATCATACCTGCAAGGACAAATCTGCTTGCCGTCACTTTTGGTGAGTTTCGACACACAAACGTCTAGATTTATTTCCTGCCTTGAATAATTAGTTTCCTGCTGACGAGAAGTGCGCGATAGTTGCCGTGACGGACTCACGGAACCTTCTCGTGTCCCAAGAAAGAACGCAAAGCCCGTCCATTTGCCGAGTTTTAAGAAAGCTGACGACTCATCATCTACTGATTCCAAAAGTCGAGTTACCGTACCGCTTGGCGCCGTCCCAATCCCCAATCGACAAAAGACAGCCAAGTGCAACCCAGCTATTGAGCAGCTTGACTCCCTTCATAAAGGTGCTGATGTCAATCGAAGGCTGGGGCTCCCTGAAGGTCAACGGCTGAAATTGGATGCCCCAACGCATTCGTCAAGCAAACGCAAACCAGCCCCGAATTTTGATATCGAGCTCGCTACCTTGAAGTGTTCACAGTCGCCCTCCTCCAAGGACATACTTAGCGACTCGCAATCAGATGACGACCTTGCGAATATTTACGAGCTTCTCGGCGAAGGGAAGCATATTCGTTCGAAGGACTACTCAAAGGGCTACTCAAATTCAGAGCTTGAGCTGGTTCGAGATGACTTCAACGACACCGCGATGGGCGGTGCTCTCTCCCTGACACCCTCTCCCACTCGCAAACGGGCATGCGACTCTCTACCTCCCAATAGCTCGCCCCCTCGGAAACGTCTAAAGAGCAGTAACACGCCTTACAGGCCTTATTCACCAAGACGGGAATTAGCGAATGACGGTCGTGATCAGAAACGCTTCAAAGCTGGCCTCAAGCTCTTCGGCTCCCCTTCCAACCTACTGACTGCAAGGGTAAATCGTTTAAATGCTCTTCGTCAACTGATCCCAATCATTCTAGGAGGGCGAGACTCCTGCGCAGTCCACAAATCGCCAGTCGCTCTTTCTTGCAGAATCCTCCGATGTTGACGTTGACATCCATTCACTGTCCAAGGACCCCCAGCAACAGCCTTCCGATGACTTCTTCTTTGACGAGTCCTACTTTGACATCCTGCCGGAGCCTCAACACACAGTAGAATCTTCTTTCCGTGAGGATGGAGAGAAGACTATTGCAGATATTCAAGCCACAGGAATCGCACGTTCTGGCGTGGAACTTCAGGCTACATCGCAACGTCTCCAAAGGCTTCCGCTTCCTAGTAAATCCCAGCTACAATTTACAGTACCCGTCAACATCACCAACCAGCCTTACTCTCCTCCAGTCTCCTTCAAGCGGACCTCAAACCCTGCTTTCGAGCATCAGCAAATGAACCAAGAGATGAAAACCGATAACAAAGCGGCTGATGTCGATGTCCTTGCCGAATTTGAAAGCTGGTTGGAAAGTGGTGCAGTTGACATTGTGTGATAATGAGATGTGTGTGGTGGATTGAAAGTTTGTAACGTATACTTGCTGTAAGATAATGTGTATGGTGTCAATTGAGTAGATGGCGGTCGGCGATCAGCTCCTGAGCCATGCATCAACCAACGTCGTCTGCTCGAGGCTGGTCGAAAACCTGCAGGGCGTCAGGCAATCGTTCGTCCCATTGCGCAGGCTGACCGGGTTTCACGATTTCCCAACCAGCCTCGTCTCCACGCCATCTCATCTCCTTCTTCAATCGTTCCGCACGCAGCTCTACTTCTGTTGGCGGGGGATGGCTTTCCTCCTCCTTCGTGGGGGCCCGGGTACCTCGTGCTAAGGCGCGTGCAGTCGCTAGCTTTGCAGGTAGTGCGTCGTAGTACGTTTTGCGTGCCTTTTCCGTTTCAGACGGCGAATAAGCTCCATTATAATAGGATTCGGCAGGAAGGTCGAAATCGAGGTCTCCTCCTTGACGTCCGTCCGACTGCGATGGACCTTCTGAAGCAGCAACTGTCGTGTTTGGTGCTGCAAATGGTCGTACGTGATTCATTATCAGAGAGTAAGCTGCTTCAGAACCAGCGCGGACTTTATGCCGCTCATTAAAAAATCCCCATAACATATGGGGAACCTGTCTGAAGCCGATGTGATTTGTGAAGGGGACAAGAAGGAGCGTTGGCAGGGTTGGTATAGTCGATGGTGGTGTGTCCAATTGTGCCGGAAGATTTGAAACGGACTGCGTGGATTTTGGTGGACTGGAAGAAGGAATGTGCAAGGGAGAGAATAATGCCGCGTTCTGCGAAGGTAGAAGGCGCGAACGGGTTGGTAAGGGCTCCCCATCCACTCCATCGGAATCTACGACAAGTTCCTCAGGCTCATCAAATCGGCCATCCGACGCCAGTTCCTGAGCGAGCATGTCTTCCCGGTCGGCGCGACCCATGCTCTCCGTCCAACCGCGTTTGAGCCCCGACATGAACTCTTTCAAAGTGTGCCGACCGACAAGGACGATACCGCCCTCGAGTTCTCGCTTGCGTTTTTGCTCAAGAGATGGCTGGTTAGGCAAAACAATCGGGCTCTGGGACACAGGCTCGACACCTGCATCAACACGTCGACGAGCCTTAATCTCGTCTGCGATGCGGTCGGCGAGGTCACCACTCCGACGCCCCGAAACCATCTCGTAGTCTACGGCAGCCGCTACAAGGATTGGCTATAGATAGACATGTTGAGCGCACTTTAAGGTCAAATAAACACATTGTGCGCACCTTAACGTACTTCCTGAAGAATCTCAAGCTCTTATCATGGTCCTCATCTCCAGGCCATTTTGCGCCGTATACGGTGACCTTGCGCGGCAGGTCTGCAGTACCCAGTGGGTCCTTGGCAAGATGCTCAACGCGTGAGGCATACTCGTCACGGATACGTCTGCACTCTCTGCGGTCATAAGCATAGTATGAGACAATAGAGGTGGTCACCGAGAGGAATATGAGCCAGTTTCGGGACGGAAGTTTGGGACGCTTCTCGAACCAGGATGGTGGAATTCCAGTGAACTCGAGAGCAGCTCTTACACCGGATTTTGATTTTTGAACTTGGCTAGATTTTGGCGGAGAGTCAACATTTTGTGAGCTCATGCCCGCGCTGCTACTAGTTATGTATCGAGCCGTGCTGTACATAGTCCGTCACAACCAAAAAATACTGTAGTCGCACTCGCCACAACAAATAAAGGCAAACAAAAGTCTCTTGACAAATCTTGGGCAAGTATATTGAACGATCATCTCTGCCATGGCTGCCCTCGCTGCGTAAGTCAGTTGATGCATAATAATTAATGATGCTGACAATTTCTATGCAGTCTACTTCCACTACCCGCGTTTACCTCAGCTGTTTCCGACGATGAGGAAGAAGTTCCCAAGCCTGCTCCGTCTCAATCTTTGATCACTCGGACACCAATACCGCCATATGGTCAGCGAGTGGGATGGAAGCCGCTGAAATCTGAGGACTTCGGTACCTGCACTTCTTTATCCCATAATCACGAGTGTTCTGAGCTTTTACACAGGTGATGGTGGTTCATATCCCGAATGTCATGTCGCACAATATCCATTAGACCTCGGGCGGAAGAAGGCGAGTGTTTTTTCTGCTTCTGTACTGGTTTACTAAGTCGACACACCAGACGGCCGCAGGCAATACACTTGCTCTTCAAGTCGATAGCGAAGGCAATGTTCGCTATGACGTTATTGCTCACCAAGGCCAACGTTCTGGCAAATACATTCAGTCCCAATTCAAAGACCTCGTCCCTATCGCACATCGTAAAGACCTCACTGATGAACAGCGGACGATGGAGCGCCCTTCTGAGGAGGAGGTTCAAGCCACTGCGGACAGAACTCGGGCCGCCCTTGAGCAACTTGTTTCCGGAAAGATCAAAGCTGCACAACCGAAGCATGTTCCGGATGCGCAGGGGAAGACGACATATATTCGGTACACCCCCGGCCAGCAGAACGGAGGGGATAACGGTGCGCTCAAGCAGAGGATTATCAAAATGTCAGAGGTTGTGGAAGATCCAATGGAGCCGCCAAGGTTTAAGCATAAGAAGATTCCCAGGGGACCACCAAGCCCACCCCCTCCTGTATTACGGAGTCCACCAAGGAAGGCAACGGCAGCAGAGCAGAAAGAGTGGATGATCCCACCATGTATATCCAATTGGAAGAACAACAAAGGTTTCACTATCCCTCTCGACAAACGGTTGGCCGCAGATGGTCGGGGTCTCCAAGACGTTAGTAGTACCATCCCTCTCGATTTCAGGCTAATATTCTTGGCTTTTTATCTTTTACAGGTCCATATCAACGACAACTTTGCCAAATTCTCAGAATCATTGTTTGTCGCAGACAGACATGCTCGTGAAGAAGTCCGGCAACGTGCACTTATGCAACAAAAACTCGCACAGAAGGAGAAGGAATCTAAAGAAGAGAACCTCCGCATACTTGCACAGCGCGCCCGCCAAGAGCGCAGTGGTGTCGCACCTTCTCGACCAACAGCCGAATCTCGGGCGGCAGTCACGTCGACTCTTGCTGGCTATGGCAGCGGCAGTGAATCATCCGCATCCGACTCTGAACCGGAAGATTCAGAAGAACAGGAGGCTCGCAAGCTCCGCGACGAAATGCGTGCCGAGAAACGTCGTGAACGCGAACGTGAAATGCGGATGTCGAACATGGGCGCCGAGCAGCGCGCCAAGATGCTTGCACGGCAACAAAATCGTGATATATCGGAGAAAATCGCTCTCGGTCTCGCCAAGCCGACCATGTCGAAAGAGAGCATGCTGGATTCGAGGCTATTCAACCAGGAGTCACTCAGTGGTTCATTTGCAGATGAAGACAATTACAATTTATACGACCGGCCGTTGTTCCATGGCTCGACAGCGGCAGCAGCAATATACAAGGCTAGGGGTAATATTGAGGAAGGCAACGACGAGTCATTTGGTGGTGGGACCGAGGAGGGTATTGGCAAGGCTCTCGATAACGACCGGTTCGGTCTTGGGAAAGCGCGTGTTGGGTTCGAGGGGGCAGAGGACCAAGAGGTCCGTGAGGGACCTGTGCAATTTGAGAAGGATACAGGGGACGTCTTCGGTCTAGATAAGTTTTTGGATGAGGCAAAGTCAGGGAAAAAACGAGGTCTGGACACCGACGTGTGAGTGTTATGTCGCACTGCCTGTTGTTGATGATGTACTGACTTATGTTATTCTTGGTGTCGCTGCAGTGGTGGATCTCGGAAACGGCAACAACTGGAAAAGGCGTCCGATTTCTAGGCATTTGGTTGCTTGTGTTCTATCGCTGTTGTTGTCTTTATGCTCTGTATCCTATTGCATTAACCATGCATCTATCATATTTTTCTCTTGGATGATATTTTGACTCAAAAAATCTATTGTCGACGCTTATTGATGTCGTTGACAAGGAGTGATTTCATCAAATGTAGTTGTAAATGGTAACCATTCCCAACTACGACGGTAGCCGTCACTAGCGCCTGTTCCAGTTGTCCCTCTCTTTTCGCCATATCGTGGCAGGGTCTTGGCCCACCTACATTCCTTACAAAATTCAAGCTGTGATCGTTCAGCGTTCCTACTGTAACAGTGCATAATCCGCCAATGCATTCTGAATTTCGTCGCATACCTGCTGAGCGGGTACGGCACGCAAAACGGCTGGGTCATGTTCAGCCTGTAAACAACCCGTTTGCGTCTCCTCTCGTGTTCGCTAAAGATGCCACAAATTCTACCACCACCACTCAAAGTACTACCGCCAAAACAACCGTAACATCATCTACCACACCTGTTGCAGTATCCTCGACAGCGAAGACTAGTTCTTCACAGTCGTCTGCAACTCTTGCTACCTCCTCGCAGACGTTGACGTCTTTGCAGTCCACTCTCACTACATCCTCTACAACCACCTCGTCTACGAGTAGCCCCGCTGCCAAGGGACTAACTACTAGTCTCTCGCAATCCACGTCCCAATCTGTGGTTCTCGTTACCACCACTCCCACTCCAACAGCCACCGCTATCAATAATGTCAGTAGCGCTTCAAGCCAGACTCTTTCTGGCGGCGCACTTGGTGGTATTATCGCAGCCTCTGTAGTGGTCGCCCTGGCTCTGGTTATATTCATCGTTCGCAAGACGTATCTCCGCCGCAGGGAGAACCGTCGCCTTTCTTGGCCTGCTGGCAACGTCTTCAACGACAATGTCTTCAACGAGACCAAGCCACTTCCTCCAGCTCCCGTTGACGACTTCTCTGAAAAGCCTGTTTCGGTGAGGAATTCACCAATGTCGCCTTTTGAGGCGCATGGGCAGTCACTGTACACGAGCCCTCCGCAACCCCCGATTCAAAGGATGCAGAGTCCATTCACGGGGTACGCAGGCCCAGCCCCGCCTGCCGCTTCGTATAACAACCCGATGCCCATGTATTCCCAACCACCGCCCTCTCTAAGCCCTGGAAACTCTGCTGTTGCCATGGCACGTGCAGCAGCAGGCGCCAACTCGTACCCTTCTAGTACCCCTGCTCCAACACCTCCACCCAGATTTCCGACTGCCTCTGAGGCAGTTGTCAACCGCGCGTTCATCCCCACGCTTCCCGACGAGCTCTCAGTCACAGCGGGCGAGCGTATTCTTGTGCTTGCTCAGTATGACGACGCATGGGCGCTCTGTGCGAATGGGCGTGGTGAACAAGGCATGGTTCCCCAGGAGTGCCTAGATCGACCTGTCGCATATAATCAGGGAGACTGGCGGAACGCTAGGCGTACTAGCAGTCTGGCTTCTGATGGCAGACACTTTTAACTTTGATGTCGTTCGTGAGCTGGACCGCAGGGTCGGACCAGTGTATGTCTCTCAACAATTGTTGTCATATCGTCCTTAATGATTTCACGCAGGCATCACCATATGTTTAACTTTATTTATTTAGATACCTCGCATCTCGCAGCGATATTCCAGCGACCACACTTTTCTACTACGTTTTGTTTTTCGTTCTTATGATATGCACATCTCGAATTATCCGGTACGGTTTGGGGGTGGGGGTGCGGATGATTTGTTGTTGAGTTGGGCAGGGTTAACTCGTTGTATGAATTTGACTGAATGATTTGCAACTTGATCACACTAGGTACTCCGTATCATCCCTCTGGCTCGAGCGTTATCTCATAAAATTATATGGACGGTAAATTCAGTTTCTGAGTCGAGATGCCCTCTGTAATGGTGTTGGGCAGAGTGACCGACAACTTTTATTTATCTTAAATCTGCCTGAGAATACTGACATGACTATGATATGCGAGCTTTCGTGAACCAGCGCTTCGATTCCCTGCAATTGCTGGCATTGCGCTGGCAGTATTACATCCGTGTTCCACACCTGATCCAAAGTTTCATCTTATGACATGTCTCTCTCCGGCCACCGGCGTTTGAGCCTCCACTCCTTTGGCTCCGCTTGCGGGCATCCACAAACTTGTTCACAAGGGGTTTCCACCCAAGCGCAAGCAATTATATCGTGAGTATATTAAATAGTTGCGCGTGAGATAACTTATTACATGGTCCACGGGTATGGAAGAGAGTACCGGGGTATAAGTGAGCACGTCATACTATTGCAATAACAATCTTGAATTGCTTGCATTCTTCGGGCGGTGGGGAATGCGTTGCGACGAAGCGGCACTCAGCGCAGACGTCCGTCTATTTAGCTGGGCCCTTCGGAGCTCTTCATCGATTCGCCACATCCCCTTGACGAATGCTTCACGGTCAAGAAAGCCAGTCGAGGATGGATCACAATCGTTCCTGAAGCGAATGAGTGTATATACCGTCAGTATATACTGTCAAAAGGACTGCAATGACATACCATATGTCTCGGAGTTTGCCGCGGTCAAGTTTTGATGCGCTCCAGATGAGCCTCACTATTCGGCCGCCAAGTCTCTCTTCAGGTCCAACTGGGACATGATCTGCATCGTCGTCATTATCACTATCTGCCTCCTTCGAGGACAGTACAGGATGATCCTCCGGGTTGGTAATCAGGTCAACTGAAAGACCTCTCCAGCCAGCAGCTTGCCTGCTCTTCTTTCCTGATGATGTAGATAATGGTGAGGACTTTGTCTTGGCTTTCCTGGCAGTTTTTTCTGCTTTCCGTCGACTGACCACCGTCACAACAAATAAGGCTTCATAACGTGTGCGTGCGGCAGGCGGGACTGGCGTGGGTCGCAGGAGCAATGAGGCTTTCTGCGTCAGCTGCCCACTATTTTGGGTACTTATGCTTGCGGTGCTGATGCTTGTGGTACTTATGCTTGTCAGGGAGGTGGTAGTTGCGTTACTCAGGATGGAAGAGCGATCGGAAGTGGATGCGGAAGTGGATGCGGGTGATGTGCGGGAAGAAGGAAGTTTGGTACGTGATAGAGACGGCGGAGGAGGTGGTGGAGGTGGGGGTCGGGGTCGGCGAGTGGTAGGCGTTGAAGATGTTGTTGACACTGATCTGGAAACGGAGGGCGACAGCAGCTTTGTGCCTGGTCGCTGAGGTAGCTTTGGAGGCTCGGGCCTGGGTGTGCCATTGCCATTGCTAATGGCCTTCCCCCAATCAAAGGGGACATTGGCGGTGGGACTTATCGTGGAAGACACGTTCTCATATGAGTCAGCGATGCTCACGATGTCCCCGTCCACGCCATCGTTATCGCCATTTGTCCCGAGGGATGACTGCATGGACAATCTTGGGCTCATGGGTTTCAGGTCGCTTCCATCAGAAGAAAGCGATACGGAATGAAATGATGAAATGGAAGAAGCGGGCGCGTGGCTTACGCGAGCAGAACCAAAAGCATGCGGACGAGGCGGAGGGTAAGTGTGCTCCACGGTGAGCGAGTCTGAGCGCCCTGAGGGTCGTAGAGTAGCACTGCTGTCAGAGATAGCAGAATTGGAAATTGAAGGTGAAGAGTCTGTTGATGTATATGACGGTTTACGTGGTGGGAGGGGTGGGCGTGACTTGGGAGGGGACTCCAAATTAATGAGTGGCGCTGAAGATATCGGTACTGAACGAGCAGCAGCAGGATTATGGGTTACCTGTGGAGGTGCTTTGATGAGATCTGGAAAGCCTTTCAGATGTCTGCCATTGTAATGTGAGACACCGGACGGTGCTCCGTTTGGGCCATCATCTACAATCCAGTCTTTTAGGTCAATCAATGAAGTTCTACGACCTAGATTTGGAGGCGACGGCGATGGTGACCTGCTCAAAGACTTTGGCGGTGTAAACGGAGCAATTGGTTGGAATGAGTCTGAGGTTGGTGAGATAGGTGATTCAATGGGGTTAGTAGAAGGAGGATATCTGGCCTTCAAAACGACGAATGAGGGTTTCGACGTCGTTTGAGAAGGGCGCTGGTCGATGAGAGCCTCGAAAGCTTGGATCCTTGATTGCAGCGCGGCTGAAGGCATCTTATGTCTCTTCGCGCTGCGCAACCCATAAACGTTATTTATTTATTCACACTTCCCAAACCAAGTCTCCGGCACTCTCCGGAGGCACCACCTGTGAAAAAAAAAGGGGTGTATCGACTTTGATAATGACGACCAACATGCCCAGCGATCTTTATGCCGTAGCAGGTTTGCAGCCTCAGTAAAATCCAACATTTCAGGAGCTTACCATACGCCTAGATTTCTGCCTCATCCCAATGGGAACAGGAGAATCTTCTGTACGTCGACGGGAAATAGGGGATATTCTCCAAAGTAACGCATTTTAGGTCGCAGAATATATCGCAGAGTGCCACAGAGTCTTGGAAAAATCAGGGCTGACATTCAAGGTGAGTATGTGCGATCTGCCAGGTCCAGTCTAATAAGTTTGATCTCGTTTTAGATGCAGTAAGATTATTTATCTATATGTCGAACTTCTGATAACGATACACGTCTCAGCGGGTACGGCACTAATCTTGGTTAGTTGCAAGAGGCGATCAACCCCTGGCGATTTACTGAACATGCTTGTTAGAGGGGCCTTGGAGCGAGGTGTCGAAGGCTATACATGATTGCCATGCTGCAGTCCACGCCAAAGGTGCCCCTCGAGTTGCTACAGACATCCGCATTGGTACACGCGTAGATCGAGACGCTCCCGTAGGCGATGGCAACTACCACAAGGTGCAACGTGTAGAAGAGATTCTAGCGAGAGACAGAGCATCTGTATCTTGAGGCCTTGTTGCTTGATTAGGTCAGTGAGGCAGGTAATAGTGTATGATTTTTTTTGGCTTGGGTTTCATGCTTTCGAATCATTTGTACACATAGGCATCGTGACAACATACGACGTGATTTTATTCTTCACGCGATCCTCAGACATACATCGTATGACCCTATAGTTGGGGTGCAACATCACGATCCTCTAGTCGCACCCATGGAGAATGATATCCGCGCCGCTCTGATTTCTGATCTTCGAAGGAAATGTTACAGTCCATCTAAACTAACGTCAACGCAATCATAGATACAAAACGCGAGATAGAATTCATATGTGCGATATACGTCTCAAATGTGCAATATTATGTGATATGCGATATAATAGAAATCATGTATGCAATCCTCAGATAACAGGAACATGTTTAGTCCCCTTCGCAGCATATATCTGCGCCAGCAGTCCAAGCACCCCACCATCCTCCAACTCCTCTTCGTCATCAATCCCTTCCTGCTGCGATTCGTACGGCTTCTTGCCCTGAGTGTCCCCATCAACGTACGAATCGCCCAGTCCACTGCCAACACCACCATCTGCATTCCTATCCTCATCCCTTATCGGCGGCGGTAGAGGCGCAATACTTCCCTGCGAGTCGCCAAGTACCGCGGTCTGCGCCATGCCCATAGCTGAATTCGAGCCGATGGCCGACTGCCATATAGTAGAAGAACCAACGCCACCGCCTCCTCGTGTGACAATGTTGCCCCCACCTAGCTGAAGTCTCCGCCGGAGGGCAGCATGTTGGCTCTGCCGAAGAGCGCGGTCGTATTCGTGAACACGTTCCGCGGGGTCTTTGTTGCCATCGTTCAGCAGGACGGTATTGTCTAACGCTGTTCTTGACGTGGAAAGTCTGCGCCGCGCACTGAGGTCCGCGATGCGGCTGAGATACAGGGAGCCGGAGGGATCTGATGGGTTCCAGTCCGGGTTTGCAGCCTACGTGACAGGAATAGTCGTTAGAAGTACAAATTGTCTCATGTTAAGGTCACGAACCTTGAAGTTCAAGAAACTCTTCTCCATCTTGCCCTCTCGCGACATCATGCGCTCGTCTTGGTTCTGCGAAGGAGCTCCGAACTATCCAACGGTTAGCAGACGTGAACCACGACTTGAAACTATTATCTTACCCTGACATTGCCGTGTCTCTTGAAGTCGAACTCAGCAAAGCTGCATATATAACCTCTTCCAGGTACCCAGACAGTGAAGTCATGGAAAAAGTCAACAATAACAGGTGCACATGGTGGGAGTGAAAACCAGAGTATGAACGGTGTTGTCAAGACCGAGACGATCTCCTGTACGAAAATGGGTATCTTCATCGCAAAAAGCTCTCCAAATTCTTGGTGAACCTGATGCAATTCAGTATCAAAAGTTAAGTTTCGATGATGGAAAGCTGGGACCAACCTTCTTAGAATGTAGCTCCTCCTTCCATTCATCTGGCATGTAATGCGTATATTGGATGACTTCCGTCATGAGCAGCTCAGGATCGAACACCCTGTTATCCTCTGGTATCATCCCTCTGGCAACGGCAAGCACGGACCCAAAGACACCGAGATAAAACAAGACAGTCCTATGCGGCGTGATCTCAAAGTGCAAGACCAAATCGGGATCGATGACAGACGCGAGCACGAGCACCGCTGCGAAGGACCCGGCAATAAATGCCACGAAACTAAACAGGTGGTCAATGCAGTCGACGAAAAAAATAAGTCATGGACGAACCGCATGATGATTGTCATCTTCTCGTTGGGAAATTGGCCGATGTACATACTCGCAAGGGGATATGACTCATCTAGCCGCCGCGTGAAGAGATGCGAGAGCTCGTTGAACTCGCGAAACTTCCATTGCGCAAAGGGTGTGTAGCGCCGACCACCGATTGATGACGGATTTTTGTGGTATTCCTGCAGAATGTTAAGCAACACTGCGTGTCACAGTAGGAGCAACGCACCTCGAAATAGCGGAAGAATGAATACATAATCATGTAGAGGACGATAAATGGCGCAAAGATAGCGTTCAAGATACCCATAAAAACAAGGCGTCGACGAAGCCTATTGTACATGAGCGTGAAATTCCTCACGTTTAGCTGAGGAAAAGCGTACCCATTAATTAGGACGGCTCTATTCTTGGTCTTCAAGAACACCTTCCTGACGCGTCCTTGCGGGTCAAACAGGTACTCCATCAAGCAGAACCGTAAATTCCACTCCAACACCCTCGTTAATGTCCGCCCCTTGCCATCATCACTTGCCCTCAACAGCTGTTTAAGTTTGGGAGGAAGCGGCACGCGAAGATCAAGCACGTCCTTGTTAAACAGTGCGATGAGGTAGTTCTCTTGCCGCATGATACGATTCGCTATGTCATGCGCATCGAGAGAAGCAGTTGCTGGTGTTGCAGCATTAGTCCCGTGCGCTGAAGATATGGCCGTTATGGGGTTTTCTTCTCGTATCGCGGCTATCCTGCGCACAATTTCGGGCCAGGCGATGGTCGGGATATCTGCCTATACGCGTACCTTATGAGCACGAGGGCAAGGGTGAGACTGAAGTGTACGTACATCTGGGACACGTAGAAGGTAGGTGTAGAATTTATACATGTTTACCAAGCGCATGACCTCGAAGACAAAAGATATAATTTGCCAGACATAGAACGCAGCGAAAAGCAGAAAGAAGAGTAGCGTAAATCCAGAGAACCTATATGTCATGCACGTTAGTGTCGTAACTGTAACTGCCTTGGAAATAATCGCGCACTTTGATACGCAGCGGTCGACCACCGCGTCAGACAAGTGAGTAGTTTCATCCTCACTAATGAGACTGTAGTCGACACACCCAAGTAGGAATGTCGAAAACCCAATTACGAATCCTACTGTGCTACGCATCAACAGTCAGCAATTTAGTTCGGTAACGCAAAAAGAGCGACTGACAGGAGATTGAGTCCTCGTGCTAACGCTATGGAATAAATCCCTTTGCCCTCATAGTATAGATACACCTCCTGCAGAAACGCGTCCAGGTTATAGACGTTAACCCAGTTCCAGAGCGCACGTTCGTAATCGTCCAACCCACGCATAGGCTTGGGTGATGCTTGTAGCCGCTCTGGTGGCGTCTGCGGAGGTTCGTCGACGTCTACTTCTGACGGTCTAGGAGGTATTGAAAGCATGGGTAAAGTATCTGTAGGAGGTGCTGTTGCATGTGGAAGAGATCGTGCGGATGTGGAATACAGTGGTTGCGAGCGGCCCTTGCCCTTAGAGGGGCGGCCAGACAATGGCGAATCCTCTATCATGAAACGCTGAGGAACATCGTCATCCGATTCCTGCTCGTATGTCCTGTCTTCCTTCCGTATGTTAGGCCGTAGCATGTTCATCTCGGAACTCTCCCCGTCCCACGATACTCTGTGTTTTCCGTGTGATTTCGTGCTCTTGGACAGGATCCCTCTGGTCGCGTGGCCTGCTTCTAGGTCTTCCTCTGCAGTATCGTTCTCGTTTTCCTCGACAAGAAATTGGTTTGCTTGGGTATAGCCTTGGTGTGTACGGCTCATTGGATTCATCATGTTGAGGAAGGGACGTGAACTGGACATCATGAGACCTCCTGGAGGATATATGGACTGTGAGCCATGCAGATTTGCTCTGGAAGACGTTGAGGGGCGAGTTGAAGGTGGAGACGACATTCGAAGGAGGACTGATCACTTGTTTATTAGGGCTTTCAGTTGTTCAGGCTGAGTCCATGGACAGAGTATGGCAGGATTGGTGTCGTTGGCCTTCGTACTGCCAGACAAGGACGCGTAGCTTTATGTCCTGTCACACAGATACTCAGAAACAAGTGGCGTCACACCGTGACACCGTGACTGTGTCCTGCCAGCGAACCACTGAGTCCACTCCATGGACATGGCTATGATAATGCATGAGGCAGATAATATACATCCGGGTAATACATTGATATCTATATACATGTCTTCTTCGCTCTGAACAGCCGCTTATGCCTTTTTCACAACTACATCCAGCCTGCTCGCCGCTCTCAACACAGCCCTGATACCAGATGCAGTGATGTCGGTGTCACTGCCCAATCCCCAGGCAGCTTCTTTTTTGGCCCTTCCTGGCAGCTCATAGAGGAGCTCCACAAAGGAGACAGCCTTCACTTCTGAACCCTCTCCCACGGAGTGCTCTGAATACTCCCGGCAGAAAAGAGCACCCTCAACTTGTGTGTGCAACGCAGTGAGGGCTGCGGACAAAGGGCCGTTACCCTCACCAGCGACCTTGCACACCACGCCGTCGATCTCCATATCACCCTCGAACCTGGGGCCGCCGCCTTCGACGCGTTCGAAGCGGAAGTCACCCAGAGAAAACCTGCCCTTGTCTTCGACCTCGTAGCCGTATGTCTCACGGAAGAGACAGGTAAGGTTGTCATAAGTAATTTTGCCATCTGACGCGCACACCGCGCGCTGCACGACTTCGAAGAAGGAAGTTTGCAATCTGCGAGGGAGCTGCAAACCCAAAGTATTGACGATAGCGTCCGCAACATCCGATTGGCCAGAGGTAGCGTTGAAGCCGACGCTGAGCTTGAGCTCGGGCAATACACGGTCGCCAATGGCACCGTTGACTGCACTCAACACGGCGTGCAGACTGGAAGCGGCAATGTCAGAATCGAGTCCAACACCCCACCATGACTCAGACGCTTGGCGAGTTTCCTTGACATCCTCGGTGGTGGCAACGAGTTCAATGTATGAGGCTGCCTTGGATGCTTCTCCCTCGCCAACTGCGTGCTCTGTGTACTCGCGTAGGGTCATGTCGATTTCCAAATGAGTGCGCAGAGCATCAAGAAGAGCAGAAATGGGACCATTGCCATCCCCACGAATGACACGCAATACGCCATCCACCAACATAGTACCATCGAAGCGGCGACGCTCGTCGAAAGGCTCACCGTCGTCAGTGGGATCAGGTGATGGCTCAGCCGTAATACTGAATGACTTGAGCGCCAGTCTACCTTCATATTTCGATCCACCGAAGTGGTAAGTGTCGCGGAACGCTGTCGTGATGTCTTCGACGGTGACTTCGCGTGCCTCGCGGTCGGATATTTGCTGAATAACCTTGTAGAATGTGACCTGCATCTTGCGCGGAAGGTCGAGTTGAAGGTGTTGCTTGACAAGGTACGCGATGCCTCCCTTGCCGGACTGCGCGTTGACGCGAATGACAGCTTCGTAACTGCATCCGAGGTCGGCGGGGTCCAGGGGCATATACGGCATGTCCCACATCTTGAGCTCGCCGTTTGCAGCGTTCTTTTTGTGACGAGTACCCTGTGCTTCGAAACCTTTCTTGATGGCGTCCTGGTGCGAACCAGAGAAGGCCGTGAAGACGAGCTCGCCAGCATAGGGGTGTCTTGGGTGTACAGGGATGTCATTGCAAGAAGTCACAATGTCGATAACTTCCTGGATGTTGCTGAAGTCGAGGTTGGGAGTGATTCCTTGTGTGTACAAGTTCAACGCTAGAGTCACAAGGTCGACATTCCCTGTACGTTCCCCATTACCAAACAAGCAGCCTTCCACTCTATCAGCGCCGCCAAGGACTGCAAGCTCAGCGGCAGCGATAGCAGTGCCTTTATAAATAGTCAAAAACATATCCATGATTATATGTGTCCATGACGCACCTCTGTCATTATGCGGGTGCAAACTGATGATAATTTTTTCTCGCTCAGATATATGGGCGGCAAAGTATTCGATCTTTGAGTATGGTTAACGGACGTGATGAAGACATTTATAAAAGTGCCTGCCTGATCAGCATAGTGATTAGGAGGAGCAACTTCAACAGTGGCAGGAAGGTTGAAGATGATGCGGTCAATACCCGGCCCTGCCTTGCCCCATGCGGCCTTGACTGCCTCACAAACTTGGAGAGAAAACTCCATTTCTGTCTGGGTGAATGTCTCTGGGCTGTATTCGTAACGGAATTTCATCCCGTGTGATGCAGTGTATTGATCAGCAAGCTCGCTGATGAGTTTGGTCTGTGTCGAGGCGAGTTCGACCGTTTGTTCCTTCGAGTTACGAAAGACGACGTCTCGGAACATAGGACAAAGCGCGTTATACATGTGCATGATGACATGCTTAGCACCAGCGACAGCTTCGAATGACCTTCGGATGAGATCCTCGCGAGCTGGAGTCAGGACCTAGATCGGAACCTCAGCAGACGTAAACAAGCGATTTTGCAAGAGTACTGACCTGGATCCATACATCATCCGGGATCTCATTATTTTCGATCAAATACCGAACGAATGAGAAATCGGTGTCGCTAGCAGAGGGGTATGCGATTTCGATTTCCTTGAATCCGCATTTGACCAACAAACGAAAGAAGGTGAGTTTTTGATCTGCCGTCATCGGACATGCCAAGGCCTGGTTTCCGTCACGAAGATCTGTGGAAAGCCATATTGGAGCTTTGGTGAAAGTTTTGGTTGGCCATTGACGATTGTCGAGCTTCAGTGGGACGTATGGTTTGTACTTTTGAGTTGGATCAATGCTACAGGTCGTTGTCAATGAAGAGCGCTGAAATTTAATATAGAAAGGACGGACAGCATGCAAGGCATGATGGGTGAACTTGATGAAAGAGATATTAAGATTGGGACAGAAAGCACAAGGGAATATTTGGAGGAGAGCGCTGGTAGAAACTTGTCAGGTCGAGTCACATCGGCAGAAGATGGCTACAATGACTTTTATCTTATAAAGCACTTTCGGCAATTATGTTCCAGGAACGATTCAATGGAGTTCAAGTCTACCATGACGGTCACTGCGGAGTAGCGAGCTTTCGTGAGCTCTTAGCATCCCCAGTTGGGAACCTTGGCCCGTCACTAAGAAGGAGTACCGTATCATATGGACCCAGGCAATGCGCTCAAGACGGCAGTGCTTTTCAATTACCGTGGGCGTAGTCAAACGTTGATTGCGATAGAATCAGTATATTTGTAGGAGGATCTTTATTTAAAGTACTAGGCCGCATCTTGAGTCGTGACTCACGACTGCCTGACTACGGGAAGATCGAAGGTTAGATCATGTAGATAAGATTAGGTTTACGCTGTTGGCAAAAGCTGGCGGTGAGTCATTGCATGATCCTCTGAACTGAACTTCAATCATGTCCATAACACTTTCAACAAAAACTTCCCCATTTCCTTACGCTTCAATCGCCATCGCGACGTTCACGCAGAAAGTAGATCTCAACTACGACGAATCAGTAGATGGTATCACTCTGGAGTTTGAGGGATCACAGATCTCTGCGGAGGATGAGATCGTAGCTGTGCTGGCAAACGCAGGAGGACTTGCTGGAGACAGCTCAAAGGCACTATCAATCCATATATAACTCTCCCACGTTTAACTGACTTACTTACAGACAGCCGCATATTTTGATCTCGCAAAAACTGTCCCGACCTTGACGGCAATACCGGATATCCTTGCTGCTCTCGATTCGTTAGATAACCATCTCGCATACCGCACGTTCCTCGTCGGCCACGACATCACTGCAGCCGATTTCATTATCTGGGGTGCAATCAAAGGTAACATGATCAGCCCTGTTGATGTTGTCGCGTCTGACGTTCATCAGTTGCACCAAAACTTATTGGGTTGCTCAAGAACGGACAGCAGTATGTTCATCTTCTTCGATGGATGTCTCACATCGAGAGTCTCGAGTCCACTCAAGCTGCGCTCGCGAGTCTCGCAACGGCCAAATCCAACAAAGCCAGATCGAACAAAACGGCCGCAGGATTCGCTCTCGGCCTCCAAAATGCAAAGGAAGGCCAGGTCGTCACGCGTTTCCCGCCTGAACCCTCTGGGTACCTCCATATCGGCCATGCAAAGGCCGCGATGCTGAACCAGTATTTCGCAAAAATGTACAATGGCAAGATGATCATTCGCTTTGATGATACCAACCCCACAAAAGAGCGGGTAAGCCCCATGTTTGGTTCGCGAGCATATTAGGTCTAAAGCAAATCGCGTAGTCTGAGTTTGAGGAGACCATCTTGCAAGATTTGGAACTCCTGAACATCCGCGGAGATAAAACGACGCACACGTCAGATTACTTTGACCAGATTTATGAATTGGCCATTCAAATCATCAAGAGTGGCAAAGCGTACACCGATGATACCGAGCAATTACAGGTGCGAAATTTTAGTAAAGGAATCATGCATAAATGCCGACATTGCCAACAATCAGATGCGCGAGGAACGAGGCAAAGGTGTTGCATCTGCTCATAGAGATGACTCGATCGAGGATAACTTAAGGCACTTTGAGGAGATGAAATCCGGATCCCCAGAAGGTCTGAGATGGTGTCTACGCGCGAAAATCAGCGTGGACAGTCAGAACAAAGCTCTTCGCGACCCCGTCATTTATCGATGTAACTTAATCCCTCACCACCGAACTGGGTATGGAGCAATCTACTATAATTTGCACCGATCATTAATTCATCTAACAGAGATATGTGGAAAATATACCCCACCTACGATTTTGCATGTCCAATCGTGGACTCCCTTGAGGGAGTTACCCATGCCCTCAGAACGAATGAGTACCGAGAACGAAATGCGCAATATCAGTGGATGATCAAAGCCCTTGGCATTCGCGGTGTCGACATATGGGACTTCAGGTCAATTCTACTCGTCGGTTTTGCACCCGAAAGTCACTGACACCTCCACAGTCGTCTCAATTTCATCTATACACTTCTGTCCAAGAGGAAATTGCACTGGTTCGTGGACAGCGGAATAGTCAAGGGTTGGGATGACCCGCGTTTCCCAACCATTCGTGGTCAGTTCACCTACCAAGTTTTGAGCACAAGGCTGTTTCTGATGCGACTACGACAGGAATTCGTAGGCGTGGACTAACTGTGGATGCGCTGTCGCAGTTCATGTTGGCTCAGGGGCCTTCGCAAGCGATTGTATCGCTCGAGTGGGATTCGATTTGGGCCATCAATAAGAAAGTAATCGATCCTGTTGCTCCGCGGTTCTGGGGCATTGTCAAAGACAAGAGGTGCCGTCATCAGTAACACTAAATATCTGTCTGCATGCTGATGCGGTTTTTTCCAGTGTCTCTGTAACCATCAACGGTGGTCCCCCTGCACCCGAGGTGAAAACCCTACCACTGCATAAGAAGAATCCAGATATCGGCGAGAAAAAGACCGTATTTACGTCTACTATCCTTGTCGAGCAGGAAGACGCCGCGTCCTTCGAGGACCAAGAGGAGGTATGTCATGCCAACGATAGCCGAGAGACAAGTCTAATCCGCACTGATCGCATCAGATCACGTTGATGGACTGGGGTAACGCCATCGTCCGATCTAAGACCACGGGTCCCTCGGGCGACGTCACTTCCCTCACGATGGACCTCCATCTTGAGGGCGATTTCCGCAAGACGAAGAAAAAGATTACTTGGCTTGCACAACCCTCCCAGGATTACCCCTTAGTCGACGTAACGCTCCTTGACTACGACTACCTGATCACGAAGAAGAAGCTCGAGGAGACGGACGACGTCAAAGATTTCGTTACGCCCGTGAGCGAGTTCCGGGAGGAGGCGTTCGCAGATGCGAACGTAAGCACGCTTACTAAAGGGGACATCATTCAGTTTGAGAGGAAGGGTTATTTCATCTTTGATGGCACTGCGGAGGATGGGAAGCTCGAGTTTATCCGGATTCCCGACGGGCGTGCGGCTAACCTGGCTAGTAAGGCAGGGAAGCCTAGTGTCGTTGCCGTCGACGCTCCAGTGTTGGCCTCGGGCACTACTACCGACGTTAGTCCGGTACCCTCCTCGACGATGTACAAGATGGAGAAGATTTATGGCGAGGAACCGGTGAAGCCTGTGTCCACCACAAAGATGTACACGCTCTCGAATGTATACGAGTGATGGTCAGAACAAGGATAGATAGAAAGCTAGAGTAACTTGAAGATGTGAGATAGGCATCGTCTCGAAACTTATTGAAAGCCTTTGTGTTGCTACAATATTAATAAAATCGTAGCGGTGCATCGCACCAATCCCCGACTCCCCAGGGCGGAATGTGCATACTACTGACATTATCCTCACAAGCCCTGAAGGTGGATTCGTTGTCATCGGACAGGCAGCCGGGCGACCATCACATTAAAAATATCTTAAAGAACAAACCAGCTGAGCGCCCTGATTTCGAATAAAAATGCAGTTGCACTACGGCAGGTTTCAAACATGCACGTGGTTATAAGGTGCTACTTGGTTATGAGTCTATGACGTTGAGATAAACCTTTTGAGGGAACTATCATGAATAAATGTTAAGGTGGGATCATACAAAAAAATGTGTCGGCAGGTTTCGAACCTGCACCATCCGAGGAGGAACCGAATCTGTTAACCACTTGGCTCAGGCTAAGTAATTAGTATGGGCCCATGAACTCCCGTTTGAAGTTAAACGTGCCAAGCGGGCGACTGAGGGGTCGGTCCGTTCGGACAGTCCGCGAAGAGGTACATCGAAGCGGCGTTGGCGTTGGCAGCTGACATGGCTGTGAGAATGTTGTTTGTGGGTGTGGGTGCAGATGCTGACAGAATATTTCGACGGGTCCAACGCCACAAGCGGGAAATTCTAATCAACGACAGCCCTTCGTGGAGTAGGGGGATCGGTTGACCTACATCGTCGGGGGCGCTTGAATGCAATTGGTCCTGTCGAATATCGTACTATCTTGCAGCGTATCAGGGGCCCCGATGTCATGACCATAAAAAGGCTGCCACCGCATGTGACGGGAGAAGCTGCAGACGCACACGTCAGGGACGTTTAAGATTTAGTCTGAATGGGTATCCTCTGTAAGCACATTGCTTAATTTCGGGACGGTGGAGAATGAGATCTGAGAAGCTCACCATTTATATCTATTTCTTTGTTCCCTCGTTGGTGATTGCAAAGGATGAGTCAAAAACAGACATGCCGCAAGGAGATATCGAGGCGACATCCGCTCCCATGCCTGAGGCCTCGGAAGTTAGGCGAATGTATATGCAATATCTAGCACAGTAGCGAGAAGAGACGATACGCGTCAAGGTCTGATGTTGAGGAGCTAAGTACACAAGAGGATTGATTGTTACGATAATGAGCGACAGCCTATCAGGTATAAATACAGTACCTGAGTCTCGTGCTGACGGAAGGCATTCTTCCTCAGCACCAGTACCGTATTACATTGAAAGGGCGAATACACGCCGAAGAGTAGTAATGCACGAGATTGAACGAAATGAGATAGGGTTGATAGAGCTACACAGGAACGAGCGACGTTAGCGAAAGCGATGACATGCAAAGCATGAATATACAGTGGTATCAAGAGATGCGAGGAAGAAAGCACAGAGATGCAACAGAAAAGCGATGGAAAATCTAAATCATCAGGCCGAACAAATCAAATAGATCTGCGTCGTAGTCGTCGGCCCCAATTGACGAGCGGTGTACTCCGCCAGAGCTTCGAGCGATCTGATGAGTCTGTATGGAGATTGAAGCGACTTCGGCGGAGTACTTCCATCAGGATAAATGAAACTTGAAAACGATGTCAGATAACGCTAACCAAAAGAGAGCGAGGAAAATGTACCGAGGAGTTCTTCTGTTGATACGAGGGGATGCGGTTCAAACTCTAGATAATCATGTCCCAGACTGGGTATTGGGGCGGCAATGAAGCGTTCGCCGACATGCATACTGTTGGTGTGGAAAGAACCTTTTGTCTGATTTGAATCGTAGTCAAGAAGCTGTGTCATGCTCAGTAGTGATACTGGGCTTTAAGGAAAGCACAAACTGTTAGTCCATCTTGTGCTGCCATCCAAAAGTACTCCGTGTCGAAGCGTGTGGGTATGCCGAGGACATTACGACTTTGTGGTGTTGAGAACGTGCGGAACTGAAGGTAGATAAGGAGAACGTACGATAGTATGGCGCTCGAGCACCCAAACATCCCTTTCGCTCCGATGATTTTTTCCTTGCCAATGACAATCTCTATTGGCTGCTTGCCCTTCCATCCGATCTCAGCAATGACCTCCCCTAGTTTATTGAATATAGTCGTCCTGCGAGTCTCCCCATTTTCATCTTCACTCTCTGTGTCTGAGTCCTTATCACTGTCACGAATAAAGTGGGACCTGGTAAGGATGGTATATCCGAGAGCACCAGTCTCAGGATAAACAAGAGACGAGTTCAGGATATCCGACTTTGAAAATTTGAGGAGCATCCTGCTGTGGACTCGACGTAGAATGGAAAGAAAAGCGGCGAGCAAGGGGGAGCGAAAATCTGTCCTCAAGAACAGCGGGATTTTTTATATGCATATGTGTGTACATATGCGGTGGTAGGGAGGTCACTAGAGTACACCTAGCTCAATCTAGTAGTCCCTTTGATCGGCTGACCGGGATGTCAAATGATTCCGTAACTGCTAGGCGAACTCACACGTTGGGTTCTGCCTGCGTTCGGTCCGCTATGCCATCTAATCACATTCTCTCGCGTTCTGAGACATCAAAGTGCGAGCAGGACATGGTACAAGTATGCAGTCGACTTGCCTGCCAGCACCATCCCGTAAAGGTCTGGAATACTATATTTTGGTTATTATAGGCTTACCAAGTCACCTGACAGAGCCCACGCCACCATATGTTTGGCTTTGTTGACGTTGTGGCAGGGGTTGAAACTGTGTCAAAACCTCCTTGCAGTGATTTCATCACCGACGACGACGACGGCTGAACGACCGAAAGGTCTTTTAACGATTCTCATTCGGACTTGCACCTCAATTTCTTCAACAAACTGGATCTTCATACTTCTCAACGACCTCCTCTAACGGGTTGGTGACAACAGATCCAATAGACTCTGGCTATTGTTACCGTGGCTATGGTTCAACGCCGTTCACCACATAGAGTATCGTTTCCTCCAAACAGCAATAATCTGGCGCGTAGACAGTACTCGCTCCGCCACACTTCCGCTGCAAAACGCGCTCTTGCTTTCGTGAATAGATTCCAGCGTTCCACAGTCAATTCCCACGCGGTGGGCGCGTCTCCACCATCATCTTCAGATACTACCGTTGATTCGCGTCCCATACTGGCTACCGTGCAGCCCAATCTGCGACGGCTGCCATCTCGTCAGTATCTTTTGATGAAAAACAGCATCCGAGATGTGAGCCAAAATCTTGACGTTCCTATTGGTTCGAAAAGGAAACGCGTCGCGTCGGTTAATGAAAACATTACTGGCGGTCGATCCGCGCGTGGGGCTCCGAAACTGAAGAAGCTTAAAGCTTCACCAATCCGAGACTCGTCCAGCGAAGAAGAGCTTAGTGATATGGAAGTTGATGTTCCTGGTCGATGGGCCGTGTCCGATGCTTCTGAGATTGACTGCGATGAAGAAGCGTGTTAGTAATTGTGCATTACTTTCTTTCGGTGCACTGATTTTTACCTGCCATCAGCCGACGAGTTTCTCATAAATGAAGCATCCTTGGGCCAGCTCAAACGTCGTCGAAAAGATGAACTCCTTCAGTTGTACACTGCAGCGGGTCTATCAGATGATGCACACAACCTTACGAAGCTGGAGCTTGCAGAAGCAATTATTGCAGCGCGAGACGATATTGTATCATTGCCTCCCTCGTCTCCTCCCGGGCGGGATGCGAGTGACTGTTCCTCGGATGAAGGAAACGCTGCAGGTGGCGAGGAAACTGACATTGGATCCAGATATCGAGTTCCTCCGGGTCTGCGGCGCCGCGCTACAGTTCATTTAGCTACAAATCAGGCGAATTCACGTTTCTTAACAACTCGCAGCTTATCTCTTGGCCATATCAACACCAGTCACTCATTCCCAGACGAGCTACACGTTGCCCCTAAGACCAATGGTGCTGCCGCCCCGACGTGAGTTGAATTGTTTGAAATGAATTCGCCCCGTTAATCTCTCGCTCAGACGACGGACAACTAGGTCCACATCCAGCCGATCTTCACCCACACCAAGTTCCTCCAACCAGCTTCCTTCCCCTCCTGCTACGAGATTGCGTTCTCGTAAGGTATCCGCCGAGGTTGTCGTTCCTCGCGGCTCCACCAGGAGTAAGGGCAAGGGCAAACAAGTTGAATTTAGTGAAGACGTCAAGATCGGTGAATCTGCTGCATTGGGCGAGGAGAGTGAGCTTACCGATCTCACTGAGCTGGAGGACAAGATTGTATCGAGCTCACCCAGTCCTCGTCGGCTACGAAGTTGGGAGAAACGTAGCGAATTTGGCGAGGATCAGGACTCTGACACGCCGAAGCAACAACGGGGAAGGACTAGACGGCAGACTTCGAAAGGGAATGAGGTAGAAAATTGTCTCGAGGACGAGGAAGAGGTCGATGAACTTATTTCATCTCCATCTCCTACTCCCCCGCCCACGCGAGGCCGAGGAACGCCCGCGAAGAGACGTCTTCGCCCTCGCAGAATACAAACACATACTCCCCCAAGTGATGGAGGGGACGGTGACGATGAAGAGGAAGCTGACGAGGAAAAAGTAGAAGAGGGCGTGGAGGCGAACGAGGAAGGGTCAAGCATGGATGATGAGGAATCAGATCAGTCGGAAGATAGCCGAGATGCCGACGGAGATGATGACGTGTATGTGGAGGAAAGTACGTCCCCTCCGCCAACAACTCCACGGAAGCTACGCAATGGGAAGGTGGTTGGGGAAGAATGTCAAGAAGAAGCGCCTGGCGAAGAGGAGGAGCAAGATGGTGACGAGTCGATCGATCTGGAAGCCGAGGATATTGACATTGACGCTGAAGGGGAGGATGAAGAGGCCGAGGAGCTTGATGAAGATGGCGATGACTGTTGGTTTGTTTTTTCCTAGTTTCTTACATTGCTAACGCATGACTTGCAGTCGATCTCGCTGTGGCCACCAAGAAGACCCTTCTCCGTATGCGTCGTGATAACCTTGTCCGGATGTGCGAGACCCGGGATCTGGATGTTGCTGGTACGAAGCCCCAGCTCGCGAGGTCACTCCTTCAGTGGCGAGATAAACGAACGAGCGAGTTTTCCTCACCCTCTTCCACTGGCACTATTCGTCCACCATCAACCGTTCACCACCGTGCTAACGGCCGGCGAAAGACCAAGAGCCGCAGCCAAAGTAACACCCCTCCGGTCCTCATGCGCTCCCACAGAGTACATCAAGACGAACCACGCACTCCTCCTATGTCAGGCGAGAATACCACTCAGCCAGAGCCAGAGCTAGAATTGGATCTCGAGAGCCTGGGTTTAGAAGATCGAGAGATTCCGCCCGACAAGCTCACGAAACTTGAGAAAATTGGAAGTGGGGGCTTTAAGGATGTTTTCATCGGCAAGTTCAAGGGCAGACGGGTCGCCATCGCAGAATTCCGAGATCAGCTCAATTCAAGTATGTCGCCCTTCCTATTCATGAGAGTTTCACGTTATGAACATGCACCGTAGTGGACATCAAAGAACTCAAACTTCTCGGTGGCTTTGATCATCCGAATATAGTTCGCTTCGTGAGTATCGTCGTGGAGACAATGTTGCTGTTGTGATTTACGCTGTGGTTTACAGCTCGGTGTCAGCATACCGGAGAACACGCGCGAGACACCCGTCATGATTGTCAGCGAGCTTTGCTCAAATGGCGACTTATTCGACTACATTCGCAATGTTCCTGCACCGTCCCTGAAAAAAGTTGTACGTACACTTGACATGCCTTTTCTGTTCTTGCCTATGCATCTTTCTCGCAGTTGAACATCATGTTGGATATTGCGCGTGGCATGGAATACCTTCATATGCGCAAGCCTTCAGTCATCCACAGAGATTGTAAATCGTCCAACATCCTCATTACTTCTCGTGGCACGGCGAAGATTGCAGACTTTGGCTTGGCTAAAGTGAAACAGTCCACGCGGTCCATGGTTCGTAGCCTGGTTGGCACTGTTAACTGGCAAGCGCCCGAGCTTTGGCATGCGCACCCCAAATACAACCACAAAGTTGATGTTTTTTCTTGCGCCATGGTGTATTGGGAAATGTTCCAATGGCACATACCAAACAAGAAGTTCCCTTGGGAGGTGAGTATAATTACCACTCTCTTCTTTCGTCGGTCTTATCTTTTCAAGGGAATGAACGAACATGCTATTTATGATATTGTTGGGGCAAAACGCCAAAGGTAAATTAATATCTTGCAGTCCAATTATTGCACACGCTGACGAGAGGCATGCAGACCGTCCATTACAGGCCTACGAAAACAATGGTGTCCGGAAATTATCGACCTCCTCGAGCGGATGTGGGCTCATGATCCTAACGATCGCCCAACTATGTCTGAAGTCGTCAAAGAGTTGGAACATATCGCCGCCTGAGGAACTCGCGCACTCTCAAGCGGACTCGAATCTTTATTCAATTATTTTCAGTCTCAAACTTGATTTTGTTGCCAACGGAAGTCCTTGGTGTGCATCGGGGATCATTGTTTATTTTGTGTCATTGGTTGTCTACACTATCATCTTCGTCATTATCATTTGCCCGCAACTTATATCCCGCATTGTACCCCTACCGTAGCAATCCAAACCCTTGCTTGAAATGTAACCAGGAGCGTTAAACATTCAACATTCTGAAAGCGATGCACCAATTGCAATGAGTCTGACAACCATGCAATTATCATAAGTACTTTACACATGCCAGAGTCTGCCAGAGTAGAGGCTCGTAAACTTGAGGCCTGAGGCTGAGGGCCTGGATTGAGTTACGTATGGGAATGATGCATGAATGGTGCTATGAATAGCTTTGATGATGTACTAGTTACAATGCTTTATGTGGTATGTAATCGCTCCGAATCCTCACTGTCACGGTCAACATCACCCAACTTAGTGCTCTTGTGTCCCTACCTACACAGGCTGACCTAGTGGTCATTCAAAGAGCGACGCTCACCCTAAAATGTATCAACTCACTCGGGTCTGCAAGCCAAGTAGGGCCAGGCTTGTTCGCTTAGGGATTGGCATACGACCACCTCTTCTCAGACCTCTCCCGAGTCGGCTATTGGCCACAGTTACACTGACACCACCGAAACCCTCAAAGCCAAGGCCACAGATACCAATCGAGCCTCTTCCGAGGTCTCGTTTACTTAGTCGTATTCTTTTAGTAGCAAAATATACCGGATATGCGGTGCTCTCTTCCACATTTGGGATTCTGTTACTAGGCGCAGGCATATTCATTCATGACGCTTTTACTTACACGAGCAAGGATGTCCACCACGTACCGGTGTTGCCTCTCGCACTGCACCCCGAGCAAGGGGGACCGAAGAACCTCCCAATCGTGAAAGCACTCGTGGATGACGTGGAGGATGATGAAGCAAAGAAACTTTTGGACAAACCGAAGTTGGTAATTGTAGGAGGAGGCTGGGGGGTAATGAGTACATCTTCTACTGGTGCTATCGCTGACATGGATATTCGACCAGGCTGTCGCTGTCCTGCAGACACTAGCTCCGGGTGAATACCACGTGACCGTCGTGTCGCCGGAAACCTTCACCACATTTACCCCGCTCTTACCTTGTGAGTAAGTGCCAAACTGGCGTTTTACAAGGTTGGCTGAACCCGCTCACGTTATGCAGCGGCTGCGGTCGGTACAGTCCAGGTTCGCACTTTGGTTGAGCCCCTACGCAAGATTGTAGCGCGTCTCCGCGGCCACTTCGTAGACGCCAAGGCTGTTGACCTTGTAATGTCTGAGCGCTTATTGGAACTGGAAACTTTGACTTCGACTGGCGAACCCCAACGTGTTTATCTTCCGTGAGTCGCCACTGTCAAACCGCTCATGTTGCTTTATATCATTAATGGCCATTTGTAGCTATGATAAACTAATCATTGCATGCGGCTCAACTTCCAGTACGCACGGCGTCACGGGTCTACAACACTGTTTCCAACTCAAGACCATATCGGATGCGCAAGCCATCCGGCGACGAATCCTCGGTATGATCTTTGGGGCATGCGCGTCCATTATTCATTTGTGGTTTTTCAGACAACTTTGAAACAGCCAGTCTTCCTACTACAACCCCTGAGGAACGCAAGCGTTTGTTATCTTTCGTCGTTTGCGGCGGCGGCCCCACAGGCGTCGAGACAGCAGCCGTACGTCGATCTATCGAAACGTTTTATATCCGGCAAAAATGAGCTTTTTTTAATGCAGGAAATATACGATTTCTGTCAAGAAGACATCGTTAACTACGTGTGTTTTGCAGCTGTTTTATCTTGAGTTGTTCCTCAATCGTGCTGTGTAGTATCCCAAGATATGCCGCGAGGAAGTCTCGATCCATGTAATCCAGTCACGCGAGCATATTCTCAACATGGTGCGTAAAACCGCTTATGAAAACTTATGTGTAAACCTTACTTTGAGCACAGTATTCGGAGGCCATCTCAAAATATGCAGAGGTATGGATAACTTCTTCAAAGTACTCCAGCTGAGCGACTCCATCAGGAAAAGTTCCGTCGTGATCGCGTCGACCTAATCACGTCTGCTAGAGTCAGTGCCGTCCACCCTGATCACGTCATGTACACCGTGCGGTCGCCGGACGGGACCATCACTGCTCACGAGATCCCGACAAATTTTGTCCTGTGGTCAACCGGCATTGCAATGAATCCCTTTACCCGTCGGGTATCTGACTTATTGCCCAATCAAGTACACAAGAAAGCGATCGAAGTTGATGCCCAACTTCGTGTAAAAGGCGCGCCGTTGGGCGATGTGTATGCTATTGGAGATTGTGCAACTGTGCGTCTATTTATACTGTTTTCTGATGCTTCATGTGGACTTCATGGCGTCTAGGGCGAGACATCCATCGTCAGCTACCTGCTGGAGTTGGTTGATGAGGCCGACAAGAACAAAGATGGCAAGATCGACTTCGATGAATTTGATTTTATGGGTATGCCAACGGCCTTCTTTAGAAAACGATGTTTTGACGGCTAGTAGTTGCAAGGATCAAACACCGGATACCCATGGCTGAGTCCCAATTACAGAAGGTCAGTTATCATACATGTTCTATGAAGGCCTTGTTGAAATGATTCTTTCGCACAGGTCCGAACATTGTTCGATTTGTATGACTCAGACGCAGACAACAGCCTTTCTTTAAATGAACTGTGCAAATTGTTGGAAGAAATTGGAAATAAGATAACAGCACTTCCTGCCGTACGTGCCTAGTGGTTTAAACGTCACATCACGGGTTGCCTTCTGACTTTGGTATTGTCCAGACCGCTCAAGTGGCTTCTCAGCAAGGAAAGTATCTCGGCAAGAAGTTAAGTCATTTAGCGAAGAAACGAGAAGTCCTCGAGGCGAACGGCATACATGACCTGGACGAGGCTGTATCCGGGCCATTCCGCTATACTCATCTCGGCAGTCTCGCATATATTGGTAACGCCGCAGTCTTCGATCTAGGCAATCTGTCATTCATGGGCGGCCTCGCCGCGATGTACGCATGGCGAAGCATTTACTGGAGCGAGCAGGTTTCGGCCAGGACACGGTTTCTCTTAATGATAGACTGGATCATTCGGTATGGGCATTGCATTCTGTATTCGCGCAAACGCTGATGCCTTGCTCCTTGCATTCGCAGTGGTGTCTGGGGTCGTGACTTGTCCAGGCTTTGATGAGACTGGATACTATACTGTATTGCAATGTCGTCCTTCATCCCGTTCATTCTCGGCGCTCATTACACATTTCTTCTCTTTATGATGTATACGGGTAATCATCACTTCGCTGGATTCGACGTAGAACAGACCCTCAGAGTACGATTCCATGGAGTCTTTTCATTTCTGCCAACCACAGGATCTTAGAATGGCTGTCTTGCCTATCCTTGGCTGGGTGGAGTGAATCTCATGCGGCCACCCCAACGCCAATGGTTGATTTAGGACAACCGACTCGGTTGTTGTGGGACAAGGAAGAATTCAAACCTGCACGCAAAATGGTACTTGTAGTATCATCAATATGCCATATGGATATTGAAGTCGGCCGGTAAGGGAGCGCTGAGCTCCGACCCGAAAAATGCTGCTCTAGGCTTGACTGTGCTGTGCTAGTGGAGTGTGAATGTATGGCATTCTGCAGGGGCGGAATCGCTGCTGTTATGATAAAAGCGCGTTTACCTGGTAGAAGAGGATTGGCACGTAGTAACATATTTCACTAGGTCATTGTGAAACCACGATCATCCCGCTTCAAACCGAAAATCAGAACTGTTCGGAACTGCAGACCTTGCGAAGCATGTCGTCGAAATAATGATTCGGCTCTCTATCTTGCAAGAAACCATGTTATAATGACGCGAAAGGCTGTGCCCTGTCCCTCAGTCATGTGTCTGCTCAAGGACTCCGTGTACAAGAATCCTCAAAGAATGATCCCATACAGTCTTTTTTGTTCGCATTTATTCCTGCCAATCAAAGGACCCCAGAAGAGCTGTCTTGCCGACAAGTGATCCTTGGTTGGGCGCGAGTATCGTCATCTTTCGGTTGGGAATATCAATGCTGGTACTACATGGACAAGGCAGGGGGAGTAAGCAATGGCAAGAGAAAGAAAATGAAAATTAACCGAAACCACGCAGAGAAATGCAAGAAGACGTACACAACAAGGAAGCCAACCACACTCAAGTCCAATATTTCTTCGTCGTAGCGCTCGGACTCATCCGGGTTGAAGGGTGCAAGCAAGGCGAGGATGGAATTAAGAAGGCCCGAGCTGCTGGATGCAGGATCAACGAGCACGGGCTGCATTTCCGACAGCATCCGCGCAGCACCAATAGGCAATGCGGAAGAGGGAGCCATGCTCTCTAAGGCGGGCGGTCTCGAATATCAGCCACGTGTTGATGCATGCAGAAACATTGCCTACCGGCACCGATGCGATAGATTGACAAATCCCCAAATTTGATGATGCATGAGGATGGCGAAAGGACGAGATCTGCGACCGCTTCGCCTCCAACCATTGCGGAGGTTATGCCAGGGGGTGGGTCTATTTTTTGGCCGTACATATAAGTATGCAACTGGTACTTGTGCACGCGTTCCCGATAACTGTGGTCCAATTCAACGACCTGGTTGGTCGGGAGTTGTGAGGTACAAATTCAACGGGATCGATAAGAGCACGTACTCCTCCTGACTTTGGTATTTTGACCACTGTAAGCCGGTTGCTAAATAGCCGTTGCATTTCGACGGTCAACTTTTCGTGTCCGACCACGAGAATTATATTGACTATCATCGAGTCAGGTGAAGTACCAATGTATTCAATAAATCGCACTTCTGAAAGCATCGACACATGCTTTTATGAGCGTATGCCTGCTGTCTGGCGCGATGCCAGAACTAGATGCGAAAGATGACGGTGTGTCGACAATTAAACCCGATACGCGCGCTAGACATCCACGATCATTGATTGTTCTGCGCTCGAGACAGAAACTAATTGTGCCGCACCCTCCGGATCATCGTCATCTCGTTCTCTGATATTTTCTCCCAGATTTCGGATAAGTCGGTCTAGCAGAACTGGATTCCGTTTAGTTTCTGCATGTCCGTACCAATAGCTTAGCGGTATCAAGGCGTTCGAGGAGAGCGCGGTAGGAGCTGATGTAGCAGCAGAGCCAAGAGGATTAGCGGGTGACGCTGTAGCTATAGGGCTGCGAATTGGAGCGGCCGAAATTGCTCCAGGAACTGCCCAACCACCCTGACTTGCGACTCAACACAAAAAAGATAGACCCGTTCCTCGCATGCTCACCTCACTCGGATCGACATTTACCAATACCGGGGACCAGTTCTGCCCTGCCCTAACAGCATAATTTGTCAGAATTTTGCATACTGATGTCTTTCCTGAGTTCTCGGGACCAAGAACAAGGACTCTTGGTGGCTCTGCGTTTGCATTCGCATCATCATCTGAAGCAGGAGACCCATGCAAAACACGGAGTGCTCTGACACGCATTTGTTCGAACGCAATGTGTACATTTGCATATGGCGCCATAGGGGTTTCCTCAGATACATATTCGGTGGAGGGGTGGCCTGTAATGTGCTAAACGAATAGATCAGCGACGCGAGTTGTGAGCAACGACACGAGCTTTAGCACTTATCTCCAAAGTACAACCCTGCCAGGTGAAGACTGCGGCCCTGCATTCGGTCCCAAAAAGATATGTTTTTCCCTCTGCGAGTTCTGCGCCGAAGACTTCGGCCTGTCCACGAGCCAGCTGAGGAGCGGGTTCAGAAGATTCGGGGGCGGCCTGGAATGAATTTGCCTCGTGGTTGTGCACCACGTACCTTGATTGCTAGTGAGGTACCAGGATCGAGCTCGAACCTATACTCTGTCTCCGGCTCAAGAACCCACTCTTTCATGTCAGGTTGAGTTCCATCAAAATGTTGCAGTGAATCAGACATCATAGACCACTAAGTGATGTCTCTCAACACAGAAACTAGTATTGGTGACAACTTGAAATTGAGATTCTTCTACAGACGGAATGAGATCGAATGCGGTCTCCTTCGCAGCTTCGTGTGAGCTCAGATCAATCTGCGTTGTTCCACGACGCACGCGGGGACGACGTATTTGTGGAAGGTTCTGATTGCGACGGATGGAAGTGAAGGGCAAGGAAGCAACGCAGATGAGCCTGCGAGCAATTTCGCTGGTTTTTGAGCCAAATTCTAAGTTTTGGATGCAAGTTTGGCAAGAGTTGGGTCTTCTCATCTTCGAGAGCTTCCAAGTTCTATTCTCAAGACGTCTAATAGCGTTCAATCCAAGCTTCTTCGTGTCCAAGGTGCCGCCGACAACGGATGATACCTTCAGCTCGAGATGGCTTCTGCACCCGCCGGCACCACTAATTTGATCACTCTAACAGCCTACGTGATCTCCTCAACTGGATCGCTCACGTTTCATTGATCAGAAATGCCGTAAAGGCGCGGCAGCCTTAGAGGCTAGAGCTTATAAACTCTAAGCCCAAACTCACCTTCTTCTTTCCCTGTTCCTCCAATCAACCATGGACTCAACCAGCAACAGTTCTGAGAAAAGGGAAGATCACAATACCCATGCGTCAAGCACAGTACACAGCTACGACGTAGATGTCGGCACCCAGCTGATCGATGAGACAGACAGCCCCCTCACTCCACAGGAGGCCTCTCGGCTCAGGTATGTCGTTCCATCCTCAGTACCACTTAGACCTTCCATTCATAGGTTCTCACAGGGCCAAGATTGATTGGCATATTATGCCATTCATGTGTAGTAAGTCTTTGAGACCCTCGACTCGGAAGCTGTTCGCTTATTGAAGACCCATGGACAGTCATGTACTTGTGAGTATCTTACCACCAAATTGCTACGTTTCGGTTGAATGCCCTCTGTAGAATCACGTTCATGGATAAAACCACTCTGGGAGAGGCAGCGGTGCTGGGGATAATGTGCGTGTTGCCCACATGTCAAATTTGTGTGGACTAACCTCATACTATGTCAGCGATGATGCACATTTAACTACTAATCAATTTGACTGGCTTGGCACAATATTTTATCTAAGCTACCTCGTTTTTCAATACCCCCAGAACTTGGCATTGCAGCGCTACCCTGTTGGAAAATGGATGAGGTACACCCAGCATTAATTACATGCAGTACATTCCTTGTTCTGACGGGCATTTAGCATCAATATCTTCCTGTGGGCCGTGGTCCTACTATGTCATGCTGCTTGCAAATCTTTCGGAGCATTGTTCGCCTTGCGCTTCTTGCTGGGAATGTGCGAAGGTGCCATCACCCCCGGCTTTATGATTGTCACATCAATGTTCTTCACACATGCTGAGCAAACGAGGCGTGTCGGTTATTGGTGTACGTTCTGGATTCATTTGTTCATTCTATCGTCTCATGTTCTTCAGTCTTGATGAACGGTTTCGCTGTGATCATTCTGGGTTTCGTCAGCTATGGCCTCCTACACACGCATATGACCACCTTCATGCCCTGGCAATGGTGAGCCATGCAATCTTACATGATTCGGGGGTGTACCTTATTGTTCGCAAAAAGGCTCATGATTATCACTGGTATCATTACATTGATCACCTCCGTGCTCTTCTGGTGCGTATTAATCACGATCGTCATGCAGATTACCTATTCACACCTTTCAATTTAAAAAGGTTTTTCTTCCCTGATTCACCCGCCACCGCTTGGTTCTTAACTCCAGAAGAGAGAGTCGCGGCGATTCGCAGAATTCAAGTGAATCAAAGTGGCGTAGAGAACAAGCATTTCAAGACGGAACAGTCAGTTGAAACATCCCTTGTTCGTGATGGCACCATGTCATTTTCTCTTCGGCAGGTTCCTCGAAACCATCAAGGATCCTAAGACGTGGTTAATGGCATTCTTTGCAGGGTCTGCGTACGTTTTTGAACCATTACGTATTCGCGTATCAAAATGTTCACCCGTTTTTTGTTTCAGAAACATTGTGAATTCTGTAAGATATTGTTTAATAATTCGAGCTTACATACTGACGCATCTAAGCTCACTAATCAACGCCAGTTGATTGTCGCACAATTCGGTTTCAACGATATCCAGACAACTCTCCTTGGATGTGTCGATGGTGTGGTCGAAAGTGTGTCGTCTCTTTATGTTGTACGATACCTTTTTCATGTCACTGTGCAACGCAGTTCTTACCATTTGGCTGGGAGTGGTTCTTGCTTCACAACCATCCATCGGCAGATCATATGCTGGTGTGCTAATGTACATCCCCGCGATACTCGGCGCGATACTAGTTAGCACACTTCCGTTCTCCAACAAAATAGGCTTACTATTCTCGTACTGGATTTCAAGTACGTTTCACGACTTCATTCAGGGAAGCCCCTCGAGGTGGAAACCACTGATGGACTTTTTATTTTTATCGTTCAGTCTTTGCGATTGCGCCATTCACTATTTTCCTTGGTTGGGTTGGTTCAATAACATCTGGACATACGAAACGTATGGGCCGTTTATTTTTACCGCATATAGTCACAGGCCACTAACGTCTACACAGGGATCACCACCAATGCCATCGTCCTGTGCTCATACGCGATTGGCAATGCCGTTAGTCAGTTTATGTGGAAGGCACAGTATCAACCCAGGTGAGTCCATGACTCGCCGCCCGGCATCGCCGATCACGCAGGCCACGCTAAACTTGATTTAGGAATCACGTTCCTTGGGCTGTGATCGCATCATGCAATTTTGCTGCTGGTATCGCCCTGGTGGTCCTTCGTTTCATGCTCGCCAGTGATAACACGAAACGAGACCGTGAAACCCCCGATGACAAGCACGGTGCGGTGTATATACTGGACGAATCGGGCACGGAGAGGAGGGTGGACAAAGCCTTCCTCGATCTCACAGACAAACAAAACCGCGATTTCCGCTATGTTCTATAGGTGTTGCCCTCGTCACTCATCTAAAGCGTAATTTCCCGCCAAAAAAATATCTTCGGATTTCCAGTTCTTTGTCCTCAGCTTGTGTCGATGCCGTTTTGATTTTCATTGTTACATCTTGTGCATAATTCTGTATTATTTGGTACTTCAGTGTTTGCTATAATTCCAGGGCTAAAAAAACGTTCCGAATCCTGATATACTCCTTGTACAAAATCAAGTTCTACTGTATGCTATGACTCCGTCTGGTACAATAACTTCGGATTTGATCAAAGAAACGATGAAACCTTCGTCGGCCGTCGAACAGCCGCCGAGTTGCCTTCGAGATGCTTATATGCAATGCGAAAATCAGGGACTACCTTTTTCGACGTCGACGACCTCCTTGAATCTATCTTGACGGCGATCGGCCTTCCAAAGAAGTCTACAGGCGGCTAGTTGACGAATTTAGCAGATGATCCGCACAATACATAATTTATCCTAACCTTGTCTGCAATGTCCAATTTCTCAGAAGTGCGTGCTCGTTTGTTTTTGGGGCCTGGCTCAGAGGAGGCATCCAAGCGGCGCAGTTCATCGCCACCTTCGGTGACTTCCATGGGCTCAGGAGCTTCGTCGACATTTTCCGTGTTGCTCTTCCTTCTAACGGCCAAATGAGCGCCACAGACACTGAATGAACAGATAGACTGACGTTTTAAAGAAGTTGGCTTTTGCGTGTTCCTTTCCTCTCTCCACAGCGTCCGCTTGCTTTGCGACGAGTGCGGCGTCAATCTTGGGGATTAAGTTAGAAAGATAATCTGATATTCATTCAAAGTCACAAACCTCAGCTGCGACCAACTGCCGAACAGCATATCGGGAGACTGCGATATCTGCTGCGCGCTTGCCGTCGTAGGTAATAAAAACATCGATTGGACTATGCGGATAAATTAAATCAGTCAGCAGCGAAGGATGTGTCGTCGGGCAGACTCACGGGTCAAGCCTGTACACATTTTGGCCATCCTCAGCTTTCTCTTGCACAAAGCGAAGTTCGAAAGCCACCATGATCTCCACCAGGCGCAAGAGCAATGCTCTTTCCTGTGGCTTGATTACTTGACTGTTAACCTGAAACATATATATCTTGAGATGGCAAGCAAGTGCGGCACGTTCCACTCACTGGTCGCAAAGGAGGGGATATTATACGATTGATGAATGGCGCAAATTCGAGTTGTAAGACTTGACCTGTGACGAGGTGTCTGTTGGCCCCTGCAATCCGACCGGTAGAGCGGATACCATTCGATAACGATTTATAAATTTCTTCGTTTGCGCGCGTTAGCTGGAAGTTCTACTGAAAATAAATATCATGCAATCATGTGAGAAGGTAAACGCTCACATCCCAGTCCGAATTATCTCGTTCTACCCGCTTTTCCCCCCGCTCTCGGAATAGAGGATGGAAAGGGACCAGAAAATACGACAAGTATGTATGCAACGCGAAGTCCCCGTCCGTATACATGACCGATGAAAAGGAGTCGAAGGTAGTCAGCCACTCCCCAGCCTTCTCGTAGTGGTCCAAGTTCGCATCGTGCCGGTGGCAATTGATATAATGCGCAAAGCAACCTATCCTTGGGTAAATGAATGTAATAGATGTCGCGGAATTTGCACTGACCATTTGCAATACTTGCAGGATTATTCAATCCTTCAATTGCATGGCTTAGGCGGTTCACATATCGCGCCTCTTCTTCTTCGCCCATACCAAGCTCCTTGATACGTTTTCGGGATAAAGGGGCAAATATTTCGTTGATTACGGAAGTTGCTGTAGTGTCCCCCTCCTTCATGCCTACTGTAGCACGGCGAATTAGAGGTTCGGTTACCTCATCATTGCGAGACTTGATGAACTATGAAGATTGAGCGTTTTGTAAGCGTAGTGGCACACCATGTCAATACACACCTGCAGAGTATTGAGACAACCTCGAAGGTCGCCTTTGGCCACGCCAACCAGGGTACTCAGTGCCCTGGTGTCAGCCCGCAACCCTTCCAACTCGCAAATCTCGCGGAGACGCTTGACGATATGACTGTCGGCAAGTCTCGTATACCGGATTTGCCGGGCGTGAGGACGGAGTTTGGCAAGTGCATTCGCATTTTGGTCATTACATATGCATATTATCGGGCGAAGCAGTGGACGCTTGTCTTTCTGGTCGCTCTTCTTCCCTACCAAAACAAGTTCGGGCGTGTGTCATCATTCCAATGAGAAAGCTTACGTTTGTTCTTTGGCTTGTCAAAGGTGAGCGAAACCAGCTTGTTCACAAATCCACTTGACTGGTAAGATGCGTCAGCGAACAGTCAGGATCATTCATTAACACATACATTGTCCCCGCCTCCTGTGGCTCCATCTATTTCGTCGATGATGAGTAACATAGGTTTCACGCTTCCTACTGCAGACCCCGATTCCAGCGCCGGTCGTATTCGCTCGTCGATGACCTGCGCAGAGCGCGCATCACTGTGGTGAGTGAGCACTAGACAGAAAGCTCTGTTGAAGAAACAGACCTCGCGTTTATCTCCATTACTTCATATCCCGCCTGCTTCGCGACAACATGAGCTAATGTCGTCTTACCAAGCCCAGGGGGACCGGATATTAGCAGTAGCTGCCAAGGCCACCAATAAATAAATGTGCACATTCTGTTGCATTTTATGAATCGTTACCTTTTCTCGTGGCCGGTGGTATTCATCGTCAGGGTTATAGTTCTCATCATCTTCCCGCAACCTCTTCTTGCTCTTCTTCTTACCGAATACGCACCAGTCCCACTGCTTTACCCAAGCCATTGTTTCACGAGCAACACGCTCATTACCTAACAGATCTGTGAATTTTCGAGGGCGATATCGATCTACCCAAAGTGTATCCTCCGGCACTGGGCTTGAGGGTTTGTGTGACTGGGAAACTCCAGTAGTGGTTTTCCTGCGAGAAGATATGAGGTCATATTCCCCATGAACTCACAAAAGACACACTTAATTGGCAACTTCGAAGCAGTAGCAGCCGATAGCTCGTCCTTGAGTCTGTGTATAGGCACATCCAATAGATTGCTCAGTCGTGTTGGAGCAGAAGAAATCTGAGCGCAATGAGCATAGTGAAGGTAGGGAATGCATTAGCATCATGCCTTCTGTGTTGTCCCTATGTACCGCTTTCGCCCTATATGTATCGCGTTTCCATCATATGTTGTAGCACGAAGCGAAGCACGTATGTGCGTAGGGATAAATGACCTGGAGGATGAAGACACGGTATCGCGAGGACTCTTTGGAATGACACCCAGGATGTCTGATATGGGAGGGAAGTGATCATCTGGAGGACCGTAATGAGTCAATGAGCAGAATCGGGCCATGCAAATTTCCGACCTTGTGATTCATATGACATCCCACTTGATGTCAAAGTGTCGGTTTGCGCTGATAGACTAAGAGTCAGCAGCAAGCCACAGGAGTGCATGTCAACTCACATCCGTCCACATCCTGCGATCCCAGCAATCCGTTTGATCGAAATGCGTTCTTCTTATCTGCTTGACCATGTGCACTCTGCTCATCTACACCTTCAAGCTCCTGCGCTCGTTCTTCTGGTTGTCCATGGATTGGGGCAGCACACAGCCCACCCAGAAGGCCATTCGATATGAATCCAGAGCTGAGTCCATCTGTCGTAGATGACGAGCCAAGCAACGAGGTCGAGGGGCCGGGCCCAAGCAGTCCAGTTGCTACAAACATATTTACCATGACAGACTTTAGTGATGTAGTAACTTTGAGGCCTGCAGCAGTCGCGTCGAAACACGCGTCACCGTGGGAATACTGACGCGACGCGTCTGTGGCTGCAGTTTCTCAAAGAATTCACGCAACCAAGCTCAGTCCTGCAAGCGGATCATCCCTTTCTCAATGTTCTCTCACCGTGTCACTGTCAGTAAGGTGGCTCGAAAGCTGTGCTTCCGCTTCAAGATTTGGTTTCACTGGTAAACTGACTTAGGATATTTGTTGAGGTCTGTCTAGGTGTATACGTGGTCTGCCTATGGGGGTGTCCTGCCGCTCGCGTCCAAAGACAGTGTAGTACTAATGGTTATTCCTGTGCTACAGGCTAGGTGATTGGGTTATGGATGAGTAAGTCTTCGCCGCAAAATGTTCGAAAACTTTATTAGTACCAAACAGATATATCCTGTGACTCTTCGTTCTTCGACGACTTGCACTCACTGCGTTGCGGAAACCCGTCGTGGTCAATGGGGAACAGGACTAAGGCGTACCGCATGTGCCGCTTGTAAAAACTGACACAAAGCTCAGCGTTGTGGATAAACCGCTATATTATCAATGTACCTGACACAAAGCTAGAGACAGAATAAAGTAAGAATGATGCGGCGTGCACGACGAATACTAAACATACCTCAGCGTTGTGGATAAACCGCTGAGGTACAAACAATGGGAAACAGTAAAGATAAAGGTATCAAACGGATATGGAATGCGATGACTAATGAGAGTGACTTGTCGATGTTGAAATGTCAACACACCCCCACAACGAGACAATGAAAGAGAGAGAAAAGAAGCGAGAGGGGAAAAAAAAAAAAAAACAACATCATGTGGAGACAAGTGCAAGACCAGAGCGATGATGTGTGAACGCGGGGCGAGGTAGGACTTTGGTAAAAATATCGGCAGTGTTCTTATGAGTCGATAACCAGACGGGAAGGAATGTATTCTCCTCGACATGACGCCTGATGAAGTGATATCTGAGATCGATGTGTTTCGTACGGATGTGATTCGCGGCCTCTTTTGAAAGCGCTATTGCGCCTGCGTTGTCGGCGAACAAACGCAAGGGAAGGGTGAGGGGGATTGAGAGGCAGCCAAGGAAAGATTGAATCCATAGACCGTCTTGAATCGCTGCGGTAAGTGCCATGTATTCGGCCTCAGTGGATGAGAGGGCGTGCGTAGTTTGTTTCTTGGCAGAATGTGATATGGGGCCGCCGTTCAGAAACCAGACGTAGCCACTGATTGAGATTCGATCTTCAGGAGAGGTAGCCCAGTCTGAATCGCTGAAACCATGGAGTTCGGCGTTGATGTTTGATCCCCCGTAGTGGACGCGCATGCGGATCGTACCAGAGAGATAGCGGAGTACGTGTTTAGCGGCTGCGTAGTGCTGTGGTGAGGCAGAGACGTTGTACTGAGCAAGTCACATGACCGTGAGTGCTATATCCGGTCGAGTATACATCGCTAGGTAGAGCAACTCGCCAACTAATTTCCGATACTCAGCTTGAAGATCGTCGACGTGCGGGTGAATATCTGTTGGTCGCCCGAACGGAAACGTCGGGTCCATTGGTAAGGCAACAGGGTTGCAACTCGTCATCCCGTGTTCCTCCAGGAGGTAGTGGATATAGTCCTCCTGGTGCATCCACAACTCGCATGAAGTACGGTCTCTGAGGAATTGAACGCCTAAGTACTTCGTGACCGGTCCGAGGTCTGTGATTCTGAAACGTTCTGCGATTTGTGACTTAGTTCGATCCAGAAACGCTCGATTGTTGGCGCCAGCGAGGCCGTCATCCACGTGCCATGCAATGATGCAGACTATTCGATCCCCGTTCCCATCGACATGATCAAATATGAATACCGCATAGTCGGCCTCGCACCTCAAGAAGCCTAAGCGGGTGAGTACTTCGCGAAGTAACTCATACCAGTCATAAGCGGCTTGCTTGAGGCCGTAGAGGGACGAAAGAAGGTGGCAGACCAGTTTCTGGAACTTTGGACCGAGTCGTTCGAAGCCCGGCGGTTGCTTCATGTAGACATCCTCTTGTAGTTTTCCCCATAGAAATGCACGGCGTGCGTCGAAACAGTCCAGTTCCCAGTCGTGTAAGGCAGCGTGTGCGGCGAGAATTCGAATTGAGGAGGATTTAGCGACGGGGGCGAACGTGCGTCCAAAGTCAACGCCAGGAATTTGGGAGAACCCTTGCGCCACCAAGCGTGCTTTGAAGACGGGCCCACCTTTCAGATCGTCTTTGAACTCTAGCACCCAGCGACAACCGATTGCCCGTCGGTCCGCTGGCAGTTCGACGAGTTCATAGACATTCATTTCAGACATCAAATTCATCTCCTTGTGCATTGCCGCCAACCAGTGATCGCTATCCGGGCGCCTCATTGCTTCGTCGAAGGTAGCGGGTGGGATTTTGAGGTCGTACCCTGGTGCCAGAGGGTTGCGCCTGGTGTCACTGCGAATGGAGAGGCAACAGACTTCAGCTGCAATGAGAGAGGCGAGCACTTGGGGGAATCCGACATCTTCGTCGTCCGGAACGATCGCATCAGGGTCGATAGGAGGTGGAGGGGGGTGGTTAGACATTTGAGTGGGATTATCGACGATTGGTGCGGATGTGACTGTTACAGTAACATGGCCCCCTATCTTTTTCTCACCCCTTTCACCCTGTCACACCGTCACAACTATCACCTCTTCACGACTCACCACGATGCTTGATGCACACTTCTTGATCCCCGCCAACCCTGACCTTCTGTGACAGAAGCTAGACGCTTCCATTGAACCCTTGATCTTCCGCCTCATGGCCTGTACTTCTATTTCCCTTGATCTTCTCATGAACCCTGATCCCTGACCTCATGGTCATATACCCTCGACCCTACTTTCCTGATATATCTATCTTTAGTTCCTTGACCTGCCCTGAACACTGTTCCTATTCCCCTATATATAGTTGACTCCATTGTACTGTATTTCTCTAACTTGAATCTACTGGGTCTTACCTGAACGATTACCTGATCTCCTGATCCTGACTACGAACTGCTATACTCTTGGATCGCTATCCTTGAGTCGATATTATCTTTGATTCTCTTAGACTATTCGTCTTTGAGTCGATACCGATCTCTCGTCTAGACTTCATAGTCGACAGCGAAACCCTTCTTCGGCTCCGCCTTAGAAGCTTACCTATCCTTTAGTCATATCCCGACGGCTAAGGCTACCGGGTATATTGACACCCCGACTTCTGATCGATAACTTAGAAGACGCGTCCTCTTTGTTGAACTATCCCAGTTCGAACACGACATCTGTCGTAACAAAAGATTCAAGTTACCTTTGAACCCCTCCTATCCTAGAGGGGCCCCACCTACCCTTGAAACCAGAAACCCCGAACCTTGATATGTCGAACTCCAGAAACTCGATGACGACTCGACGAACCCTGACCTCGTGCCAGACAGCACAATATATGAGGAAAGGACTATGCTTCACGTGTGGACAGCAAGGCCACCGAAGCCGAGACAGACTTTGCGATGCCGGCAAAAACGCGGACGCAATCAGACGCACTGCCATTGAAGGAGATGCGAGAAAGATGATTACCAGCAGGAAAGCCACGGTAACTCGTGGGAAGCCCACTTGTGATGATGAAATGCCCCTGAAAGGCACCAGCAAGAAAGAACTCCGAATTGTCGCAACGATCTACGGAACGAAGAGCGCCAAAGAAATTAGTGCGAACACCGTCATTGACACCAGAACAGACAATTCCCTCATTAATCAGAACTTTATCAGAAAGAACGGAATAACGATGCAATACTCCCCTAATGGAAGCAAGTTCTGCTTACTCGCTATCAGAATCGATAGGCGAATCATTTTCGGAAAATTCAACGTAACCAAGCTTTCTAAAGACGACCTCCTCCTTGGAAAACCTTTCCTCTCAGCAACGACTCCTGACATCGACTGGGCCAACAATTCTATCACCCTGTTGCCTACTCCTCGATCCTTGACGCTAGAAAAAGAGATCAACAACGAACGAAAGAAAAATGGAGTACCCCCAGCCTGCTTTGACAAGCAGAAGACTACCTCCGTCCGAAAGACACCTGCACCACCGAAGAAGAAAGTCATCAAGATTGACGCAAGACCCCAGAAGAAGGATGTTGTTAAACTTCCTATATCCGAACCTCCCACACCCCAGATAACCGAAATCCCTGATGCTGTTCCTGAACCAGCAAAGAAAAAAGAAACACGCCCTAGAACCCCACCAAATCCTTTCCGACTCTTTGAAGCAAAAGAACCTCTCTCATTTGCTCAGAGCTTCGAGTACCTTCCATTTGGATTCATGCCTGAAGTACCGAGAACGTCTGAAAAGACAAATGAGCCGGTTAGCTCAGCCTCTGCTCAACCACAAGACGACCCCGAGCACGCAATCAAGAGTTCTCCTGTACTGAAAGAAAAGAAACCAACGATTGAAGACTCCGATGACGAAGACTTCTCTCCTCTGAAATGCCTCCCTCCGAATACAAAACATGTTATGGAGCGCATCACCAAAAGAAAGAGAAAGAAGAAATCCTCCACCTCAGAACCCGCTGAAATCCCCACAACACCTGTCAATGTACGCATAGTCAAGAACGTAGGAAAGACGAAAGAATTCAGAGTCCCAGCAACCATATTTTCGTCCGTACACCCTGACAAAGCATTGCATACTACCGCTGTAGTGGATTGTGGCGCTGGAGCCACGTTCATCAACTGGACGTTTGTCCGAGAACACAGGATCAAGACTCATAAATTTGAGAAACCCTTCTCCATCCGAAATGCTGACGGACATCTTTCGAAAAAGCAGTGTACTCACTACTGCCACCTCGCCATAAAGATCGACAGACGTCTCATGATTGGAAAATTCAATATCATGACCATGAGCAGCAATGATATGATCCTCCTCGGAAAACCCTGGCTCTCCGCTATGAACCCAAACATTGATTGGGTCAAAGATACCTTATCTCTCCCCGCCACTCCGCATTCGTTGACACTCGAAAGAGAATATCGCGAGATGTGGAAGATCCCCATTCCCCCTCCTCAATACGACACGAAAGACGATGTTTGGGATGATGTACCCACAGAAACCCTATTCGCACAAAGGGTAGAAAA